TCTCCACTGACATCGCTGGGCTTTCCTCCAGTTTCTACTCGGCCTTCGCCTCCTGCAGCGCTTTCCTGGAGGAGAATAAGGACAGTCTGGCCGCTGTGCCCTCAGCTGCCCCAGGAGAACCACACTGGGAGACAGTTTAAGGGAGAAAATGTGCTGACGTGTCTTCTGTAATGGTTAAAGCTGTACAACAAGGTGTTTGTCTACTAAGGGAGAAAAGACATTACTGAGCGTTCCTGGAAGTGTGACGGCGGCAGGTTCTGACATCTGACCATTGCTGCCTAAGAAAAAGGCAAATCTAGAAATTGTCCAGTGAGTAATTACGCTCTTATCATTGGTACTGAATTTATAGACTGTGCTATTTATCAACATTGTCATGAGAAAACCTCACAGCTCTACTCTTTTTTTTTGTTTTTATTGTTTTACACCATTTAGCCGGATTTACACTGTGTGAACATTTCATGAAAAATGAACCAATAGAAACTTTGAAAAGCGAGTTTTTTCAAGTTCCATTAATGTGGAGTACTGTGCAAGTCAGAGACCGGCCTTCAGTCAGTTTATTAAATTTGTAGAAACAGACATTAAGTACATTTTTCAGCAGGAAAAAAGCAGAAAACCTGTACAGAAAATTACACAGAAGCCTCAACAACTGAATGTTTTTTTAGTATTCAGTTTGTCTTTTACCTTTTCAGTAAACTCGCTTTCACATTCAGTGGTGTTGAGGTCTGGACTCTGGGGTGGTCAGTCCATCGTTCAGCTTCTTTGTTTGATGTGTCCGTCTCCTTTTCTCAGTGAGGTTCTTCTTGATCAGCTACACATCCTTTCAGACCCACAGCGCTGAGTCGTCTTCTCACAGTGGAAGGATGGACAGAAACACCTGTGGATGTTTTCAGATCTGAAGCAGCTTGATTTTCTCCTCTCTCTCAGAGATGAAAGCTTTAAGTGCTGTTTATCTGATGGGGGCAGTTTTGGGGTCTACCAGGTCTTCCAGGTGGTTGTTAGGAGGCCATTTTTTATTAAATATCTTTTCTGTTTTTTTGCTGATGCTGAACTCACTTGTACTAAATGGCCATTTTGACCGGGAATTAACTTAATGCAAGGACAGTCAGACTTTTCTACCGCAGTGTACATCAGAGGATTTATTTTTTCCTTTCCTGTAGAGTTACTTTTCCAGAGAAATGAGGTTTTCTCACGGCAGCGATGATATGCTACTCTACATAAACACTCACTGGCCAGTAGATGGTTTTGATCCGTCTTTAGCAGGGCTTTTGAAAAACGCTAAGACTCACTGGCTCAGAGGTAGAGCGCCATCTGCTGGACAAAAACTCTGCTGGTCTTCCATAGGGTTTGGATGTGGGTGTTGAAATGCCATCTCTTTGGCCAGCTAATGGGTTTTATTTCTTTTCTTTATTATTATTTTTTTTATTTCTCAGTTCCTGGAGGATCACAGCAGAGTAGATTTACTGTTTACTCTTCTCTGACACACCCAGTCAGCTGATGAAGGCGAGGCGTTTACTAAGGAGTGTTAAAGGGCCCGTGTCCTATATTTTGCTTGCATCTTATTTTTTCCTCTAGATCCACTTTTTTGTGTTTGTGTGGTTTTATGTACCAAAAACAGTTGCAGTTCATTTTGACATCACCATTTTCTGACCTCTCTTTAACCCTTAGGATTAAACATGTTTTTTTTTTTGGTACTGCCCCTTTAAAACTGATATATTGCTGCTGTCAGAACAAAACCTGGTATCTCCATTTTTGTCATTTTTCAGTTTTCGACATAATTTGGAAGTGCCTGTTTTCCTTTACATTGTGTATAAATATTATGATGAACGGACCAAAGGAAATGATCCAAAATGACATGGAAAAACGCCTGGTTCCATTGACTTACATTAAAAGTAACATATGTTTTTTCTTTCTGCTGTAAAGTTACTATTTTGGAGATGCAAGGTTTTGATCCGACAGCAGTGATATGTAAATGACCTCTGTTCTGATTGACTGCCCTGTATTGTGCCTTGTTCATAAAGCAGTCCAGTCTGTATATTTTCAGTGTGAAAGGGTGGGGCTAAACTGCTGTAGGCTTAATATGCATATGTAAATGTGTCAGTTCTTGTGACATCACAAAAAACAGCACTGTTTTGTGTTCTAATATGCATTTGTGGACTGTGTGAACCCTACGTTTGAAACCTTAACAGCGTTTACATTCTAGATCAAACTCCTTTATTCAAAAAAGTGAGGGAAGTTTGTTTTTCCATGATATGGGCCCTTTAAACGAGGAGGAAACACTAAACTGTGCAGTGCTGTGGTTCTCTGCAGTATAACAGGCCTGTTTTAGCAAACGCCTCCAACTTTCACACTGATTTAATGAGGTTTGGGTTAAACCAACTGATCACAGCTTGACCTTTTACACACTTAAAAAAAGAGGGTTCTTCAAGGGTTCTTTAGTAAAGAAAGTGGTTCTATATAGAACCATGAGCACTCAAAGAACCCTTTGCATGATTAAAGGGCTGTTTGAATGGTGAAATGGTTCTTCAGATTGATGTACTCTGTAAAAAAGATGGTTCCTCAAGGGTTCTTTAGAAAAGAAAATGGTTCTACAAAGAGCCATGAATACTCAAAGAACCCTTTGCATGATTAAAGGGTTCTTTGCATCATGAAAGAGTTCTCTGGAATGTGCTGTAGATGGTTATGTACAGAACCTTTTTATCATGCAAAGAGTTCTTTGAGTGTTCACGGTTCTATATAGAACCCTTAAATAACCATCTTTTTTTAAGAGAGCAGGATGTGTTGCAGATGGTTCTACATAGAACCTTTTTGAAAAGGGTTCTATATAGCAGCAAAAAAGGGGTCCTTCCACTGTGACAAGCTTGACATCGTAACAATAGAACCCTTTTCAACCCTTTTCTATATAGAACCATATACAACTCGTTCTCCACTGATCTGAAGAACGCTTTCATGATGCAAAGCACACTTCAATTATGCAGAAGGTTCTTTGAGTGCTCAAGGTTCTATATAGAACCATTTTCTTTACCGAAGAACCCTTGAAGAAACACCAGAACGCCTCTTCTCAGCATTTCAGAATCACTGTGATTTAAAAGTACAAGAATTTACACATATAATCTTTGGTCAGTGTGGAATTCCCCATTGCTTTGCTTTGCTCATAACTGTAAATACAAGCAATATTTAATACTAATATATAATTCAGATTCAGTCATTTAGATTCACTAAGAAGTCATATGCTATCAAGATCTAATCATGAAGATGTTTGGCTAACTAAGTAGGGCTCATAATAGGACAATGATTTTTAAGTACTCTGAAGTGCAGTCATGTGCAAAAGTTTTGGCGCCCCTGGTCAAACGATGTCTTGGTGATTTTCTGAGTGTAAATAAGTGAACACGCCCTCTACAGAGACACTCTTCGGCATGTTTTAATGAATACAAGACATTGAAGTGTGCCATAAATTTTGCACAGGTCACTTTTTATGTTTTATGCTTTCATTTTTTCCAATGCGTTAAACTCAGCGAATAGAAATTGTGCACTATAATTTGCAGAAAATGCCAGATTGCTTGCTATAAGAATGTTTTAACTTACTTTTTTTAAAAAAATCAACAAAATATCTCATTTGACTAGCGGCACCCAAACGTTTGCATAGGACTGTATAGAACAGGGGTCGGCAACCCAAATGTTAAGAAGAGCCATTTTGTCTAACAAAAATCAAACCACAACATTTTATGTCCATTTTATTAAGTAACTTTTTACCATCTTGGCTGTAAATATGTCTCAATATGTGCTAATATGCTAGTAAAGGCTAAAAAATATAAACGAAAATGCAGATTTGGCTCTGCTTTAAGCTTTAGCTCAGCTATAGCTGCTTTTCTCGCATCTCCAGCAGGAAACTTTTCCTCAAAAGTAGAACAGTTTCTTGTAAAATGTCTCTTAATGTTTGACTTTTTATGAGGCTGAAGTCGCTTCTCATTCACCAGCTTCTTGTTCGAATTTTCCCGTTCCACCTTAAATGGTGCCTGAAACAGCAGAATGTATGCTGCACCATTTAATGCGGAACAGGAGAAATAGAACAAGAAGCTGGCAAGCAAGAAACTTCAGCCTCGTGACTTTTTAGTGTTTGACAGTTGTTGCAGATTAAACGTATCAAGAAACCAGCTGGAGCGATTATAAACACAAATAAGTCCATTTATCTCTAAATTATGCTCATCTTCAATCATTCTTGTCTTTGCCGTTTCGTTAGCTACTAGCTAGGCAAGATTGTAGTCTTTGTTGCTATGGTGACCAGCAGTCTGCGCTGATCTTCAGGGTTAAAGGGTGAATTAGCAGTTCTACATTAACTCCAGAGTTTAAGACCATTTATTGATAAACTGTGTTGAACGATCAGCAGAGCTTTATTTTACTGTAAAGGAGGATTATTTTATTTTTACCTACAAATCTGATTCTGCTGTGGAGCCACAACAGGGCAGTAAAAGAGCCGCTATAGAGCTTGCAGCCAGTGTTAAAGCAAGAGCCAGTTCTCTGGTGGGCATTTTGAACCAGAATACAGTGACTGAATACAGGATCATTAACAGAACCACCTGTGATGCACACAGACTAGTTGTATAGATTTGAATATGTTATAGTAGATGCACAGATTGTTATAGATCCTTTTTTACCTCCTTATACAAAGTTCTGATTGTTTTTTCATTTTAGTAATTAACAAATGTAAATCTGGATTTTCTTGATGTGCGTGTGTTAGTTCTAAGCTAAAGAAAAGAATAATATGATGTACACAGCTCATATTTATTCACTATTGAATAAAAACCTAAAAAAAATTGACTGTCAGTAATTAATATTTGACCCATTACAGCAACCGGTCATTATTTTGATTAAACACAGTAAAGCAGATGTTTGAGTCTTGATCTGTACCGATGTGGATTTTACCTCCACATTATATTAGTTCTCCTTTGATATACATTACTTAAGGTAGGTTGGCATAGTTAAGGTGGACTGATAGGGTGAGTCATCATGCAGGCTGACTGGGCGGCTGTGGACGCAAGACCTCCACCTTGTAGTGGCTGGATTTGATATGAGCCACTCTGGCCTGGGCTGCTAAGAGGTCACTGTGCTGTTTCTCAGATAGGAAAGTGTGCGTAGACACCCGGGAGAGTACAGCCTCTGCATGGATATTCTGTCTCCTGCAGAAAAAAAACAGGAATGCATTACTAACAGTGAACTGACAGAAATACATGGATTACATAGTTGTGATAAAAGTAACAGTGGACTACTTAAATATGCAAATGTACAACTATAAAATAGGCTGTAAAATATGTGTAAAAGCTCTAACACTTCCTGGACGTTAACCTCCTGGAGGGTTAAATATACTTTTCCGAACATTATCATACCTCTTCTCCAGGATGCAGTACCTGTTGTCTAGGTTTATAGCGTGCTCTCCAGGTCTGTAAGACACTATACCTGTTCTCCAGGTGTGTAAGATGTTCTCCAGGTCTGTGAGATACTATACCTGTACTCTAGGCATGTAGGATGCAGTGCACTTTCCCCCAGGTTTGTAAGGTGCTGTACCTCTTCTCTAGGTGTGTCAAGCATTGTACCTGATGTCCATGTGTGTAGGGTACAGCATCTGTTCTCCAGGTGTGTAAGGCATGGGTAAGGTGTGCATGGTGCTGTACCTGTTTTCCAGGTGTGTAGGGTGCTGAACCTGTTCTCAAGGTGTGCATGATGCTCTACCTGTTTTCCAGGTGTGTAGGGCGCTAAACCTGTTCTCAAGGGGTGTAGGGTGCTGTACCTGTTCTTCAGGTGGGTAAGGCATGGGATGTTGTGCATGGTACTCTACCTGTTTCCAGGTGTGTAGGGTACAGTACCTGTTCTCCAGGTGGATAAGGCATGGGTAAGGTGTGCATGGTGCTGTACCTGTTTTCCAGGTGTGTAGGGTGCTGTACCTGTTCTCCAGGTGAGCAAGGCACTGGAAGGTGCCCATGGTGCGGTACTTATTTTCCAGGTGTGTAGGGTGCTGTACCTGTTCTTCAGGTGGCTAAGGCATGGGTAGGGCATGCATGGTGCTGTATCTGTTTTCCAGGTATGTAGGGCAATGAACCTCTTCTCAAGGTGTGCATGGTGCTGTACCTGTTCTTCAGGTGGGTAAGGCATGGGAGGTGCACATGGTACTCTACCTGTGTTCCAGGTGTGTAGGGTACGGTACCTGTTCTCCAGGTGGGGAAGGCATGGGACGTTGTGCATGGTACTCTACCTGTTTCCAGGTGTGTAGGGTGCTGTACCTGTTCTCCAGGTGAGCAAGGCACTGGAAGGTGCCCATGGTGCGGTACTTATTTTCCAGGTGTGTAGGGTGCTGTACCTGTTCTTCAGGTGGCTAAGGCATGGGTAAGGCATGCATGGTGCTGTATCTGTTTTCCAGGTATGTAGGGCAATGAACCTATTCTCAAGGTGTGCATAGTTCTGTACCTGTTCTTCAGGTGGGTAGGGCATGGGAAGGTGCACATGGTACTCTACCTGTTTTCCAGGTGTGTAGGGTACGGTACCTGTTCTCCAGGTGGGTAAGGTGTGCATGGTGTTGTACCTGTTTTCCAGGTGCGTAGGGCACTGAACCTATTCTCAAGGCATGCATGGTGTTGCACCTGTTTTCCAGGTGTGTAAGGTGCTGTACCTGTTCTCCAGGTGAGTAAGACATGGGAAGGTGCGCATGGTGCTGTACTTATTGTCCAGGTGTGTTGGGTGCTGTACTTGTTCTGTAGGTGGATAAGGCATGGGAAGGTGGGTACGGTACCTGTTCTCCAGGTGTGTAGGGTACTGTATCTGTTCTCAAGAAATGCCTGGTGCTGTACCTGTTTTTTAGGTATGTAACATGCTGTACCTGTTTCTGGATGTGTAGGGTCCTGTACCTGTTCTCCAGATATGTAGTGTTGTACCTGTTCTCTGGGTGAACAGCGTGCTGTACCTGTTCTCCAGGTATCGCTGCATGACCATCTTCTGGGCTTTAGTGTGGTGCTTGCTGATAGCGACCTCTCTTCTCCTCTCTTGCTGAGCGTTGCTGAGCCTTTGTTGGATACAATTTCTTGTGATGCTTTTGGCCAGGGAGCTGTGCTGCCCACTGAAATGGATGACCATCCCCTGCTCCAACACTCTCCTCCTTTTCTCCTCCAAGAAGCGGAGGTGTTTCTGGCGAGCGAGCTGCACTTCCTGTTCGCTTTTGGCCCTCTGCACGCTGAGCATTTCCTCCAGTTCGGCCTTGTCTCGGTCCTGCTGCAGTAGTGCCTCCTTCCTCCGAGACTCCATGATGCTGTCACGGTGATCACGGGCATCGTCACGGAGACCCTGCAACTGCTCTACTCGTTCCGCCCTGTATTTCAGATCCTCTGCCTTCTTTTTTGCCCAATATGCCTTCTCGATTGTCCGGAATGGGACGAGGCTGAAGCAGTTGTGGCACCTGCCAATCGGGATGGATATCAATAGGATTTTATTGATATTCATTCTTGCCAGTACTGCACATCAATTGTGAACACAATCGAAATTACAGTTGAATGCAGTTGAATTTGTAGGCATCCCCACCTGCCAATGAAACGCTTCTCAGCAGTGATGATGGGAGGACGTCGCTGTGGGCAGTCAGGCCGGTCAGGTTTCTGTGAATGGAAGTGACAAATGGCATCTCGAACCTCCTGTCCAAGAGCTTTCCGTGATATAAGCATTTCGGTGAACGGCTCAAATGAGTGCATGGTGGCCTTGAAGCCAGACAGATGGAAGGTGTCTCTGTCCATCTCCTCATCATGAACATCATCCATAACAGCAACATCTAGAGGCAAAGGACAGAACATTAAGGTAAAATGATTTGATACAGCTATTAGAGGTGTAAAAAAAAATGCACTGTCAACTACATTCGATTCAATATTAGAATCAATTATAATTGATTATTAGAATATTCAATGCAGTGTGCACTCATTATATACTCAAAATCTGTTTTTAAATGTAAAAATTGTATATATTCCGGTTTGAACATGCACAGATGTTCACGTAGGTGTCTGCTGACATACTTTAACGCTAGGGGGCAGTGTCCAGGCTAGAATGTACAGAAAATAATGAGGAAAGTCTTGCACTTTTCCTCGCTTTCTCCATGAATTAACTCTCATTTCACTGGTTTTGTAATATTTTGAAGATGGGTTGTATAAATGATTGTAACATTGCTCCTCTTCTGCCAGCCGGTCCTCAAAAGGCTCCATTTGATTTTGCACTAGTTCTTCTTCGAGTTGAGTACTGTTTGGGTCCAGTACCCAGCAGTACTGGATAGCCAGTAAGCATTCGTTTGATGCACAGCTCCACTTTATCTGACCTCCTGGCTGTCTGTCTTCTCCAGTTTACAACACGTAGTTGAAATTTGGAGATGAAGCCTGTTCAAGCTATGCTTAGTCATGAACCCCATCTCTGTGTTGCAATGCAGATACGTTTACGTGTATCTTCACAGAAGTATAAAGCGTTGACGCTATCATCAGGAGATCGCTAATTTGATCCCCGGTGATGCCACAGCCATTGGTGTCTGGGAGTCCAAGAGTGGATAAATGTCCTCTCTCTCTCTTTGGGTGGGTAGAACGGTCTTCCCCCTCCCTCCATCACTAGTGCAAGCGCCTTTTAGCTGATATAACAGAATTAGCAGTTAGCATTCTTCTCCAAGTGTGCTAAACTGTCCAATAGACCTCTGAATTAATGCGTCATTCTGTGGTTGGCGTCATGCCTGTATTAGGAACTCTGGGGCTAAGCAGGTTTCACTATGGGAATTTTTTTTTGAACACTGTTGTTATTGCACCCTGTGCTAAACCAAAATGCTAAAATGGTTCAAAACTGAGGTCCAATCCCATTTTTTCTTTTTACCCCTACCCCTTGTTGTCAAGTGTCACCTTAACCCCTTAGAACTGAGTTACAAGGGGTAGTGGTTGAAATCTTGCCCTACGAAATGGGAACCTCAAATAAAAAAACAAGATATTACTTCATTAACAGCTACTAGCACTGCTCTGTAGGCGACCCTGCCAGTCTGCAGTGACAGCAGAGGAGGGTACTCACTGTTGGGCTTTAGTTACATTTAGGGCATCATATGCCTTCAAAGAGGGGCAATTATTTATTATCACCCACCCCTAATCCTTCAGTGATACAAAGCTGAAGTCAGATATTCACCAGATTCTCATTCGAATTTCCCCGTTCCACCTTAAATGGTGCAGCAGTTACGTTCTGGCACTTCAGGTGTCAGAACTGCTGGACTATTTAAGGTGGAACGGGAAAGTTAGCAGTTAGCTACCGAGACATTAGCATGCTAATAGTGATTTGTATGCTTGTTATGAAGGAAATGACCAAAATACACTGAAACAACAGTAAAATAAGATAATTATACAGTGGTTATTGTAATTTTTTTAACAGAGAAAATTCTCACATTTGTGGGTTTCTTTGGTCTCTTGTTCAGCCATCTTGACATTTTTTCTGTTTTTCTCATAACTCTCTGTTAGGAGTGTCTGAAAAACCTCCATTTGGAGGGCCATGTAGCCCTAACACTTCACCCTACCCCTCTATCTCAACAAGAATCGGGACACCCTACCTCTAGACATGAACATGCAAAACAGGGGGCTAAGGGCTGAGTGGTAGAGGCAAGGGGTGAAATGGGATTGGGCCTGAGTGTCACTGAATCATTGTACAACAAAAAACAGATAATGCTACATGCATGCTACAAGCAAGCTAATGCTCCAGTGCACTGAAATGATGCTCCACAAAGGTAAGTCTACTATTAAACTTCAACGCTATTATATACCAACAACAACTGCTCCTAATGTGCTGTACTGCTGCCACGTGACGTATGACTTCAGTGCTCTATGATGTTGCATTAGTCACAGTTTGAACAGATGTGGTGGTTCTTCACATCTCAGAGGAAGCTCTTGCTACCCTTCACCCTCCCAGCTTGGTAGCATTATGTGATAGATGGGGACCTAGTTTGAGGATAGGAATTGGCCATGATTAAATTAGGCAGAAACCGGGACAAATTCAGAGGAAAAAACAGTTGTTTGTATTTCTTATTTTCTGTACTCCATTACTGTGTAAAGAGTGAAATAAATTCAGTCAATTTACCAAAGTAATTCTGAATCGAACCAAAATAAACACATCAAACTGAATTGAATCGTGGTGGAATGTGAGATTTCCATAATGTGAAGTGAGATGAGAGATTAAACCCCTGATATCTGATGTTCTGTTGCTGCACTGCACCTCTGTCAGACTCACTAAGTCTGTCTTTACATGGGTTCATAATGCTGCTCCGCTCAGGCGTGTTACACGGCATCCTGAGCTCCTTCAGCGTTGTGCTGTTGATTGATCGGACACTCATCTCCTCCTGCAGCATCATCTGCTATGCAAAGGGAAAATACGATCAGCACAGTGACCTACTGTATTTAGGTACTTTAACAAAGTCACTTTATCTGACCTCCTGGCTGTCTGTCTTCTCCAGTTTACTCAAGTTCTCATACAGCCTTTTGACTGTGGTTTCTCTCTCCTCCAGATTCTGCAAGACAGAAAAACAAAAACAGATCTTTAAATTGAGACAAAGTCACACTGGTACACCTCCAGTGTATACCTCTGGGTTCGTGTTTCATTCTGTCTCAAAACTCTCTGTTAAGTCAGTAATCAAGCTCAAATACACCGATCAGGCATAACATTATGACCTTGTTTCTACGCTCATTGTCCATTTTATCAGCTCCATTTACTATATAGGTGCACTTTGTAGTTCTACAGTTACAGACTGTAGTCCATCTGTTTCTCTGCATACTTTGTTAGCCCCCTTTTACCCTGTTCTTCAGTGGTCAGGACCCCCATAGACCCTCACAGAGCAGGTACTATTTGGGTAGTGGGTCATTCTCAGCACTGCAGTAACACTGACGTGGTGGTGGTGTGTTAGTGTGTGTTGCGCTGGTCTGAGTGGATCAGACACAGCAGTGCTGCTGGAGTTTTTAAACACCTCAGTGTCACTGCTGGACTGAGAATCGTCCACCAACCAAAAATATCCAGCCAACAGTGTCCTGTGGGCAGCGTCCTATGACCACTGATGAAGGACTAAAGGATGACCAACACAAACTGTGCAGCAGCAGATGAGCTATCGTCTTTGACTTTACATCTACAAGGTGGACTGACAAGGTAATAGAGTGGACAGTGAGTGGACACAGTGTTTAAAAACTCCAGCAACACTGCTGTGTCTGATCCACTCGTACCAGCACAACACACACTACCACACCACCACCTCGTCAGTGTTACTGCAGTGCTGAGAATGATCCACCACCCAAATAGTACCTGCTCTGTGAGGGTCCATGGGAGTCCTGACCACTGAAGAACAGGGTAAAAGGGGGCTAACAAAGTATGCAGAGAAACAGATGGACTACAGTCTGTAACTGTAGAACTACAAAGTGCACCTATATAGTAAGTGGAGCTGATAAAATGGACAATGAGTGTAGAAACAAGGAGGTGGTCATAATGTTATGCCTGATCGGTATACATGGGAAAACTAGGCAGAAAAGCGGTACTGAATCTGAACTGTAATGAAACTGATATTGCAAGCGTGTGATCACTGATACCAGGCTGAGTTGTTCTGTCTTGCACTCCTTAATCCAGGTACTTCTGGTGGTTTCCGGAGAGCGAGGGGTTAACTGTGTACTGGCTGGAGTTACTTGCCTCTGTATCACTCTCAGAGGCCGCAGAGTTCGACATAATCTGCAGGAAGATGAACTTGGTGACTGTGTTCAAAATCAACCATTGGAATTCAGTGCATTTTTACACCCCACATTGTGTGAAATGTCTGCTGTTTACCCCAGGCTTCTCCGGGTCAGATGTCCTCTAATCCATTTCTGGATAATCAGAATCGGGCAATAATTAGCCTGGATCTGATTTATTACTGCAGTCAAGCCCTGTACCGCTTTCATTTCAGTCTTGTATGAATCCTAAGTGTGAGAAAGTAAAAAAGACTTTGTAATTCTGAAAGTTATGGATATAAACTTCTGTTCAAAAGTTTGAAATCACTAGTTACATTAATAATTGTTGTTACTGTATTTAATAATACTTAATAACAATTAAAATATTTATAATATAATTATACAATTAATTATAATTATAATAATTATACAATTAATTATAATAATAATAATAATATATTAAAACTTGAGAACAAAAGGTATTTTAGATGTCTTATTCAATATTTCAAAGTATTTTGGGGGACATTTTACCAATTTTTGCTTAACATTTTTGACTGTTTACATTTCAATGAGTGAGTTATTCAGAGTGGTTTGGTGTGAAATGGTTGATTTTCAGAGACTCAGATGTCTTTACAGTGGTGGTGATAGGAACCAGGGGTCGCCATGACTTACATAGACATTTTATTTGCTCTCCAAACCACCAGTGAACCTACACGAGTCTTCTGAGGTTTTAGATGTAATGTTGATGATGGCAAAATAGTGGAAAATCTTAAAGGGCTTCTTTGGGACTATTTTGCCTCACAACACCCTGCATGTACCCCTTCACCATGAATGGATTTAAAAATACGTGTTCGGCCAAAACCTTTTCAAAACCATCATAAAACAGTGTCTCAGACATCAGGCAGTGAATTCATAACCATTTCATGTAGTAACTTTCTGTGAGGGAGCTTTTAGAGGTGGACGTCTGGTTCCTATCACCACCGCTGTGAACAATTCTGACTCTAGAACAGAGCATTTAACACGAAACCACTCTGAAAATTAGCACTTTTAAATATGAGTAATTATGGCCATTGGTTTTATTATAACTTCATTTTGGATTTTAATTTTAGTAGAATCAACTACAGCTTTGTTCAATTTACTTACTTGTAAATTAATTATTTGCATCCTGTGAGGTTGTACAGGTTGAGCATATTAGAATTATTTATCTGCAACCAAATGGTTAATTACTGAAATTGATGATTCCAAACTTTTGAGTGGGTTATGCTTATTACGAATACATAAAGATCATCAGCCAACATTAAATCAATACTAACCGTCTTTGAGGATGGATACAGATTTACACAGAAATGAGGAGCCACTGCCTTAAATTTAGAAGGAAGGTGCCACTTTTCGACGATCTCCTCGTCTGAGATGACGCGGTTATCCAGCGCCTTCAGGGACCAGATGCTGTTGACAACGCAGTGTCTGTAGTTCTGCTTCAGACTGAGCGGCGTGTCGTAGAGGGTCAAGGCTGTTAGTTTCGGACAGCTGGACAGAGCAGTAATATTTCTCCTCTCTGCCAGGTTGTTGTCGTGTAGATTGAGCAGTTGTAAATTTTTCAGATTACTCCAGAATGAAGCACTGGGAAGATGGGTTATCTGACAAGGAAAAGCAGCATAATTAACCCATTCACATCTAACAAATGAATGTATTATGATAAAGGAAAATGCCACGGGACCACCCCAAAGTGTGGCCTGCCTGTCATCTTTATTCATATATTGTTTTTGTCTTTTTGCTTCTTAGCCCACCAGAAACATTGCACTCTGGCACCCCTGGTCTAAAGTGATGAAAAGTATAGTTGTGTAGTTACACATTGGATGAACATCTAACAGTGCTTATTTGAATTTTTTGATTACATGCATTTTTTCTTACTTTTGTTCACAATCAAATGTAAATTTTCTTTTCAGTAGTCCTATGGAACCAAAAGACTAGATTACTAATGTAATTAAGTGATAAAAACTTGCTTTTTAGGCATACAGTTTGAGCAGTTTTAGGCCCAGTCCTATTTCTTATTTTTACCCCTAACCCTTGTTTTCGAGTGTCACCCTAACCCCTTGGAACTGAGTTACAGGGTAGTGGTTGAAATCTTCCCTCTGATATGAGACCCTCAAATAAAAAGAGCATCACTTCATTAACAGCTACTGGCGCTGCTCTGTAGGCGACCCTGCCAGTCTGCAGTGACAGCAGAGGAGGGTAAAGTTCAGCTCCTCACTGCTGGGCTTTAGTTACATTTCATATGCCTTCAAAGAGGGGGGCAATTATTTATTATCACCCACCCCTAATTCTGCAGTGATATGAAGCTGAAGTCAGATATTCACCAGCTTCTTGTTCGAATTTTCCTGTTCCACCTTAAATGGTGCAGCAGTTACATTCTGGTGCGTCAGGAGTCAGAACTGCTGGACTATTTAAGGTGGAATGGGAAAGTTAGCTAGCTACCGAGACATTAGCATACTACTAGTGATTTTTTATGCTTGTTATGAAGAAAACATCCATAATACACTGAAACAACATTAAACTAAGTTTATACAGTGGTTATCGTAATTTTTAATGGAGAAAATTCTCACATTTGTGGGTTTCTTTGGTCTCTTGTTCTCCATCTTGCCGGTTTTTCTTTTTTTCTCATAACACTCTGGTTAGAGTCTCTAAAAACCTCTGTTTGGAGGGTCATGTAACCCTAACACTTCCCTGTACCCCTCTATCTTGACAAAAATTGGGACACCCTACCTCTAGACGTGAACGCGCAGAACAGAGGGCTAAGGGCTAAGTGGTAGGGGCGAGGGGTGAAATGGGATTGGGCCTTAGTCATATGGTTTGATCAGATTTGTTCTCTGGACCAAAGGAAATGTAATATTTGGACATTCATGGGTTAATAATTGAATTTGCTCCTCTATCTGCACCATTGAGTTTGCACCTCTATAATGTATGTACAAAATGTTATAACTTCAGAATTACCCATTTAGCTCCAGATTAAGATGCATTACTCAAAAAACAGCATCAGTTATCAAGTAATAACCACTAATTATTCAGTCTCTACTATGAATTATCCAGCAACTACTACATATTCTTCAGTAATTACCAGGGTTTGAATCAAGGGGATTCTATTCCCTCAGTCAAAGAAATGACAAATCATTTGTTTCTAAAACCATCCCCTGTTTGTAAAGCCATCCCCCATCCATCCTTCTTGGATGAATGTCATTGGAACACAGTCAGACGTTTGCTGTTTATATTTGTAGTAAAACTCGCTCAAACCAGGTTCGATGCCAGGTGTGTTAAAGGGCCCATATCCTATATTTTGCTTGCATCTTATTTTTTTTCCTGTAGATCACGTGTGTCAGGATCCAGTCCTTGTGGGCCAAAACACTGCAGACTTCAGCATACTGCCTGATTCAGCTCATCAGCTAATTTGCAAGGCCTTTATGAACTGAATTCACAGTGTTAGATGAGGGTAAATGATAATATCTGTAGCACTTTGGCCCCGAAGGTTCCCAGTTTGACATGTCTGCTCTAGATCCATCTGTGATGTTTGTGTGGTTTTATGTACCAAAAAACATCCTCTTTGAATGAATGTCATTGGAAGATAGAAGTTTGCTGTTTATATTTGTAGCAAAACTCACTTAAACCAGGTTCTAACGCTGTGGAATTAAAAAGGCTGATTATTGCTGTTTTGCATAGAATTTCAGTTTATACTTAAGCAATACAACACGAGAGGGAGTGTGTTATCGCGAAATAACATCACCTTTCGAAGTACAGACTGAGCCATAAAACTGCCGCAATATCAAGTTTAGCTCAGTTTTGTCAGTTTTTGCCAGATCAGTATTAATGTTGTTTTGTTCCAGCCAGTCTGTAAAGCATCGTACAGCCCATTTAGTTTGGCCAATGGTGTTGGGTTCATTTCTGGCTGATTCCAGGTTGTTTAGCTGTTCTTCTGTCACAGCTGCCGACTGAAAAGCTGCTCAGTGGTGATGACAGTTTGGGAATTTAGTGTCGTCTCATCTTCAGAGTCTGACCAAATCGGCTGTCGGTCAAATGTGATCTTAAAAGTGTCCATTTTCTGTTTGTGGCAAAGTAAGAAGTGAAAACGTTCAAATGGCTTGAGCGTCTCCTACAGCTGTCAGAGTCGTTGCTTAGCAACGGCGTTTTGGCGGAGTGATACAGTGTTTGTGAAAAACCTGTGATGTTATGGTGAAATAACAGCACAGTTAGAACGCTTCTCAACCAATCAGCTTGCATGGCCAGAACTAACTGTTGTATAATTTGTTCTATATATATAAATGGGCAGTGGAATCATTGTTGATTATTTTTTATAGTTTGACCACTGCTAACTACTAAGATTTATTCAGTATCTACAAAAATAATGTGTAACTTATGTAATTATGAGAGTGAGGAACTGAATTATGGAGTTTAAGTGGTTAATCAACTATAAAAACATAAACAAACAAGCCAACCTGATTCCCTTTGAGATCCAGCTTTACCAAGCGCACACACTCTACAAGAGGATCTATCCGGGTCAGGAAGTTGTCAGCCAGGATGCAAATTTTCAGCGCTTTGCAGCGTCCGAGTTGGTCCAGGCTCTTTAACAGCAGGCTGCTCAGATTGACCAACAGAACGTCCTGTAGGTCCATGGCTTTTTCTTCAGGTAATGTGCTGCACCCATGGTCCAATATCAAGGACTCAGAGCAGTTCACCAGAAAAGCCCTCTGAGCACTGAGGGCCTCCATTTCACTGTTTCCTATCGGTCACATTTCCTCTTGGCCGACGCTGGAGGAAACGAGTCATTCATGTTTTATCAGTGCAACGAATAGCAAGTCAAATAACAGATACAAAATGTTTATTATCATTGCCTATCAAACTAGAAACTACTTCCATTGTAGTTACATGTATTTAAAGGGGAATTCCACCAATTTTCAAAATTTCTGAATAATTCAGTCCTTGAGATGTAAACAGAGTCATTCAGAGGTTTGATGTGAAATGGTTCATTGCATATAAACTGTGATGTCTTTACAGTGGTGGTGATAGGAACCAGGGGTCACAATGTCTACAACACACATATAGACATTTTATTAATCATCCAAAACCACCAGTGAACCTACACGAGGCTTCTGAGTTTTTCTAAGTAATGTTGATGATGGTAAAACATGAAAAAAAAGCTTCTATGGGACAATTTTGCCTCACAACACCCTGCATGTACCTCTCTGCCATGAATGGGTTTAAAAATATGTGTTTGGCCAAAATCATCATAAATCAATGTCTCAGACATAAGGCAGGGTATTCATAATCATTTCATGTAATAGCCTTCTGTGAGGGAGCTTTTAGAGGTGGACGTCTGGTTCCTGCATGTATCCCTCCACCATGAATAGATTCAAATAAATGGATTAAAATACATTTTAAGTGAAAACCTTATTACAAAGCTATCATAAAACACTGGGTCAGGCATCAGGCAGCATATATCTAACAACGTCATGTAATATCATTCTGTGAGGGAGCTTTTAGAGGCATTGAACTCTTGATGTCTGGTTCCTAACACCACCACTTTGAACAATTCTGACTCAGTAAGTTTCTCTAGAATAGAGCATTTCACATCAAACCGCTCTGAATGACTCTGTTTACATCTTAACCACTTAATTATGTGGATTTCTTTGAAAAAAGGGTGGAGTTCCCCTTTAAGTAAAAGTTAAGAGTACAATGCAGTTGTACTGAAACATTGACTTATACTTAAATAGCCTGTATTTGTAAGGAAAGCATCACTAGGCTACTTAAGTCAGTTCCTAGTTCCTAATTCATTTCTAATTCATTTATTTGCGGTCATTTCATTCTGTGTGTTCAGTTTTAAGCTACTTTACTGTTGCTCACACCTCTTTGGAGCTTTAGCATTTTATTTTAGACCAAAAGGATCTAAAAGGAGAAGAACAGAAAAGATTAGTTCCTATGCGCATAGATGCTGGATGTACTACACACTCAAAAAGTTGATTGCTCAAGGGTTCTTAAGTAAAAAACAATGGTTCTATATAGAACTATTTCATGCTTAAATGATCCTTTGTGTGGTAAAATAGTTCTTAAGATTGATGGAGAATGTGTTGTATATGGTTCTATATAGAACTTTTTTGAAAAGGGTTCTATAAGCACCAAAAAGGGTTCTGCTATTGTTACGATATCGAGCTTGTTACAATAGAAGAACCCTTTTTGGTGCTATACAGAACGCTTTTCAAAAAAAGTTCTATATAGAACCATCTACAACACATTCTCCAATAATCTGAAGAACTCCTTCATGATGCAAAGAACCCTTTAATCATGCAAAGAGTTCTGTAAGTGTTCATGGTTCTATATAGAACCATTTTCTTTTCTAATGAACCTTCAAAAACAATCTTTTTGTAAGAGTGTACACATAACCATTTTAAGAAAGGTACTATATAAACCCAAAATGGTTCAATATAGCACCAAAAAGGTTATTACAAGCTTGATATCATAACATTAGCAGAACTCTTATAGTGCTATATAGAACCATTTTCAAAAATGTTCTAAATAGAACCAGAATGGTTCTATATAAAAAAGGTCTTCATAGCTCCAAAAAGGGTTCTTCTATTGTTACAAGTTTGATATTGTAACAATAGCAGAACCCTTTTTGGTGCTATATAGAACCATTTTTAAAAAGGTTCCATAGAGAACCATACACAACACATTCTTCATTAATCTGAAGAATAATTTTCACCATGCAAATAACTATTTAAGCACGACATTGTTCTATATAGAACTACATGGAACCATTACCTTTCCTAAAGAACCCTTGAAGAACTATATTTTTAGGTGTGTAAGAGGTTCCACTGCAGTTCTATAGGTTAGAGAACTCTGAACTAGAGGAGATTTTTTATTTTATTTATTTATTATTTTTAATCCGGTCGATCTTTGGTAGCAACTTTGTGTAACTGTTTCACTACAGTGACAGTTCTCTCACCTGTGGATGATCTCAGGCACTTTAGACCCGCGTTTAGATTTGTTTTTGTTGTTAGCGGCTCCAAGCGTTCCTCACCTCAGTTAATGTTGCTGTTGCCATGGCAACGTAAGTTCGAAACGGATTACACGAATATTTTTTTCCGCATTTTATTTGCCACCATAACTAACTTAAAGATTATTTCATGATACATTCAAGAAATAAAAAAATTAGAAAATTAAAAAAATAAAATAAAATAAAAAACCCGAATACTACAGCGTGTCACGTGACTCGGAATGCGGAAGCGGCGATGTAAACACTGCACGAAGCAGCTCCGAACAAAGTTCTAACGTTCATTACAGATTAATTAGAGAGTTATATTTTGCACAACCCCGACTTCCAGAAGGCTTAACAACAGCCCGTTTGTCGCTATTTGTTTGTAGTGTGTGTTTCTTGCTTCTTGTGTCTCTTCTTGCCTCGGTTAGTTAGCTACGCTAAGCTAACGTTGAGTTTAAAGCGCTCACAATGAGGGAACTCAGCAAAAACGCTCACCTGCAAAAAGCCACCCGGGAGAAACTGGAGAGGTTCAACAGAATACGGGGTAAAGATCTCCACTGTGACTGTATGACCAATAAAAGGGAACTCAATCGTTTAAGAGTGGTTTGGTGTGAAATTCTCTGTTCTAGAGAAACTTACCGAGTCAGAACTGTTCACAGTGGTGGTGATAGGAACCAGAGATTCACCTCTAAAAGCTCCCTCACAGAAAGTTAATACATGAAATGGTTGGATATACACTTTCTGAGGCCTCAGACGCTGTTTTATGATAAAGTTTTGGCACAAAATGAATTTTTAATCCATTTATTTGAATCCATTCATGGCGGAGAGGTACATGCAGGGCGTTGTGATGCAAATAGTCTCCAAAGAAAACTTATTTTTCACATTTCCCACTATTTTACCCTCGTCAACATTACTTATAAAAACTCAGGAGATGCATGTAGATTCACTGGCGTTTTGGATAGCAAATAAAATGACTATATTTGAGTTTTAGACATGGCTCTGTTTATGTTTTAAGAACTGAATTATTCAGAAAACTTGAAAAATCGGTGGAATTCCCCTCAAAATATTATTCCCTGCTTTGGGCTGCATCTCAAATAGCTTTGTGCTCCGTATATAGTGCATGACATTATGATCTTGGTCATGTAAGAATGACTAGGGCTGAACTAGGGGAGAATATCTAACTGCAATGTTTATGACTAATATTGCGATTGCAGTTTAAATTGAAATTATTTTCTATGCATTAAGGTTCAGGTCTGTGGCCAAGAAGACCAGAATGTCCATGTTTTCTGGCTTGAGGCTTGACCCCTGATTATAGTGAGCCAGACAGCCAGTAAATTGTGGTTGTGATGTCATAACACATGGAGGTTTGGTTGCCTCTGATTGGTCTAACTATCTGTAGACAGTTCACAAGCTCTGTGTTATTAGGTTAAATATCCCCACTTAACGCTTAAGATGTTTTCGATAATATACGCACTTAAAAAAGATGGTTCTACATAGAACCGTGAACACTCAAAGAACTTTGCATGATTAAATGGTTCTTCAGATTGATGGAGAATGTGCTGTTGATGGTTATGTATAGAACCTTTTTGAAAGCGTTCTATATAGCACAGAAAGGGTTCTGTTATTGTTATGATTCAAGCTTGTAACAATAGTGGAACCCTTTTTGGTGCTATATGGAACTCTTTAAAAAGGTTCTATTCAGAACCATTTTCTGTAGTAAAGAACCCTTGAAGAACTATCTTTTTTAAAGCGTGTAGGCTATATATATTTAAGCACTCTCTTAAATTATGGTTTGATATTAAAATGATTAAGTGCTACAGCAAAACAGTGCACTATACAGTCCTTTCAGTCTCTGGCTGAATCCCAGATGATGCCCTGTTGAACATATACTACGCAATTAGACCTTAGACACTACAATTTTATGACCTATGTAGTGTACTATATAAGGACTAGGGAGTTATTTGGGATTTAGCCGTAGTTTACACGGCCTGCACAGGTTTGTGTTCTGCTGCTCTTATACACCTAATTCATCACAAGAAGCCCTTCATTAGCTAATTGATGTGACCCATCTGCAGGAAAAAGAAAGCTACCCTAAACTTTCTTATAGGCAATAGGTTTTAAACTACCTTTGTATACTTGTGCTTTTAATAGTTTAGTATTGCACTCAGTAAAACACAGGAAAAACTTGTCAATGAGTTGAATAAAATCTGGTGTGTTAGAGCAGGAAAAACACCAAAATGTGTAAAGCTGGGGTGCTTAAAGACCAGCACTGAGAAACACTGATAGAGCATAGCTGTATGTATTCTTGCTTGGTATCAACATTTTAAGATAACTTGATGATATTAAACTTAATGGTTTAAGCCATATCACTGTCACTACAGTTGCATCCATAGTTTATGTTTGTTGGGACTAATCTTGAGGTTAATTGTTCTTCCAGGCAAAGAGGTGAAACCTGGAGAATTTTGGGACCTTGTGGTTATCACTGCAGCGGACGAGGACCAGAGATCTGCATACGAAGTCCAGATCCGAGAGAAGTGCGACAGGAAAGAGCTTCCGATTGGCATTAGTTACCATGTGTTTGCAGATCCTCCAGGATACAAGATTGGCAAGTACAACAGATGTTGGCTCTCAAAGAATATGTAACTGATTGTCAGAGTGGTAATATGAGCCTTCATCTGGTCTTCATACAGGTAATGGAGGGTCAACTTTACATTCACTGCAGCTCCTGAGTGATCAGTACGGGGCGAACCTGTCCAGATTCAGAGTCATTCTGATACATGCAGGTAGGTACTTTTCAATTTTAATGCCAACCTGAAATCAGAATGGACCTTATCACCTTCCGCTCCCACCACCAGCACCTGTCATGGAGAGAAAACACTCAGGTAGCTCATATCCTATAATATCCTATATCCTATAATAGGCTCCCTGCCTAATACCACATATTTCCAGGACCCATATCCTATAATTTTATTGTCTCTTTTGCCTTGTTAGAAATTAATTTGTACATGATCTTTTCGGTGGTTGGTATGGTGTAGTGGGTAACACCTCTGCCTTCTGCCTCCATCCTCTTTTTATGGCTTAGATTGAAACAGGCTGGTTTTGTTACCATGTCTTCCAGACTGATATACAGTCATATGCAGAAATTGGGACACCACTTGTCAAATTACATGCTTTGTTGATTTTCTAAGTAAAAATAAGTTAACGCATCCTCTACTGGGAGCAAACTTAAATATGGCATTTCTCTACAGATATTAGTGCAAATTTTAGTTATTGCTGTGTTTAACATATTGGAGAAAAAATGTGCCATAACTCACACATTAAAGAGGGCAGAAGTGTGTTCTCTGTGGAGGATGTGTTTTTTTCACGTAGGAACAAAAATGTATTTTGCATATAACTGTATATATGTATATATTGCTTTCGGAATATTGATACTTTAGTACTTTACTACTCTAGTCTGCAGATTTTTGGGTCAGTCAAAGAATCGAATAGTGGGTGAGGGGTGCAGACTCCCATTTCAGATTTGTCAGAATTTTTTTAAACATGTTTGATTTTTTTCAACCCGACTCTGAGTGTAATCTAGTAGGGTAAACTGGTCAGCAACTCAACAGCCAGTGAAAACTGAGAGCGCGAAAGAAGAAAATTCAGCAAGTAAACAAAGAAAAATGGCGAAAAGTCTCTCACATGTGGAGCGAAGCTTTTTAATGAGTTTAAGGCATGAGCACAAACGAGTTTATGTACGTTTAAAACTCACACTGATCACATTTTTTAATCCATGACCATCAAACTTGTTTACCTGCTGCTTCTTTACTGTGTCACTGCAAACAGCAGCAGCTGCTACACGTTTGTTTATTTGCGTCCCCAGTAATTGGAGTTTGCATGAGTTTGCGTGAGTTGAGTGAGTTATTTTTGGTTCAGGAACAGCTTAAAAGTAGTGTGTGATCCCTAATCGTTTAGTGAGTGATCCCCAATATTTCAGTAGGTTAAAAAAATCTGACAGTGTGAGATGCCCAGTCTTTTTATAATCTGTTTGGACCTCAAGTCGTATAGTGTACCCAAGGCTTAAGTGAAAAGAAGTTAATAGTTCCTCTGCCGGAAACACACTTAAATATGGCATTTTCTGCAGATATTTTTGGAGATTTTGATTTAATGCAGAGTTTAACATATAGGAAAAAAAGTGCCATAACCTTTGCACAGTAAACAGTAATTGCACATTAAAGAGGGCAGAAGTGTCTTCTCTGTGGAGGATGTGTTAACTTTTTTTCACGTAGGAATAAAAACATAAAACTGTAAATATGTATATATTACTTTTGGAATATTGCTGCTTTTTCCTGTTAAAAATATTGTCTCTTATTACATAACAAACAAACCTTTACTGATACAATAATGGCACATTGTATCTCCATGCATGCAGGAGGCTTCAGCCAGCGCTTACCCAACGCCAGCGCTCTTGGCAAGATCTTCACCGCACTTCCTCTTGGAGAACCTCTGTATCAGATGCTGGAGCTCAAACTGGCCATGTACGTGGACTTCCCTTCTCGCATGAAGCCTGGCGTGCTGGTCACCTGCGCCGATGACATCGAATTATACAGCGTGAGTGATAGTATTGTGTTTGATAAGCCAGGCTTCACGGCACTGGCCCACCCTTCGCCTCTGTCCATCGGAACCACGCATGGAGTGTTTGTTCTGGAACCAGCAGAAGATTCCCAAATCAGAGACGTGGAGTATAGAACCTGCTTCCAGTTCTTGCACAAACCGAGCATTGAAAGAATGCGTAAAAGCGGTGCGGTGTGCAAGAAGGCGGGCGAGGACTTTGTCTACACTGACAGCACCTACTTTGTTGATTATGGCAGTGCACTGACACTACTGAGCTTGTTTAGAGATATCAGACCTTTGAGATGTGAAATAGACGCTTATGGAGACTTTCTTCAGGGCCTGGGTCCAGGGGCCACAGTGGAATACACCAACGACACCGCAAACGTCACCAAGACAGAGAGCAGCCTGGTGGAGATCAGAAAGAAAATCTTCTACTGCCTGAAAGGAACACCACTCAATGTCATTCTCCTCAACGAATCAAAGTTCTACCACCTCGGCACCACAGAGGAATACCTGTTCCACTTCACGGTTGACCCATGTCTCAGGGCGGAGCTTGGCATCCTGCCAGCCGCCTTTAGTGTATGTCAGCTGGAGGCTTCTGAAGAACATACTGCTTGTGTTATGCATAGCGTTCTGCACCCAAGCACTTCAGTGTCTGCAGGAACTGTGGTGGAGTACTCCAGACTGGAAGCCAAAGTAACCGTTGGCACCAGAGCTATTGTGAGCGGATGCTGGATTGGAACAGAACTTTCAGTGCCCAGTGAAACCTTCATGCACTCTCTAAGCACCACTCTGGATGGCAAGACAGTCTTCGTGACCGTAGCCTTCGGCATCCGAGACGACCTGAAGAAAAAAGTGTCCAGTCCTGCGAATATAGACAAGCTGGAGCTTTTCGGAGCCACCCTGGAAGAGTGCGTGAGCCGCTGGGCGCTGTGTGCCGAGGACATGAGGTTCTCTAGGGATGTGTGCAACCTGTGGAACTGCTGCCTCTTCCCTGTATGTAAGGACATGAAGAGTTCCTTTGCTACAACATTGGAGATGGTGTGGGCAGCGCACGGGAAAGGGAAAGTGACCTTACCCAGGAGCACTAGACTACTCTCACTGCAGGAGATCCTGCAGAGCAAAGACTTGGAGCGGATGCTGGGCTTCAGAAAAGGGCTTTATGAAGAAATTCTCACAACTAAATGAACTGTTGCACCAGCGGCAGCATAAATCAGAGATACTGTAATTAGAATCATATCAGAAATGTTTATTTTAATTTGAGGAGAAAAAGAAATAGACTTTGGATTTCAGCCATTTGACAAAAATGAAGACCTCATGTTTTAATTTCTGCTATCATTTAAAATGAAATATACCATCTAGTGTAGCACTCTTTCCACACACACACACACACCTATATATATATGTATGTGTGTGTATGTGGTCACACTTTATTTGGATGGTCACCTTTAGATGTACAGATACTTAAATTTCTAACAAACTTTCTGGTGATAGTTGAGTATCAACAACATTATGTTTAGGGTTAGGTTAAGGAGTAGGTTTAGGTTTAGGGTTGAAGTTAAGATTAAGTTTAGGTTTTTCATTGATATTTAGATGAATGTTAGTTAAAGACAGGCTGAGTAATTACAAGGTTACCATCCAACTAAAATGTTATATATATATATATATATATATATATATATATATATATATATGTATGTATATGTATATATATATATATATATATGTATATATATATATATATATAAAATGTTTATTTTAATTTGAGGAGAAAAAGAAATATTGACTTTGGATTTCAGCCATCTAACAAAAATGAAGACCTCATGTATACACACACACACACACACACACACATTTGCCAGAAATCCAAAGCCAAATACTGTTTATATACAATATTTTCCCAGAATGTAGATTTGGATTTCTGACACCTATACAAAACCAAACCTTGTCAGTCATATTTGTTGAATATCATATCAGAAGAGTGTCGGCAGCAGCAGATAATTGCTTAAAAAAGCCTTAAAAAAATTGGACATATTTAAATTTGACTGATACTTAAAACTGATATTTCATGACATATTTATTGTGCTCCAGGAGAGCTGAATATTTAGGAGATGCTGGGTGACTGCATTAAAATATCTGCATTTTACTCTTTTTACAGCATTTGTAACCCTGTATAAATGTTTTATTTCTCTGTAATGCCAAACCAGGTAGATATAGTCCTGATTTCCATGTTTATATATCAACACCGGCAGATACAAACATAAAAATACTGGACATCAGCCCACAATTCTCATATCAGCGCATCCCTGACTGTGCTGTTAAACTGCGGGATTGGAGGACCGCTGCACTGCACAGTTTAGTGTTTTCCTTTAGCTTGAGAACCGTGCCAAAGAATAAAGCTTTGTAAATTTGGGACTGATAATGTGAATGTTTATTTTATGCAGGGTGAAATCCAGATGAATCGGGGTATGAGATTTATGCAATAAATAGAACCATGATCATAGTTATTAAAAATTTCATCTTGATGTGTGAAATTATGCTTGAATGTTTGATTAAAATTGATCCTTTTAATTATGTTTATTTAAATTTATAATACAAGAATTTATAATTAAAAGAACTTAAAGAACTTCTTGAAGTGTTGAAGTAATTTGCTTGTGTGCCACTTGACACATTTAACCATTTTTCAGACTTTACAACACTGTGCAAAAGTCAACGGCCACCTTCAGTTATTTTATTTTATTTCTCATTTAAAACAGCCATAAACTAAATGTGGCTCCTAACAACCACCTGGAAGACCTGGAAGACAACAAAACTGCCCCATCAGATAAACAGCACTTAAAGCTTTCATCTCTGAGAGAGAGGAGAAAATCAAGCTGCTTCAGATCTGAAAACATCCACAGGTGTTTCTGTCCATCCTTCCACTGTGAGAAGACGACTCAGCGCTGTGGGTCTTAAAGGATGTGTAGCTGATCAAGAAGAACCTCACTGAGAAAAGGAGATGGACACATCAAACAAAGAAGCTGGACAATGGACTGACCACCCCAGAGGCCAGACCTCAGCATCACTGAATGTGTTTGATTACTTCAGGAAATAATCAACCAACTTCTAAGACTGAACTTTGGAGGTGTGTCTGCAGATTCTTTGCGGAACTGAAAGTGGGTCTCCTGAAAAAAGTGGAAGCTGGAATAAGTTCACAGTAAATACTAAATAAAAACTACATTTGCGTTATCTTAACTTGTGTCACTTCTAAGGTCATCCTGAAACATCAGTTAACACTTGTACAGTACTGTGCAAAAGTAGAAGTGAGAGTAAAATTTAAAAAAAGGTGTGCTCTCTGTAGAGGATGTGTTCAGTTATTCAGTATGAAAATCAACAAATGCATGTTATTTGACTAGGGGTGCCCAAACTTTTGCATACGGCTTTTGCATGTGTCTGTTTTGTACATAATGACCCTCTTTTAATAAATAATACACTTAAAATTGAATTCTGTTGATAATAATGTTTAGCATTATGCCCCCATCGGTATGTTCATGTTCAGATATCAGAGACCTTATCTACTGAATAACATCACAGCTCTCTTTTGCTGTTACACCTGTTGTTTGAAGAGAGTTAGAGGGAGAGATGCAGCCTCATCATAGCTCACAGCGCTTGCTCGCTCACTCGCGCAGGTTCAGCTGTCTCTGCTGTCTGACATTCCTCTCAGTGTATTTTTAGCAGGAGGGCAGAGATCCCGGCTTTATCTGCTCCAGCTCTATTGTGTTTGAGACTGGAATAGCGTTTCAGCTGCACGACACTGCTCTGATCTCGCAGTGAAGGGTTTGAGTGGAGCGGTTCGATGGGGAATTACAAATCAAGACCTACACAGACATGCACAGGTAAAATGCTCTGATTCCTGTCTCTACACAGCAGCCTTCTTATTCAGCATTGTTATTATTCAGTATCTGTTTATTCTAAGGACTCAGTGTTTACTATGAATTATTCAGTAAATACAAGTTATGCAGTACCTACCATGAATTATTCAGTGTTTCCTATGAATTATTCAGTAACTACTATGAATTATTCAATATCTACTATGAATTATTCAGTGTTAACTATGAATTATTCAGTATCTACTATGAGTTATTCAGTATCTACTATGAATCATTCAGTGTTTATTATGAATTATTCAGTGTTTACTATGAATTATTCAGTGTTTACTATGAATTAGTATCTGTTATGAATTATTCAGTAACTACTATGAATTATTCAGTGTTTACTATGAATTATTCAGTACCTACCATGAATTATTCAGTGTTTACTATGAATTATTCAGTACCTACCATGAATTATTCAGTGTTTCCTATGAATTATTCAGTAACTACTATGAATTATTCAATATCTACTATGAATTATTCAGTAACTACTATGAATTATTCAATATCTGCTATGAATTATTCAGTAACTACTATGAATTATTCAGTAACTACAATGAATTATTCAGTGTTAACTATGAATTATTCAGTATCTACTATGAGTTATTCAGTATCTACTATGAATCATTCAGTGTTTATTATGAATTATTCAGTGTTTACTATGAATTAGTATCTGTTATGAATTATTCAGTAACTACTATGAATTATTCAGTGTTTACTATGAATTATTCAGTAACTATTATGAATTATTCAGTATCTACAATGAATTATTCAGTGTTTACTATGAATTATTCAGTATCTACTATGAGTTATTCAGTAACTACTATGAAATATTCAGTGTTTACTATGAATCATTCAGTAACTAATATTCACTTTTCAGGCATAATATTTTACATGTTGTTTCTAGACATGTTGTTCATATATAGTAATTAGAGATGACACTGATCTGATACCCAGTATCAGGACAATATCAGCAAATTTTCAGTATCTACAATTAATTATTCAGTATCTACTATGAAGTATTCAGTGTTTACTATTAATTATTCACAGATAATATTATACATATTGTTTCTAGACATGTTGCTCATATAAAACTATGAATTATTCAGTAGCTATTATACATTATTCAGTCACTGCTATTATTTATTCAGTATCTATACATTTTTCACTACTGGGCATGTTTACTGGGCCTAATATTATGTAACTAGTTTCTATACATGTTGCTCATAAATAGTTATTAGAGATGACACTGATTTGACACAGGACAATATCAGCAAATTTTCAGTATCTACTATTAATTATTCAGTAACCACTACAAATTATTCAGTATCTATTATGAATTATTTAGTATCTACTATGAATTCTTCAGTAACTACTATGAATTATTTAGTGTCTACTATTAGTTATTCAGTATCTACTGGGCATAATATTATATAACCAGACATATAAAGTGATTAGAGATGGCACTGGTCTGATACCCAGTATCAGGACAATATCAGCAGAAAATGCTGTATTTGGTAGCAGAGAAAAAATAGTAAATCTCATTTAATTTTGAAACCTAGCCTGGCTATTACAACATTATACAATGAATTGTATGTAATGATGGCATTTTATTCAAAACTACACCTGGCTTATTTGGAAGCCCACTTAGAAGAAAACAATACAAAGATGAGCTCTGATATTCATTTATTTAATACAGTATAATTTTGCACAAATTTGCACTTTGAGTTTTATTTGTGTTTTTTAAGCTTTACTAAAGTCTTTTCACAGTAGAAAATGATTAAATCATTATTTAAAGTTCCTACGAGTTGAAGGCAAACTGCTGCTTCATGATCGCTAAACTTTGCAGGGATTTTTACTTATTTAAGTAACAGTTAAGATAAAATGTTTCTCAGAACACGCCCCTCAAAGCATGCTGTGAAATAGCTGAATGTTCTGTATGTGCTGGTTTTTCTACAGACGAGTGGAAGAAGAAAGTGAGCGAGTCGTACTCAGTGATCATTGAGCGGCTGGAGGATGATCTGAGGGTCAAAGAGGAGGAGCTGGCCGAGCTAAAGCATGTGTTCAGGTGAGGCTGAGGAGGAGCGTCAGAGTCGCTCAGTCCCCACGCTAATGTGATGTTAAAGGGCCCATATCTTACATTCTTCTTGTGTTTTAGTTTCCACTTTGAGGTCCATTTGTGAGGTTTTATGTACCAAAACCATAATTAAGTTTTACCAACTCTCTTTTTCCTTTACAATTAAATAGGTTGTTTTTGTTTCTTTGCCTTTAAGACTGATACATGTATGTGAGCTCTGCTCTGATTGGCCGTGCCTCATTCAAAAAGCAGAATGGACTGAAACACAGCTTATATCTTGAGTGTGAATGGGTGGAGAAAAACTGATGTAGCTTGGAAGGAAATGCATTAGTTTTTGTGGAAATATATTGTTTTTTGTGAAATTACAAAAACAACTTTTTTTGCAGTGAATGGTATGTTTTGAAACTTTAACAATGTTTACATACAACATCAAACACTTTTATTTAAAAAAGGCAAGGAAAACTCAGTTTTCCATGATATATAAACAATAAATAAAAGACTTAGGTGACCAGAGGGTTTGTTTATTTGTTTATTAATTAGGGACAGTGCATATTGATCTGCCCAAAGCTAAATGAGTCAATATACTTACTACTATAATAACTTTCAGTTATAGTACATTATCAGTACTGAGGTCTGATAGTGAAGCTAAATTTCCAGAAACATTTCAAATTAATGGGGCATTCCAGCTTATGTTATGATATATTTTGTATAGTATTCAGTAGAGCAGCATTGCGTCCTTCAGCCTTACTAGTAGAGGAACAAAGACCCCTAAAAGTTGACATCTATTATTTTATTGTTTTGTCTTAAATCTTTGAATTACAATTGTTTCAAGGATTTGTATTAATCTATGTTTTGTGTTAAACATTTCAACCAATAGGCCCCTATAGTATTTTTCTGGGTCAGTGCAGGTTGGTTCTGAGAAGGAATTAAGGGCTGTTAATGCATGAAGATGAAGTATATAATCCAAAAAACTGTTGTTATGATCAAAATAATGACATTTCTTGGTGTCTGGCATCATCATTATATTCATGGCACCAAAGTGTACATTACACTTTTAATATAAAATTTCTACCTATGTCATTCACATGTTGAAGGGCCTGTATATAGATGGTGGACAAATATATTGGTGTTATCTTTGCTTTGGGACATAAAGTATGCGTTTATGCACAGCCGATCTAAAGTTGGCCACATTCTGAATTTTATTTTCTGAAATATAAAAGATAGTGCAGACACTCTCCCTTTAAGTCAGGCCTTAATACTCACATTTCTGCTTTTGGGGAGTATCCAAATATTACTATTACTATATTGGAGTTACTCCAATTTTGCAGTAAAATATTGTCATATAGCCATCCATTTCACAAACTAGAGATATTAAAGTTACATAAAAACATGCTTGTGCTTTGTTCTACCTTGGGTGGGGGTATCTCAATAACTAAGGCCTTTTTTTGGAAATTCCTCTACTGTACTGGTTTGACAGAGTTCACAATTTTGTATAATTATTGAGTGTTTATCCATCTCTCACTACAGTATTCAGCATGCATTACGCAAGTACTACATACAGCCATTGGGAGTAACCACCAATAAAGAGATCCCATATTGTGGATCCAATACAAACAGACATGATATTCGATTTCCTAGCAGAACCGTTTTGGTATGCGTCCACTTGTAACTTCACCTCACAGCAGCTTATTCGCTACAGTGACAAGCTCTGCCGCATTGTGGTACATAATGGGTACATTTCTAACTTGTGTGGACAACTTATGCATTCTGAAAATTATAAAAGCATAAGTCTGTATTTTATTCTCATTGCAAGCTTCTGTGTCATGTTAAAACAGGAAATTGTCCCACATGTGGTCTTCCATTACACCATTACGTCTCGCTTCCTTCTTCATTTGCCAACTAGCAGGGAAAAAGAAAAAAACATTTCAAAGAGTGCTTGCAGTTTTTCAAAAGTTCCTCTCACCTTCAGTATACATGACCAAATGGGGGTTTCCTAGACCTTAAACCCAAGACTATTCTTTCAAGACTTATGGCACCACTGTAGGAAGCAAGTTCACAACAGATGCAGAGATGTTTCTATTTTTAATTTTGGATGGACTGTCCCTTTAGCACAATCGACAAATCTGGTAACCCTGCTAGTTTGTGGGCTCTGCTTATTTACTCAGTAAGTGGAGATGAGAGTAAACTACAGACAAGAACCTTAAAACCAAGACAGGCGTTTGCAGAGTTAACAATATTAAATAGCTGAAACTGATGAAAAGCGTTTCTGACAGAATTAAAGCATAAAAAACTTGCCAAAGCTGCTTTTTATTCCTGAAAAAGCCAGAAGAATCAAACCACCTTGGGAGCCACAATATTTTACTTCCATTTTACCATCTTAGCTGTAAACATGTCTCAGTATGTGCTGATGTACTAATATAGGTAAAAAAATAGAAACAAAAACTCAGACTTACTTTGCTCTGCTTTAATCTTTAGCTCAGCTATAGCTGCTTTTTTCGCATCTCTGGCAGGAAACTTTTCCTCAAAAGTAGAACAGTTTCTTGTAAAATGTCTCTCAACGTTCAACTTTTTACAAGGTTGAAGTCGCTTCTCATTCTCCAGCTTCTTGTTCGAGTTTTCCCGTTGCATCTTAAATGGTGCCTGAGGTGCTAGAATGTAACTGCTACACCATTTAAGGTGGAACGGGAACATTCAAACGAGAAACTGACTTCAGCTTTGTGACTGTTTAGTTTGACAGTTTCTCGTTGCAGATTAAACGTATCAGGAAACCAGCTGGAGTGATTATAAATGCAAATAAGTCCATTTGTTCCCAAATTATCAATGTTCGTCTGAAATCTCTCTCTTTGCCGTTTCGTTAGCTACTAGCTAGGTGAGATTGTTGTCTGCATTGCTATGGTAACCAACAGTCTGCGCTGATCTTCAGGGTTAAAGGGTGAATTAGCAGTTCTACATTAACTCCAGCGTTTAAGACCATTTATTGTTAAACTGTGTTGAACGATCAGCAGAGCTTTATTTTACTGTAAAGGAGGATTATTTTATTTTTACCTACAAATCTGATTCTGCTGTGGAGCCACAAGAGGGCAGTAAAAGAGCCATATGCGGCTCCGGAGCCGTGTGTTGCCGACCCCTGCCTTAGACAAATATTCCTACCCTTTCAGAGTATGAAGGATATTACATTCCATTGTTTCCATAAAACAGTATGAACAAAGCAAATAAACCTAGAAAACATATTTCTTTGAGTCTGTTGTGTTAAAGTTACAGAACTTCTGAAAAGAGGATTTTCAAGCCATAACAGTGTCTCTCTTTCTGTTCTCCTGTGGTGGTTTGTGAATTACACAGCTCAGACGAAGCCTTCAACAAAGTGAACCTGAACTATCGCACAGAGAACGGCCTCTCACTGCTGCACCTGTGCTGCATATGCGGAGGTAGGAGAGCAATCCTGTGATTCCTGTGAAGTTTCACCGTGTTTGCCTACGTTATGCACATTAAAGAAGCCATAAAATACCTAGATGAATCCTTAAATCAGCCAGACAAGAAAGTAGTTTCATGATAAATCAAATGTAAACAGTTTTTTTTCTGCTAACCTCAAATGTTGCCTGTCAGCCAAGAAAAAGAATTAGCATGGCGCTAACTGCACGCCTACATCATCACACTCGCCTCAAACTGTGTGGAGTTGCTCAGTGATCTCAAATAGCCTTGCTTATGTGGTTTCTGACACTGTGTGAAACACTGTTATCTGTACAAATCATTTCAAATTGCTTAACTACTCCACACAGTTCGAGGCAAGTCTGAAAGGATTTACTCATGCAGTTAGCACCATGCTAATTAGCGTGTAGCAGTGGCAAACTGTGACCAGTAGAGCTAGGCCTTCAGTTCCAGACATAAATGTCAAAACTTGGTCAAAAATGAGAGAAAAACACTACGATAATGTGAGCTTCTGTTAGCGCCCCTGTAGGACTCTAGTATGATATAGGGGTGAGGGGAAAATCGATTCGTAGATGCATCGCGATGCGGACATGGACGATTCTGAATTGATTCACAAATGTCAAAAATCGATTTTCTAAATTTTAATTTATAACATAATGTTGACGGAACACAAAAGGCGGAACTTGGACGTGCGGAAGTGCAGCGCCCGGACTGAAACTGGATAAGCAAGAAATACAACCGGCATTAAAAGCTAGGTCAGGTCAGGAGTCGACAACCCAAATGTTAAGAAGAGCCATTTTGTCCTTTCAACAAAAATCAAACCACTTTGGGAGCCACAACATTTTATGTCCAATATGTGTTGATGTCCTACATACATACATACATCATCTAAACCGCTTATCCTTCTGGGTCGCGGTGGGGTGCTGGAGCCTATCCCAGCTGTCATTGGGCGGAAGGCAGGATACACCCTGGACAGGTCGCCAGTCCATCACAGGGCAGACAGACAGACATACATACATATACAATCACACACACACCACACCTAGGGGCAATTTAGCATGTCCAATTGGCCTGACTGCATGTCTTTGGACTGTGGGAGGAAACCGGAGTACCCAGAGGGTACTCCACACAGAAATGACCCTGGTCGCCCAGCCGGGAATCGAACCCAGGCCCTTCTTCTGTGAGGCGACAGCGCTACCCACTGCGCCACCGTGCTGCCCCGTTGATGTCCTAGTGTAGGCTAAAAATATAAATGAAAACACAGACTTACTTTGCTCTGCTTTAAGCTTTAGCTATAGCCGCTTTCCTCCCACCTCCGATAGGAAACGTTTCCTCAAAAGTAGAATAGTTTCTTATAAAATGTCTCTCGACGTTCGACTGGTTTACGAGGCTGAAGTCGCTTCTCATTCACCAGCTTCTTGTTCGTATTTTTCCATTCCACCTTAAATAGTGCCTGGGGCTCCAGAATGTAACTGCTGCACCATTTAAGGTGGAACAGAAAAATTCAGAAGAGAAGCTGACTTCATCTTCGCAACTTTTTAGTGTTTGATGGTCTCTCGTTGCAGATTTAACGTACCAGGAAACCAACTGCGCTGCTTATAAATGAATAAGTCCATTTGTCTCCAAATGTTCATCTTAAATCCCTCTCTTTGCTTTTTCGCTAGCTACTAGCTAGGTGAGACTGTCTGAATTGCTATGTGACATGCAGTCCGCACGCCAGCCCTCAGGATTATAGGGTGGTGAATTAGCAGCATTTAAGACCATTTACTGTTAAAACTGTGTTAGGACGATCAGCAGAGCTTTATTTTGCTGCAAATAAGGATTATTTTATTTGTACCAGGACAGTAAAAGGGCCGTATGTTGCTGAACCCTGAGGTAGCGTATGGAAGCACTTTGGCTTCTATGGAGTTGAAGGGAAAAGTGGCCTGGATAAGCTGCGCGAACGTTCCATGGTCTAGAAGTGTAGTACTGAGTTCCCTGGGTTAAATGAGGAAATAGATTTTAGCTTTATAGAATTGTTTGTTAAGCCTGATAATTTGCTGTTTTTTTCCTTTTCCTTAGTGTTCTTGTTCGGTTCTCTTATTTTGACAGACTCCCTTTGTGGGTGTGTCTGTCAGTCAGCTGTGTAGGCAGCTTGAACGATTGTCACCTGTTGGCCAAAAAGCAGAAATACACTTTTATTTGTTTGTGAGATTGGACCCTGATGAAGGCAAAGGCAGCTACGCTATCCATAGTTAGCTTTCTCTCTTCTGCCCCAGACTTTTTAACATGTATACATGGATTTACCTGGAAAATAAAGGCAATTTTAATCTTTAATCATAACATATAAGAGTGCCTTTGTTTGAAGTGAACCTTGAATATTGGGAAATCCAACCTTGTTACCAAAGAGCACCTTACTGTTCCATCAGGATATACCTGGAAATCATTTGAGCTCGCCAATAAACCTCCATTTTACATTCCATGTTTTTTTAAAGCTTGTAACTAGAACTTCCGGAAGGCCTTCTCACAAAATTGATCCCATTCTTTGTAAATCATAATATGATTGCTTGACTTCATTGTCATTTCCAAGTCATTTTGGTGGTTACTGCTAATGTGTAAGGCCTTCAGTCCAGCTCCTGAAGTGCTAGCCAATGGGAGAGAAATGATCAGCCATATCTAACTAGTAACCACGGAGGAAAAAATTTGATTGGATCATTTTTCATCAGGCATTTTAAGACTTTAATCCCTCTGTTTCCAGTCAAAACTTAACAATGATAAGAGTCCTGCAATACCTTCAAAGTTTAAATTCAACAAGCATAAAAATTCAATATGCAAAAAATTACAGACGTCACATTAATTCTTCTCCAAAGGCCTAGAAGGTCCTGAAGGTTTCCTACTGGTGTATATAAGCTTTCATTACTTGATAGCTACATTAGCCTCGTAGCTCCAGCACAAAACTAAAAAAGCTTCGGACGCCAAATATGTCTTGGTTGATCAGTTACATCTGAGGTGAGAGAGGACACTATTTTATGTTCTGTATGTTGTTTGGAATGTTAAAAAGGCTTCAACTCGTCTAAACTCGTCTCAGCTAAATGTTGCTTCTCGGCTCTCACTTTTATGAAAATAGCTTTGATTTGTTAAACAGGAAACAAATCCCACATCAGGACGCTGATGCTGAAAGGGCTGCGTCCATCCAGACTGACCAGGAACGGCTTCACTGCTCTGCATCTCGCTGCCTATAAGGTACACTCTCCATCCAGCAATACAGAAATACAACACCTTTATACCTTTAGAGCTTGTGTGCAGCATTCACTGTGGTTTATTCCTGTATAATTTAATAATCCACTTGTGATATAATATGTAATATATTTGTAGTAAAGTACAAATGTGTGATTGTTGTAAAAGTGACAGAGGGATTATATGAGATTGTGTTTGAGGTAGCAGAGAATGATACAGTATCCATTAATGGATTACATTCATATACACTTTGGCCACTTTAGTAGAACCCCCTCCTTTGCAGGTGTTTGTGCTATAGTTTGTGTTAGCCATCCTCTAGTCCTTCATCAACGATCAGTTTCTGACCACAGAAATGACCACCCAAATGGTGCACCTATACTGTTTAGCTGATAAAGTGGCCAGATAGTGGAAGTACAAGGTGGGTGTTTGCTAATAAAGTGGCCAGTGAGTGGACATACAAGGCAAGTGTTTCTAATAAAGTGGCCAGTGAGTGGACATACAAGGCGAGTGTTTCTAATAAAGTGACCAGTGAGTGGTAGTACAAGGCGAGTGTTTCTAATAAAGTGGCCAGTGAGTGGACATACAAGGCAAGTGTTTCTAATAAAGTGGCCAGTGAGTGGATTCTCAAGGTAGGTGTTTCTAATAAAGTGGCCAGTGAGTGGACATGCAAGGCAAGTGTTTCTAATAAAGTGGCCAGTGAGTGGTAGTACAAGGTGGGTGTTTCTAATAAAGTGGCCAGTGAGTGGACATACAAGGCAAATGTTTCTAATAAAGTGGCCAGTGAGTGGACATACAAGGCGAGTGTTTCTAATAAAGTGGCCAGTGAGTGGATTCTCAAGGTAGGTGTTTCTAATAAAGTGGCCAGTGAGTGGATTCTCAAGGTAGGTGTTTCTAATAAAGTGGCCAGTGAGTGGACATGCAAGGCAAGTGTTTCTAATAAAGTGGCCAGTGAGTGGTAGTACAAGGTGGGTGTTTCTAATAAAGTGGCCAGTGAGTGGACATACAAGGCGAGTGTTTCTAATAAAGTGGCCAGTGAGTGGACATGCAAGGCAAGTGTTTCTAATAAAGTGGCCAGTGAGTGGTAGTACAAGGTGGGTGTTTCTAATAAAGAGGCCAGTGAGTGGACATACAAGGCAAGTGTTTCTAATAAAGTGGCCAGTGAGTGGACATACAAGGTGAGTGTTTCTAATAAAGTGGCCAGTGAGTGGAAGTGCAAGGTAGGTGTTTGTAATAAAGTGGCCAATGAGTAAAAGTACAAGGTGGTGTTTCTAATAAAGTGACCAGTGAGTGGAAGTACAAGGTAGGTGTTTCTAATAAAGCGGCCAGTGAGAGTGTACATTTGGATTATTGGGACATGTTCATATTTTCCAGTGCACTAATTCCAGACCCCTCTCATAAAATCCTTTTCTCTCTTTTTACATTCCCCTCTTTCTCTCAGGACAGTGCTGAGTTGGTTACAGCACTGTTACATGGTGGAGCTGATATCCAGCAGGTTGGCTATGGGGCACTTACAGCCCTTCACATAGCCACAATAGCAGGTCATCATGAGGTGGGGACGCCATTTTATATTACACTTACAGCAGGGGTGTCCAGCTTCGGGGGGGTCAGCATCATTCAGTGATTTTGCTGAAACACTCCTACTAAACTGGGTGAACTGGGTGGGTTAGAGCAGGGCACTGTGCTGGACTTGATCCCTCCTAAAACTGAGCTGGACACTCTTACAGGACTACAGCTATTTCTTTGGTTTTGTTAACCCCCTGGGGTCTGAGGACATTTTCTCGATTTCCTTAAATTCTCCTTTAAAGGCTTTTGCATATATGTATCATATCAACATGTGTTATCTTCATCACTACTTTTTAAAACCGCTGCAGCAACTTCAGCAGCTGTAAACTCTCTGCACGCCATTTCACATGTGTCTCCGATGTAGACCAAATTTAGAATTAAGGGTTTCTGGCATGATGGTCAGCCCTTAGTGATCTCCTGAGTGTCCGTTGGTCAGGTTCACACAAAATGTGGACGGACACACGAATCCACCAGTTCCACATGGTGAGAGGCCGATGACGTGTATCTCAGCCCCTCTTCATAGGCTCATAACTCCGGATGTGAGTCTCGTATGATCTCAGGATAACATGGAATTGAAAGGGCGACGCCACAGATTCAGGAAATGTTTGAACCATATTTCTGTGCTGTGTTATCACAAATAGAGGGAAACATATAGAGGCATTGTATTTGACGCAAGGGCGAGTTTGTGGATCCCAGAGGGTTAAACTATTCAAATATAATGAAGCAAATACATTTACATTCAGTGTGCATCATGACTGTGTCAACATACTTGAGACATTTCAGACTTTTTTACTTTGTTTCTATTTCAAACAATGACAGAAACATCGAAAATATGTAAAATATAAAAATAATTTAACAACTTATTTTACATATTCTACCTTTCTCTTTTTTTTTTTCTATTGTGGTCCAGTTATTGAATGTCGCCTTACACTAGATTCCAACCTTTATTCATCCTGAATTAAACGGCTTTCGTGGCTCCCCAGATTTTATAACTGATCAGATCGTTTGAAATGCAAATAAATATGATTCATTTCATTTTCTAATTTTGATGTACTATATAATCGCCCCGCATAATAAACACCAAAAAATAAATCCTACAATTTTCTGTTTGTAGCCATTTTTGCACGACAAATGAATCCAATATGATCCAAAACAAACATGACTGCCAACAGCCCCCATAGCAGTACCACTGAGGGGCCGCCACCCACAGGCTGAAAACCACTGAAATAGATAAACTACACTCTTAAAAAAGATGGTGCTTCTAGGGCTCTTTATTAAAGAAAATGGTTCTAAATAGAACCTTTTTAAAAAAGGGGTTCTATATAGCTCCCAAAAGGGTTCTTCCATTCTTACAGTGTCAAGCTTGTAACAATAGAACTGTTTTGGGTGCTATATAAAACACTTTTCAAAAAGGTTCCATTTAGAACCGTCTATTGCACATTCATGCACATTAGCCATTAATCTGAAGAACCTTCATGATGCAAAGAACCCTTTAATCCTTTGAGTCCTTTGAGTGTTCATAGTTCTATATAGGACCATTTTCTTTAATGAGGAACCCTCAATCTGTACCATCGTGTAGGTATTGGATGGTAACTGTAAATATTGGACTTCCTTAAGGAGAGATCTGGAAATGGTTAAAATATCTCTTGATTATTTAATTTTGTTTTTCAGTGTTTCCTGCCCAGATAAACAGCTTTACAGCTCATTCACTCAGATGCCTCAGATTTCTCCATAGTACTGTATATGTGGCATATACGTGATTACACTCAGATTTCGGTCTTTTTCTTGAAGGCTGTTGACATTCTCCTGCAACACGGCGCCTATGTGAACGTCCAGGACGCTGTGTTCTTCACCCCTCTCCACATAGCAGCCTACTTCGGCCATGAGCAGGTCACTGGAGCCTTCCCTTCACTCCTTTTACTATTAAATGAATATTATTGCATTTACATTAAATGCTTTAAATGCATTAAAGCATTAAACGATTAAAGTGTATGCTGTGGGACCAGCCCAGTGGGGCCAATGCTCAGGGACCTCAGTCCACTTCAGATGGAAAAATGAATATGTAATGACTAAATAAAAGAAATAAAGTCCCCTCAGCTCATACCCTGCCACTGTTTTTAAACTAATTAAAAGCTTCCAAACACCAACAGGATGCAAAAATAGAGCTCTGCAGGAAAAATAGGCTATTATGCATTAATTGAGAATTGATAATTTTGTTTGTTTACATTATGGGTTTTCCAGCACTGTTCAAAGCTCCTGTAAACAAACACTATCTGTTTATTAAAGCTATTTTTCAGGTCTATTTTTTAAAAATGATGTCAATCAGAGTGGTTTGGTGTGAAATGCTCCGTTCTGAAGAAATCGACTCAGGTTTCTTTACAGTGGTGATGATAGGAACCAGGGGTCGCCATGTCTACAACACAAATTTTATTTATTATCCAAAACCACCAGTGAACCTAAATGTGTCTTCTGAGTTTTTGTATGTGATGTTGATGATGGTAAAATAGTGATAAATCTGAAAAAATATGTTTTTTGGGGGGGGGGTATTTTGTATTAGTAAAAATATGTTTTAGACCAAAACTCTTCTAAAAATGTTATAAAACAATGCCCCAATCCCATTTCTTATTTTTACCTCTACCCCTTGTTTTCGAGTGTCTCTTTGCCCCTTGGAATTGAGTTACAAGGGGTAGTGGCTGAAATCTTCCCTATGAAAACAAAAAGTACATTACTCCATTCACAGCTACTAGCGCTGCTCTGTAGGCGACCCTGCCAGTCTGCAGTGACAGCAGAGGAGGGTAAAGTTCAGCTCCTCACTGCTGGGCTTTAGTTACATTTAGGGCATCATATGCCTTCAAAGAGGGGGGCAATTATTTATTATCGCCCACCCCTAATTCTTCAGTGATATGAAGCTGAAGTCAGATATTCACCAGCTTCTTGTTCGAATTTTCCTGTTCCAAATGGAGCAGCAGTTCCGACGCCTGTAGCATCAGAATGTAACATCTGCGCCGTTTAAGGTAGAACGGGAAATTGGCTAGCTACCGACATCAGCAAACTATTTTTTTATGCTTGTTATGGAGAAAAGGACAATAATACACTGAAACGACATTAAAATAAGACAATACAGTGATTATTGTAATTTTTAACAGAGAAAATTCTCACATTTGTGGGTTTCTTTGGTCTCTTGTTCAGCCACCTTACTGGTTTTCATTTTTTTTCTCATAACACTCCCTGAAAAGTCCCTGAAAAACCTCTTTTTGGAGGTTCATGTAGCCCTAACACTTCACCCCACCCCTCTATCTCAACAAGAATCAGGACACCCTACCCCTAGGACTGAATGTGCAAAACGGAGGGGTAGGGGCTAAGAGGTTGGGGCGAGGGGTGAAATGAGATTGAGCCAATGTCTCAGAAACAGTTACATGAATTTACATGATCGGATGTGTCAAGTGGTGTCGTACAGATCTTTTTCATCAACGTAATTGCTTTTTTATGTTTACTGGTTCTGCTTCATGTTATAGATTTTATTCATTTGTGGCTTCTTGACACATTTAAATCATGTAAATTCAAGGCACTATTTAATTATTTGTTCATGTAATAACTTTCTGTGAGGGAGCTTTTAGAGGCATTAAGCTCTTGAGTGTCTGGTTCCCGTCACCACCACTGTGAACAATTCTGACTCGAATGGAGCACTTTACATCAAACCACTCTGAATGACTTTGTTTACATCTGAAACATTTAATTATGCAGAAATTTTGAAAAATCTGTGGAATTCCAATTTAATGTTCCTTCCCTTTGGCCTGTAGTTTAGTCTGGGCAAAAAGCTGCTACGGAAACTGCTTAAAAGAGCAATTAATCATTGTTTGCACCTGAGATGTTGTGTATATTTTCCTACCTGTGACTGCAGGTGTGTAAGCTGCTGCTGAAGTTTGGTGCAGACGTGAACATGAGCGGTGAAGTTGGTGACCGGCCGCTCCACCTGGCAGCCGCTAAGGGCTTTCTGGGTATCATTCGGCTGCTGATGGAAGAAGGAGGCAAAACAGATGGTAAAAATCCTTACAGAGTCTCTGAACCTGGTGTTATTTGGGTGGTTGACTGGACAGCCACTCAAATAATATCTAATCAGCAGCTTCCCTGTGGTCAGAATCTGACCAGTGATGCATTCAGTAGAGGGGGCTGATAAACTGTGCAGCAACAGATGGGCTACAATCTGTGAAACTTTGTAGTGGAACTGTATGATGTTTCCAATAAAGTGGCCAGTGAGGGGATGTACAGCCCTGTGCAAAGGTCAAAGACCACCATGTATTTAATTTCCAGTCAAAACAGACATTAAAGACAAGTTTTTCATTTTTCAGATTCAGGAAAAATGCAGAAAATATGTATTTAACAGAAAAATACAGAAAACTAAATATAATATTACATTTTTCAATATTCAGTGAGTCACTCTTTACCTTTATTCCACTTTTTTCAGGAGACTCGCTTTCAGTTTCTCAAAGAATCTGCAGACACACCTCCAAAGTTCAGTCTTAGAAGCTGGTTGATAATTTCCTGAAGTAATCAAACACATTCAGTGGTGTTGAGGTCTGGACTCTGGGGTGGTCAGTCCATTGTTCAGCTTCTTTGTTTGATGTGTCCGTCTCCTTTTCTCAGTGAGGTTCTTCTTGATCAGCTACACATCCTTTCAGACCCACAGCGCTGAGTCGTCTTCTCACCGTGGAAGGATGGACAGAAACACCCGTGGATGTTTTCAGATCTGAAGCAGCTTGATTTTCTCCTCTCTCTCAAAGATGAAAGCTTTAAGTGCTGTTTATCTGATGGGGGCAGTTTTGGTGTCTACCAGGTCTTCCAGGTGGTTGTTAGGAGGCCCATTTTCTCTGTAGCTTTTAATCCATTTTTGAACAGTTTTTGAAACTCCTGTTTTTTTTCACGTGTTTTTCTTTGACTCTCTCCTTTCCTATACAAGTGAATTATTTTATATCTAATCTCCTGAAAAACTAATAACTTCTACTTGCTACTGGCTGTTTTGACTGGAAATTAAATACAACCCCAATTCCAAAAAAGTTGGGACGCTGTGTAAAATGTAAATAAAACAGAATGCAATGATTTGCAAATCTCATAGACCCATATTTTATTCACAGTAGAACATAGAACACATATCAGATGTTGGAAGTGAGATATTTTACCATTTCATGAAAAACATGAACTCATTTTGAACTTGATGGCATCTCAAAGTTGGGACAGGGGCAACAAAAGGCTGGAAAAGTAAGTGGTACTAATAAAAACAGCTGGAGGAGCAATTTGCAACTAACTCACATGACTGGGTATAAAAAGAGCATTTTAGAGAGGCAGAGTCTCTCAGAAGCTAAGAGGATCAGAGCTTTACCAATCTGCGAAAAAATTGTCAACATAAAATTGCAACGACTTTGAATATCCCACCATCTACAGTACATAATATCATCAAAAGATTCAGAGAATGTGGGGAAATCCCTGTACGCAAGGAACATGGCAGACGGTCAATATTGGATGCTCGTGATCTTCGGCCCCTCAGGCGGCACTGCATTAAACAGGCGTGATTCTGTACTGGAAATCACTGCATGGGCTCAGAAACAATTCCAGATATCATTGTCTGTGAACACAGTTTGCTGTGCAATCCACAAATTCAAGTTAAAGCTGTATCATGCAAAGAAGAAGCCATATGTCAACACGATTCAGAAACACTGCCATCTTTTCTGGGCCAAAGCTCATTTAAAATGGACTGAGGCAAAATGGAAAACTGTTCTGTGGTCAGATGAATCAAAATTTTAAATTCTTTTTGGAAACAACGGATGTCATGTCCTGCGGACTCAAGAGGAGAGGGACCATCCAGCTTGTTAACAGCGCACAGTTCAAAAGCCTGCATCTCTGATGGTCTGGGGTTGCATTAGTGCCTATGGCGTGGGCAGCTTACACATCTGGAAAGACACCATCAATGCTGAACAGTATATAGAGATTTTAGAACAACATGTGCTCTCATCCAGACAGCGTCTCTTTCAGGGAAGGCCTTGTATATTTCAGCAAGACGATGCTAAACCACATACTGCATCCATCACAACAGCATAGCTTCGCAGAAGAAGAGTCCGGGTGCTGAACTGGCCGGCCTGCAGTCCAGGACTGTTGAGCAGCTAGAATCCTACATCAGACAAGAATGGGACAACATTCCTCTCCCAAAACTCCAGCAACTGGTCTCCTCACTTCCCAGACATTCACAGACTGTCGTTAAAAGAAGAGGGGATGCTACACAACGGTAGCCACGGCCCTGTCCCAACTTTACTGAGACGTGTTGCTGCCAACAAGTTTTAAATGAGTTCATGTTTTTCATGAAGTGGTAAAATGTCTCACTTTCAACACCTGATATTTGTTCTATGTTCTATTGTGAATAAAATATGGTTCTATGTTCTATTGTGAATAGACAGTATGGTGTGAGTTTTGCAAATCATTGCTTTCTGTTTTTATTTACATTTATTTACATTTTACACAGCGTCCAAACCTTTTTGGAACTAGGGTTGCACATAAAGGGTGTTCTCTGTCTTTTGGACCATGCTGTTTAGATAGGAGTTTCTAATAAAGTACACAGTGAGCTTGTATTTGGTTTGCTGGGACATGTTGACATTTTAATGATGTCCTTTAAAGACTTCCTGTGCATCATTAGGCTGCAAGTAAAAGAAGGCAGCAAAACAGAAGGTTAAAAAACCTCACAGAATCTGCCTCTGACCCTGATCAAATATCCGGCCTGCCTCCTCCAGCACTCTCTGAAAATGTTATCTGAGCCGACTGGGGCTCAAATATCAACTGTTAAACAGAAACTGTTCCAAGGCTCAATAATGGTGTAGCTACAAGACTGATTTGAGCAGTTATTGGCTACAACACAGCAGGGACTGAATCTACAGGAAGCTATTAGTGGGAATGTCTCCTCTTTGAACAGTAAGTGCTCAAGACAACTTGGACCATGTCCCACGAGAGAGATTGTTAGAGTAGACTTGCAGCAAAGCGTTGCTTGATCTTATCACACTTTATACATGTTCAAAAGAGCCGTACATTTATTTAAAATGACGCAAGCAAGATGTGTGAGCGTGAAAAACATTTCACAGCAGCCATAGAATGCAATTTCTGCCTGTTTTGGAGTTTCCTCTGTTTTGCACCATGTTTTTTTTTTCAATATGATTGATGGAACATATCGCTGTTGTCAGAAGAAAACCTCATATCTCCAAAATGGTAACTTTTAAGGAGAAGGAAAAAACCTACTTTACTTTTAATGTAAGTCAATGGAACCAGACTTTTTCCCAAGTAATTTTGCGTCATTTCTTTTGGTCCAATCTTCATGAAATTTACATACAAAGCTGTATCATGCAAAGAAGAGGCCATATGTCAGCACCATCCAGAAATGCCGCCGTCTTCTCTGGGCCAAAGCTCATTTAAAATGGACTGAGGCAAATTGGAAAACTGTGTTGTGGTCAGATGAATCAAATTTTTAAATTATTTTTGGAAACCACGGACGCCGTGTCCTGCGGATGCACCATGCAATTTTTTTCAATACGATTGATGGAACATATCGCTGTTGTCAGAAGAAAACCTTGTGTCTCCAAAATGGTAACTTTACAGGAGAAAGAAAAAACCTACTTTACTTTTAATGTAAGTCAACGGAGCCAAACTTTAAATACTTTCAATTTTGGGCCGTTTCTTTTAGTCCAATCTTTATGAAATTTACGTACAATGTAAAGGCAGGCATTTTCAAAGTATGTCAAAAACTGAAAAATGACAAAAATGGAGATACTAGGTTTTGTTCTGACAGCAGCGATATTTTGACTTACAAAACTGGGAGCATGTTGACATTTATAAAAACATTTTTGGTGTTTAAATGCTGGTGTTTATTGTCTCAGGATGGTTTGATATGAAGAAATCTGCAGTTGTCTGTTTTATATTGACACAGCTGTCTTGGTTCATTATTCAGAACCATTTCATGTAGTAACTTTCTGTGAGGGAGCTTTTAGAGGTGGACGTCTGGTTCCTATCACCACCACTGTGAACAGTTCTGACTCGGTATGTTTCTCTGGAATGTAGGTGTTTCACACTAAACTAAACTTTACTGTTCCTCTTTGGGCAGTAAACGCTCAAGACAATGAGGACCACGTCCCGCTGCATTTCTGCGCCCGCTTCGGGCACCAGGACATTGTGCGCTTCCTGCTGCAGGGGAACTTCGATGTCCAGCCTCATTCGGTCAACATCTACGGGGACACACCTCTTCACCTGTGAGTTTGGAAGCAGGATTTCTCTGCCAGTTGACTTAAACCAGAAGTAGGGATTGTCCAGTTGGAATGGCCTTTACCTCCTCTTCTGTTTGATCAGGCTTACGTTATCTGGCTGAGCTGAGAAATCCTCTCCTGTGAAATACCCGACAGTGCTTTTCCAAAAAGGGTTCTTCTGTTGTTACGATGTTAAGCTTGCAACAGTGGAAGAACCCTTTTTAGTGCTTATAGAACCATATTCAACACATTCTCCATTAATCTGTAGAATCTTTACACCATGTAAAGAACCATTTAGCCATGCAAATGGTTCTATATAGAACTCAAGGTTCTATACAGAACCATTTCCTTAATTAAAGAACCCTTGAGGAACCATCTTTATTAAGAGTGTGACACCTATTAATAGTGATGCTGATTATCTATAGCTAATAAATTGAACCCCAGTCCTTTTGTGTTTCCCCTGCTTTAAATCTACTGACTGAGCTCTTTAAAGCAATAGTTTGGTGTAAAATCAAATCATCACATCAATCTTTTTTCCATGTAGCTAATCAGTCAAAACATGTTTGGTGTCTGAAGTTTACTTCTGTAAAACTTTACAAAGTAGTATGAAGTAGTGGTCGTAAAGTATGCCTGCGGTTTGAACCATGCTAACTGGTGGGGTATAACGCTGCTGTCAGGATAAAACCTCGTATCTCCATTTTTGTTGTTTTTGACATAATTTGAAAATACCTGTTGCTCTTTACATTGTGTGTAAATTTCATGACGAATGGACCAAAATAAATGGCCAAAATGCTAAAATACTATGAAAGAAGTCTGGTTCCATTGACTTACATTGAAAGTAAAGTAGGTCTTTTCCTTCTCCTGTACAGTGAGCGTTTCGGAGATATGAGGTTTTGTTCCGACAGCAGTGATAAGCTTCTGTTGTGTGTTAGCTACATTAGCCCCATAGCTACAGCGCAAACCTGAAGAAGAGAACTTCAGACATCAAACATCTTAGCTGACCGGCTACATTTAGGTAGGTAGATAGATAGATAGATAGATAGAGAGAGAGAGAGAGAGAGAGAGAGAGAGAGAGAGAAAGACTTTATTGATACCGAAGGGAATTTAGCAATTTGGTGTAAGGGGAGAAATTGGGTACATTTTTTGCCTGAACTTTCACTTTAACCCTTAGAAACCTAAGATTTCAGGGATTTTATTTGGTATTTTGGGTCAATTACAGTTGCAATTATAAAGTATTTACATGTGACAGTCATACATGCCATATGTTGTTATTTTCAGGAGACCCTGGGCTACTCAGATATGCTATTATTTGACATGTAAATGCTGACAGAAATTTGATATCTTTATGAATTTGGGTCATTTATGATCAAAACTTTACACAGCGCCTGCTAAATTTTGTATTTTTTTAATTATAGAGATCTTGAAAACAACTGCAGTTGTAGTTATCTTTTCAGAAATTGTTAGTCTGGAGTGTCTGTGAGCTGAAAGTGCAATAATTCTGATGGTGATTCATTCTGTTGGTTATTATGAGCAAAAATAAACAATTAGCATAGACGGACATGTTTTTTATTGATATTCTGTCCTCTTGGATTCAGGCTGAGTGCTAAAACTCTGATACACAGCAAGAAAGGCTTTATTTTTAATTACAAATTGAGCTGCATATTTAATATCAGGTATTTTTAATACTCAAAATCAACGTAAACCGAAAGCCCTTTGTTTTCAATATGAAGGCTAACAGCAGAGATGTAATATAACGGTAGCGAGTGGGGTTTGGGTGATTTTGGAGCTGATCTCTGGCTGATGGACGGTCACAGGTGGATGAAATCACTCTGGATGGTGAGGCAGAGTCTGATGAGTGATCTGATGTATGAATCATGTTGCTGTTTTAACCCTTTGTTGGAATATGAAGGCCAAACAGCAGAGCAATATAATCAGGATTTTAGGCGAATTTCCGAGCCGATTTTCACCGATGCTGACATCACAGCTCGGGTCTGCTGAATGTCCTGATATGTGGATCATGTTTGTACCTTAAACCGTTCTGAAGTTATGAAGGCTAGAAGTGACCAACCGTTCTCCGGGTCCTAAGGGTTAAGGCTTGATAATTAGCTGATGCTCATGGATGAATGAGGTGTTCAGAATAGAGAAACCATATAGAAGTGTGAGGTAAGCAGCTCTGGGGTTGTGAAACGCTGGTTCTGCAGTGACTGTTCTTGCGCAGGGCGTGCTACAACGGCAAGTTCGAGGTGGTGAAGGAGTTGGTGCAGCTCACGGGGACAGACAGCCTGTCCAAGGAGAACATCTTCAGTGAGACGGCGTTTCACAGGCAAGGCGTCTCTTCACAAGAGCACTGATCCAAATATGGAGGCTCAACTGCATCAATTTTGGAATGTTAGCACCAGTTATTGATAATAATAATAATCAATAAAGCCAAAATAAAATTCTGTGGTTAGATTTAAAAAGAACTTCCTCTAACTCTTCCTCTAATCTCTCTTCCTCTATCTCTTTCTCTGTCTCTTCTTCTGTCACTTTCTATAACTCTTTCTTTTTTCCTCTAGCTCTTCCTCTAGCTCTTCATCCGTTTCTTCCTCTAACACTTCCTCTTTTCCTGTCTCTTCCTCTTTTCCTGTCTCTTCCGCTGTCTCTCATTTTATCTTTTCCTCCAACTCTTCCGCTAGCTATTCCTCTTGTCTCTTCCTCTAACTCTTCCTCTTTTCCTTTAACTCTTCCTCTTTTCCTCTATCTCTTCCTCTCTTCCTCTTTTCCCCTGTCTCTTCCTCTGTCTCTTCCTCTATCTCTTCCTCTAGCTTTTCCTCTAACTCTTCCTCTGTCTCTTCCTCTTTTCCTCTGTCTCTTCCTCTAGCTCTTATTTTATCTCTTCCTCCAACTCTTCCACTAGCTATTCTTCTATCTCTTCTTCTTTTCCTCTAGCTCTTCCTCTGGCTCTTCCTTTGTCTCTTTCTCTATCTCTTCCTCTAGCTTTTCCTCTAACTCTTCCGCTATCTCTTCTTCTAACTCTTCATCTTTACCTCTGTCTCTTCCTCTTTTCCTCTGTCTCTTCCTCTAGCTCTTATTTTATCTCTTCCTTCAACTCTTCTGCTAGCTATTCCTCTTTTCCTCTAGCTTTTCATGTAGCTCTTCCTTTATTTCTTTAAGTTCTGCAAAATGAAATTGTTGAGATTGAGGATGTAAACATGGTGATCATGGTGATAGGAACCAGGGGTTGCCATGACTACAACACAAATATAGCCATTTTATTTACTATCCAAAACCACCAGTGAACCAACACGAGTCTTCTGGGTTTATATGGAATGTAATGATTGTTTTTGAGACAACTGTTTTGTCTCAGAACACCCAGCATCAATCGCTCTGCCATGAATGGATTTTAAAAATGGCATTTTGGGCCAAAATCTTATCTAAAAGTATCAGAAAACAGAGTCAGGCATAACCATGTCATGTCATGTCATATCTTTCTGTGAAGGAGCTCTTAGGGCCATTAAACTCTTCAGACGTTTGGTTCCTATTACCACCACTGTGACCAATTCTGACTCTGTACCTTGAGATTTTCACCCAAATGAAATGTGCATTTTTATTATTATTATTATTATTATTATTATTATTATTGGTAACTTTCTCTAGAATGGAGCTTTTCACATCAAACCGCTCTCTATTACTTCTTTTACATCTTAACAATTTCATTTGAATAATTAGTGATTTTGAAAAAATGTTCTTCCTAGAACTGAACACCCAAGCTGAGGCTCATTTTGGATCTAAAATAAAATTCTCTGGTTATTTTCAAGTTTAAAATGTCGGAAAGAAGCTTTTGTTATTGCCTACGTTCCACTATTGGGTCAGTAATTCCTACAGTCACATTTGTATGTTCAGTGTATTCTTGCAAGTAATTCTGATTCATATTAAAATAAACAACAAAAAAAACAGACTGGAGCCTACTGAAGTTTCCAGTCCTGGATTCTAGTAATCACAGGGAGGTGTGACACTATCTGGCCAGCTAGTTGCATCAGATACTACAAATGATTACAAAATCCAGGAACGGACACTGTATTCATCACTTTGGGGGCAGTCATGGGCTTTAGGGAACCAGCCTTGTGACTGATCGCTGGTTCACCGGTTCGATCCCCTGAGCCGACAGTGCATGACTGAAGTGCCCTTGATCAAGGCACCTAACCCCCAACTGCTCCCCGGGCACTGTGGATGGGGCTGCCCACCGCCCTGGGCAAGTGTGCTCACTGCCCCCTAGTCTGTGTGTGTTCACTAGTGCGTATGTGGTGTTTCACTGCACGGATGGGTTAAATGCAGAGGTGAAATTTCCCCGTTGTGGGACTAATAAGGGTCACTTAACTTTGGGAAAAGGCCTCTGCTAAGTAACATACTGTAGATTAACTCTAACCTTTCTCCTCTCTCTGTAGCGCCTGCACCTACGGCAAGGACCTGGAGATGGTCAAGTTCCTGATCAGCCAGAATGCAATGAGTATTAATCACCAGGGCCGAGATGGACACACGGGTAACTGTACTAGCCACATTTTACTCATCATCAGTTTTCATTGTCCTGGCTCTTCTAAGTGACCTAGGGATTGTGAAAAGTGCTATATAAATGTAACTTATTATCATTATTAATATTATTTTCTCTTAAAGTGCCCATGTCCTACAGTTTTCCTGTATTTTATTTTTTTCTCTGTGATCCACTTATTGACATTTGTGTGATTATGCATGAAAAATGGTAATTCATTTCTACATGACCATTTTCCAACTTCTGTTTTTCCCCTAGAATTAAACAGCCTGTTTTTGTTACTCTGTCTTTAAGACTTGATATGGGTAAATGAGCTCAGTTCTGATCGGCTGCTCTGTACTGTGCCTCACTCAATTATAACCTATAGTGTGAATGGGCAGGACTAACCTGCTGAAGGCTGAACATTTATGCAAATGGGTTGGTTTTCATGACATCACAAAAACAGTGAGTTAAAATGAGCTGTTTTTGCAGCGTAGCTTCTACACTCTTAAAAACGATGGCGCTTGAAGGGTTCTTTAGTAATGAAAATGGTTCTATATAGAGCCGTGAACGCTCAAAAAAACCTTTAATCATGCAAGAGGTTCTTTGAGTGTTTGTGGTTCTATATAGAGCTATTTTCTTTACTGAAGAACCCTTAAAGAACCATCTTTTTAAGAGTGTAGATAAGGACCGAGGAGTGAACAGCATGATTTAAAAGTTGGAACATTAACAACGTCTACATCAGATTCCTTTATTTCAGGAAAGTGAAGAAGCTGTGTTTGTCCATGATATGGAGCCTTTAAAAAGCCCACACTGGCCTTGAAACGTCTGCAGACAGGGCTTTTTGAAATGTTTCAAATTAGTGAGCATGTTTTCTTTATCGACTTGCATTAACTTAACATATTGAACAGAAGGTGGTTTAGAGCTTTATGAATGTCTTTATAAAAGATGCAGAACTACAAAGCCCTTACCTCGGGATTAAAGCCAGAGGCCACACATTGTATCCCCATATTCTGACGTCAGCACTCCATCCTTTCAGCCGTTTAAAGGTGCCCAACACTGGGTCAGTGTGGAGGCTGCGCTCTCACACAGATTAGTGTGGAGTCCCAGCTTTGGGCTAAAGGAGTTTCAATATGTGCTTTTAACAATAGTTTAGAAAAAACCTATCAAACCAATATTTAGGCAAAAGTTGTTCTTTGCTAACTAAACTTTTTCAGGGACCTTATTTCTTATTTATGTTCTTATGCAAAAGTTTGCGCACCCCCAGTCAATTGACATATTTTCTATTTTCTAATTTCAAATAAGTTTACAGGGAACACATTTATGAACAGGGTGATTCAAAAATATTAATCCGATTTCAAAGCGCCATGTTTTCACAACCATGAGGTGCCGAGGAACCAATCACATTCCGATTGTAAGAGGGGGTCATAGAGTTTCTGACTGTCAGTGGAAAATGGCTCCCTTCAGTCTGAGAGGAGATGGAGACCCCTAAGCAGAAAGCGTTTTGCGTGCTCCACTTCAATAAGAGTGAATCCGTCATAACTGTGCAGTGTGATTTTCGTGGGCAGTGAAGCTCCAGCAGCTCAGAGCGTTCGTCGTTGGTTCCACAACACTGGATGATCTCCGAAATCGCACTGAAAGAGCCGTGAGTGCAGCGACACCCGACATGCTCAATCGAGTACGGGATGAGTTTGACTATGTTTATAGTCTATGTATATAATGTTTATGCAAATGCTTAGGGCAGCTAATAAATATAGAGTGTTCAAATTTTGAGATGTGTATCTCCAGTGGAGGAGATGAACTCTCAGACAATTAAGAACACATATAATTGGACCAGGGTGCACAAACTTTTGCATAAAACTGTAATTGAAAAGTAACAGTGAAAATCAAACATTGCTAAATTTCAAAAGAAGGCTAGGGGTCCCCAAACTGTCTGTGCTGTGCTCTGATAGGTCTGCACAGTGCCTGTTTCCATGGACACATCCGCCTGGTTCAGTTCCTGTTGGACAGCGGGGCTGATATGAACCTGGTGGCGTGTGACCCCAGCCGCTCCAGCGGGGAGAAAGATGAGCAGACCTGCCTCATGTGGGCCTACGAGAAAGGTCAGCTGCCACTCAGCTCAGTGTGGAGCCCTGGCTCTGAGAAAGGCCATACACACTTAAAAATGATGGTTCTTCAAGGGTTCTTTTTGAAAAGGATTCTATGTAGGACCAAAAAAGGGTTCTTCTGTTGTTATGATGTCAAGCTTGAAATAATAGAGGAACTCTTTTTCGCCGCCACTTTTTTGTTCTACTTAGAACCATCTACAGCACATTCTACATCAATCTGAATATGCTTTGATCATGCAAAGAACACTTTCCTATATATAACCATTTCTTTACTAAAGAACCCTTGAAGAACCATTATTTTTAAGTGTGTACATTACAGACAAACAGCATAAACTCTGTCATAAACATAAAACAATTTGATTTTTCCAAGAGATAATAGAGAGAAATAATAGAAAGAAATAATAAGAGAGTTCTTCATGGGTTCTTTAGTAAAGAGAATGGTTCTATATAGAAACATGAACACTCAAAGAACCCTTCTGCATGATTAAAGGGTTCTATATAGAGCCATTTCATACTTACATGGTTCTTCAGATTGATGGACATTGAGTTGGGTATGGTTCTGTGTAGAGCCTTTTAAAAAAAAATGGTTCACCAAAAAGGGTTCTTGTATTGTTACAAACTTGACATTGTAACAATAGAAGAACTCTTTTTGGTACTATATAGAATCCTTTTGAACAAGGTGCTATAAAGAACCATGTACAACACACTCTCCGTTAGTCTGAAAAACCTTTTCTCGAAGCAAAGAACCGTTTAATTATGCAAAGGGTTCTTTGAGTGTCCGTGGTCTTGTATAGAACCATTTTTTTTACTAAAGAACTCTTGAAGAACCATCATTTTCAAGTGTGTACATTACAGGCAAACAGCAAAAACTTTTTTATTAATAAAAACAATTTTATTTTTCCATGAGAATATTATTATTATTATTATTATTATTATTACTAAGTAATGATACACGCTTAAAAAGTTGGTTTTCTAAGGGTTCTTTAGTAAAGAGAATGATTCTATTTAGAACCATGAGCTCTATGTAGAGCCATTTCATGCTTATATGGTTCTTTAAATGGTGAAAAGTTTCTTCAGATTGATGGAGAATGTGTTGTATATGGTTCTGTATAAAGCCTTTTTTTAAATGTTTCTGTATAGCACCAAAAATGGTTCTTGTATTGTTACAAGCGTGACACTGTAGCAATAGCAGAACCCTTTTTAAAACTTTAAAAAGTTGCTATGTTGTGTGTTTTTATTAACTTGGATTTGCAGCCTGAAACTCGTGTACTGTGTAATATACACTCAATAGAAAGCATGTAGGTTTATGTTGGCTGTTATGATGGTGTCCATAAAAGCCCCTTTATGATCTGTGTAGGTCACGATGCCATCGTCACTCTGCTGAAACACTACAAACGGCCTCAGGAAGATTCGCCCTGCAATGAGTACTCACAGCCAGGAGGGGGTGTGATTATACTCACTTACTCAGCATCAGCGTGAAGACTGTACTGCACAAAAGAAAACATACAGTGAAGAGACTAAACATTATAAACATTAAACCAATTTGTTTTTATCTTAATCATAGATGGTTCTTACGTTTCTGTCCCGTCTCCACTGGGAAAGATCAAAAGCATGACTAAAGGTAACACCCCCACCACCACACACACACACGCACACAAACAGAGAAGCCGTTCATGAGGAACTGAACTGACTCCTGTAGTTTCTGTTGCTGTTGCTCTTCTCTGTCCTGTAATTACTAAAATCCCTCAAGCCCTTGTTCAGAAACATTCTCCAAGAATAAAATCTGTGGAAGAGAAATAATCTTAATAACAACAAAGGATGGCTAATGTAGGCCACAAGTAAGACGAGGGAGTTGTGTGAAAAGACTTAGTAAGGCATGACGAGGTAGTAAGAATTGCTGTTCTTAAACCCTATGGTCTGCCAGTGGGGCCTGGTCATTTAAGAGGTTAATAAAGCAGTAAGCCACGAGAGGCCGTGGGTGTTATTAGGCACAACTTGAAGTGCGAGGCAAAGTGGCATGGCTTCAAGTGGTCAATGCTTGTATAAAATATGATAAAATACATGACTTTTCAGAAAATAATTCAAGTTATTATTAATAATAATTGACATAAACATATTCTGCAAGAATTGTAGTTCATTTAGAGTAGATTTAGAGTAACTAGAGAAGAACGTTCTGTGTACTGCAGTCATTTCATGAATTTTTAAGTTTTTGTCATATCAGAGTAAACATATGATAACACAGCACTGTTTAATGCAAAAACCTTCACTTTATAAGTGCTTTTTGGTCACCAAATTACCTCCGCCAGTCTCATTTAGCACCAATCCAGCAGCGCCCTCTTCTCACACTGGGGCCGAATCTCCCTCTTCTCACACTGGGGCCGAATCTCAAATGGCTCCCTGCTCCCTACATAGTGCACTATGTAGAAGTTTAAATACTGGATCCTGCAGCCCAACAGTGCAAAATACACCTAAGAAGTAATCATGTGGGACACATCCACACTCGATAAATGATACAATGACCCACAGCCTCTTTTGGCTTATTGCTTTATTATTTCTGAAGAAGTTCTGGATGAGCAGGTGTCTACAAACTTTTGGACATATAAAGTACATGTAATAGAGGACATTTTCTTGAAGGAAACCGTAGTTTGACCAGGAAAAGAGCTTTTTGGACATTATATGGGTACTGTTGTGAAAATGCCATAAAGCATATATATGAATGTGTTTAGAGCCTCAAAAAGTCCAATTTAATGTTCATGTGCCTTTAATTTTCATTAAATTCCTCTTATGAGCATGCAGGCCCATGGTAATGCAGTTATTAGCCATCACCAGACTGACTTTAGATCAGCAAATTTGATCAACACAACCATGTTTTTCCACAGAGAAGGCTGACATTCTCCTCCTGAGAGCGAGCCTCCCTTCCAACTTCCACCTTCAGCTTTCTGAACTGGAGTTTAATGAGATCATTGGCTCAGGTGTGTTCAGCATCAGTAAAGATCAGGCCATATTTAAGGAGTTCTTTCTGAGACTCACCACAATCTAAAATATCCTTACTTCTGTATTTACAGGTTCTTTTGGGAAGGTCTACAAAGGACGATGTCGCAACAAAATTGTGGCGATTAAAAGGTGAGATTCTAGTTCAGAATCTCAGAGCAGAGCATTGTGGGGACTTCTGTACTATATTTAGAGCCAGTTTCCCAGACCCTGGTTAAGCTAATCCTGGACTGAAAAGACTTTCCAATGGTGAAATAAGGTTTCTTTGGGGATTATTTTGTTCCTCTCCACCATGAATGACTTTTTCAAAATATGTATTACGCTAATATCTTTCTGGAAGAATAAAATTATACAGAAAAGAAAAATTGGTAGAATTCCCTCTTAAGGTTTGATTTAGGAGTAGAGAAGAAGCCACATGTCAGAAAAATTGCCCAACTCCTACACCTGGACATCTGTTCTAAATCAAACTTCAGTTCTAATCCATTTTAACATTTATTTAATACGTGTTCTTCTAAGACCTTGATTAACTGGATCACAAGTGTTTGCTTAAAGAAAAAAAAGTTGTTCAACAAAAAATCACCCCACCCAAACCCCATCTCACCCAACCCAACCCCCACATAAACCCCACCCAAACCTATCTCACCCAACCCAACCCCCCCCATAAACCCCACCCAAACCCTATTTCACCCAACGCAACCCCCCCATAAACCCCACCCAAACCCCATCTCACAAAACCCAACCCCACCCAAACCCCATCTCACCCAACCCACCCCACCGAACCCAACCCCACCCAAACCCCATCTCACCCAAACCAACCCCCTCCATAAACCCCACCCAAACCCCATCTCACCCAACCCACCCCACCGAACCCAACCCCACCCAAACACCACCCAATAGGTTCTAGCTATTAAACCCAAAAGTTTAACAGCTAGAACCTGTTTCATTTTAGTGTAATGCAGTTAGACTGTCTGGGAACTTACCATCATGTTACCCAAAATGATTATACTTTATAAATTTGTACCTCACATTTACCTGGTAAATGCCCAGAACTCAGGGGACTGTAAAAGAAAGCTTTACCAATAAAATCCTCTTCTGTCACTGTGAATTCTGCTTTTTGTGCTGAAGTGTTAATTAAGGTTAAATGAATCGTCTGTGTCACAAATCAAGGCAGAGCAGGAAAATTGTAGAAATTACATGATATATAAATAGTACAAATAAAATGCAGTAGAAGTCACTGGGGTCTCTTGTGTCTTGCAGGTATCGTGCCAACACTTACTGCTCCAAGTCGGACACGGACATGTTCTGCCGAGAGGTGTCCATCCTGTGCCGGCTCAACCACCCATGTGTGATCCCGTTTGTGGGGGCCTGTCTGGACGACCCGAGCCAGTTTGCCATAGTAACGCAATTCGTGTCTGGAGGCTCGCTGTTCTCACTGCTGCACGAGCAGAAGAGGTGAGGACGTTCACCAGGGACAGAAACACAAGCAAAGAAGGTTTTTGGAAAATCAAAGAAATTACAGTGAGACTTTTCGGAATAATGTGGCTGCGTTCACTGAATCGATTTATGTTTTAAAGTGATACTTTGGTGAAAAACAATTTAAACCGTTTTCCCTCTTCATCCTAAATGCAGTCAGTCAGCCAGTTCTTTAGTTTTGCACTAGAGCTATGAGGTAATGGAGGGTTACATCACACTAATTAGCATGATGATAACTGCAGGCCTACTTCATCACATACTTCTCTCACTGCAAAACATCAAGTCGCCGTGCTGTGCGAGTGACGGAGCACTGCTTCAAGTTAGCCAGCTCCTAAAAACAGCTAGCCTGGGAAGCTAGCGTTCTCCCACTCTCAGTGCCACACAGCATCCTCAGTTTACTTTTGTTTAAATCAGGGCTGTAACTCACTTCCTTTGTTGCCTGTTAATACACTTGTACTAAAATATGACTGAGCGCTGTAACAGTGCTGTAGTTGTGAGGAGCAGACGTGATTTAACGCTGCTAAAGCTCGTTAGGATGTAAGTAAAGAGGTGGGTTCACTGTAGGACAGTACAGTTACGCCACAGGAGAGCAGATCACTGATAACATCCAGGGAATATATAACACCACGTTTCAGACATTGCAAAAGTATATTTGGTGACTCATTTGACTCCTTGACCCCCCTCCCCCGCTCTAATTATGTTTATTATTAATATCTCAATAATTATCGTTATCGTTTTGATATTTCTTATGTTTTATACAGCGGAAACATTCTGGGGTCAAACTGACCACAAAGAACACCGATGCATACAAAATGTGTACAGGACATTGAAAACACATCATGTTCATTTTACGTTTACCCAGTTGTCCCCAAAAAATTAGGAAAAGCCATTAAATATAAGGCAAAAAAATTATGTCAGTCATTTATTTAGAGATGTTAACAATGGGGTCAAATTGAGCCCAAAGATAAATAGGGGGGTTAAGCTGAAGCCAGCCTGACTTTTCTCAATGTGCCCACAATCCCTCACTTGTTTTTACCTCTTTGAATCCCCATGGGGCGTTGGTTCTGATGATAAAGTCATGTTTATTGAATTTTTATCTTGGATTGAAATGTAAAGACCTAGTGTCGCTTCTCAAAAATGCTGTTGGTGACTCAAACTAAAACTGAGATCGAGTGTATGTGGGAGGGTCTGGATTCATCCATTTAATTGTAATATATTTCAGAGCTACTGTTAGTAATATTCCTAAAAGATATTTCTTAGATCTTCCCTCTAGGTTATCCGGTATCACTCCCAGTATCGCCACCCTAAGATCTTGTGGAATATTCTGCTGAAACACTTCCTTAAGAGCGTCAAATACTTCTTTCCAAAAGATCTGTAACTTGGGCCGCGGCCAAAATATGTGAGTATGGTTTCCAATTTGGGCTCCACAGTTTCTCCAGCATGAACCGTTATGTGTTAGACCCATCTTCGACACTATTTCTGGTGTTCGGAAATATATGGTGACTTTCCATTTGAATTCCCTCCAGATGTCTGAATTTGTCACTAGGCTTGCTTCTGTGCATATTTTGTTCCAAGTACTCTGTGTTGTATCCATATTTAGTTCTGATTCCCATCTCTGCTTTATATTTAAGGAATTATTTAGGTTCATAGACAAAAATATTTGATACAATTTACAAATTGTATCAAAGCAGTCCTGGGCTGGAGGTTAGGGAACCAGCCCTGTGACCGGAAGGTTGCTGGTTTGATCTCCTGAGCTGACAGTACATGACTGAGCCCTTGAGCAAGACACCTAACACCGAAGTGCTCCGCGGGCGCTGCGGATAGGGCTGCCCACCTCTCTGGGCAAGTGTGCTCACTGCCCCCTAGTGTGTGCGTTCTCTAGTGTGTATGTGGTGTTTCACTGCACGGATGGGTCAAAATGCAGAGGTGAAATTTTCCCGTTGTGGGACTAATAAGGGTGACTTAATCTAATCTAAAAGTTATTCTTCCCACTCCATTCCTCGTTTGTAATTCCATGAAGTTGGTTCCGTGAAGGTTTTGGAGGTTTTTCCCATTCTTTGTGTGTATCTGAGGTGTATTTTGATGTCTGTAGTGAGTTTGGCTCTTCAGTGATGCTCCTCTCTCTGCTCGAGTTCATCTGAGACTTCCATTGATCTGTTTAAACCGTAATGACGTCTCGGAGCATTGATCTGTGTGAGCTTAGGTGTGCTTTAAACTGTGTTTAAACGAGCAGGATCATCGACCTGCAGTCCAAGCTCATCATCGCCATCGACGTGGCCAAAGGCATGGAGTACCTGCACAATCTGACTCAGCCCATCATTCACAGAGACCTCAACAGGTGAGCAGTCATCATCATTAGAAGCTCTGTCATCAGCTACATCATCGTCGTCACTTGCTGTGGCTGTTGTTTTAATCAATCTTCATCAGCGTGTCTTCATTTGGATGGACGTACTGCACGTTCTATGTTTTTCTTGCTCTGAGGCACTTTATGTAGCCCTTCTCGAAAGACGTATGATGTGTGTTAGAGCTGGGGAACCTTCAGGGTCTTCTACATTCTTAAAAAGATGATTCTTCAAGGGTTCTTTAGTTAAGACAATGGTTCCATGGAAAACCATGAGCACTCAAGGAACATTTTGCATGATTAAAGTTTTTTTTGCATGGTGAAACGGTTCTTCAGATTGAGAGTGTGTTTTATATGGTTTTATATATTATAAACGTTTTGAAAATGATTCTATATAGAACCAAAAAGTGTTCTTCTATTGTTATAGGCTTGACACTGTAACAATAATAGAACCCTTTTTGGTGCTATATAGAATGCTTTCCAAAAAGTTTCTATATAGAAATATCTTCAGCACATCCTCTATCAATTTGAACAACGCTTTCACCATGCAAAGGGTTCTTTGAGTGTTCATGGTTCTATATAGAACCATTTTCTTTACTAAAGAACTCTTGAAGAACCATCTTTTTTAAGGAATCTAGGTAGATACAGTCAAACAAGCTCTCTCGATGTCAAGCGTGTTATAATAAAAGAAACTCTTTGCTGCTGTATAGAACCATTTTCAAACAGGTTCTATATAGAACCATATACAACACATACTCCATCATTCTGAAGAACCATTTCACCATGCAAAGAATCATTTAAGCATGCAAATGTTTTTGAGTGTTCATGGTTCTATGTAGAACCATTGTCTTTACTAAAGAACCCTTGAGGCACCTTTTTAATAGTGCACATCTTCAGAGAAGGCCTAATAATTTCTGTAAAATGATGAAAAGAACCTTTTAAGCAGGCTCTCCTATTGGTTAGGACTTCAGAAGCTGAACTTTATGAAAATGGTTCTGTATAGCACCAAAAAGGGTTCTGCTGTTGTTACGATGTCAAGCTTATTATAATAATAGAACCTCTTTGGTGCTATAAAGACCCATTTCCAAACAGGTTCTATATAGAACCATATACAACACATTCTCCATCAATCTGAAGAACCATTTCACCATGCAAAGAATCATTTAAGCATGCAAATGTTTTTGAGTGTTCATGGTTCTATGTAGAACCATTGTCTTTACTAAAGAACCCTTGAGGCACCTTTTTAATAGTGCACATCTTCAGAGAAGGCCTAATAATTTCTGTAAAATAAACAAATACATGTCTGTAATTTTTAGTTTGTTTTCATTTTAATAGAATAATCATACTTGTTGTATTTAAGCTCTGCAGTATTGCAGTAATTTTATTGTCAGTAAGTTCTGGTTTGAAACGTTTTTGGCTGGAATTTCTGCCTGATTTCTCTGTAGTATCTAGATAGATATATGCGAAGTCTGCCATTGGTTAGGACTTCAGGAGCTGAACTCAAGGCCTTGTGTCTTAGATTAACCACCAACACAATTAGGAATTGACAGAGGAATCGACCTGTCACACTGTGATTTACACATTGTGGAACCAATTTAGTGAGAAAAACTCAAGGCCCTCTGGAAGTTCTAGATACATTACTTACTGGGGATACGAGCTGTAGTCTAACCAGGTTTCAGTCAGTTGTTAGAAATGGAAAACAGCAGCAGCAGCTCTGATTAAAAGAGTCACCCTGAAACTGCTATGAGTTAAAATATATGTTAATGTCTGTTAGAAGCTTCAAATAAAACTCAGTGTTTATCTGAAGTGTAATGCTGTGGGACTTTCTTTCTGCCTGTTTTATTCTCAGCCACAATATACTGCTCTACGAGGACGGCCACGCTGTGGTGGCTGATTTCGGAGGTGAGACATGAATTATGAATTATCAAATTCTATGAATTATACATATTGTGTATTTTGATGTACATTTTCAATGTTTTGTCTAAACCAATGTTGCCCTGCAGAGTCCCGGTTCCTGCTCTCCATGGATGAGGATAACATGACGAAACAGCCTGGGGTCAGTTCAGCATCTCTGATCATTTTGTGTATGTTTGCAGAGAGTCATATGGCTGGTATAACTGTATGGCTAATATACAACTAAGTGATTCTGAAATACGCCAAGGAGGTGATTTTGATATTTATGAAGATACCTGGTTGTTGACGCTGGTGTGTGTTACAGAGATGATTTTTATAATCGTTATGGATGTGGTTTGATACTTGCTGCAGGGGTGATATTTATATATGTTTTGTATAGTACTGTGCAAAAGTCTTACCTAATAACACCATACGTCATTAGACTAAATTCAAATAAGCCTAAATATAGTAAAAAGTAACACAAATTCCCTTTTCCCTGTTACATAGATGACATTTATACATGTTATAGACATGATTTGATACCTGCCATGGAGATTTCATTAATATGTTATAGATGGATAGATTGATACCTTTTACTGAGATTGCATTTCTATAAATTATGGATGTGATTTTGATTTCTGTTACAGAGATGACATTTAAATGTGTTATCGATATGATTTGAAACTTGTTACAGAGATGACATTTATATGTTATAGACATGATTTGATACCTGCTACGGAGATTTCATTAATATGTTATAGATGAGATTTTGATACATTATGGACGTGATTTTGAGTTCTGTTACAGAGATGACATTTAAATGTGTTATAGATGTGATTTGAAGCCCGTTACAGAGATGACATTTAAACGTGTTATAGATGTGATTTGAAACTTGTTACAGAGATGGCTTTTAAATGTGTTATAGATATGATTTGAAACCTGTTACGGAGATGACATTTATACATGTTGTAGACAAGATTTGATACCTGCTACGCAGATTTCATTAATATGTTATAGATGAGATTTTGATACATTATGGACGTGATTTCGATTTCTGTTACGGAGATGAGACTGATGTGTGTTACAGAGCTGATTTGTCTTTACTGTAGAATCTGCGCTGGATGGCACCTGAGGTCTTTACCCAGTGCACACGCTACACAGTGAAAGCAGACATGTTCAGCTATGCACTGTGTCTCTGGGAGCTGCTGACGGGGGAGGTTCCATTCGCTCACCTCAAGCCTGGTACCGTTTTTCTGCAACTACTCTGAAATCTGCACTCATTCCTTCACAGAATGTTTTGAATAAATAAAACTATTTCATATTAGATTTTTTGTATACTGATATATATCATATATACACTATATAATGACAGAATGCTGATATCTCTATGCTGAATTATAAAGCTAGGTTTTGTTCTTACTCTGCCTAGCGGCTGCAGCTGCTGATATGGCCTACCATCACATTCGGCCTCCGATTGGCTACTCCATCCCCAAACCCCTCTCTGCGTTGCTGATGCGAGGTTGGAATTCCAGTCCAGAGGTCAGTGCTAAGAAGTGGGTTATAAAATAAAAAATAAAACACAACATGATGAGTTAGATGAGTTAACTCCAATCGTAAGTAATTACTCTGAAAAAGTGGTTCATGATTCAAACGTGCATCAAAAAAACAAAATCCCTATTTTTCAATTTATTTTATTTGGAAAGAACAACATCACACAACTGAATCATGAAAATTCACTACAGCATTTTATTTCAGTGTGGCTAACTGGAATAAAAAAAATTACGTGTGTTTATTTTTGTATTGTTATTTTTTATATATTATTTGCACAGTAAATACAAAAAAACAACAAGAAAGAGAGAGAGTGTGCAGGGAAAGTAAAAAAGGGCTTGTACAAAGTACTTTCCCTCAAGAAAAAAAAGTATAATATTGAATTAAATAAAAAACAGACAAAATCACAAAAAACACAAATACATAGTTAGGGTGACAGTAGATGAGTTTTCATTCACAATGAGATTTGTAATGGACACGATTTGAGTGAATACAAAAACTAGGGATGTTGTGTAATATTGTAATTATACTGGTATCAGCAAATATTTATGTTGGCCTGATCTTTAAATCTGACTGATATTTCAAAAGACAAATTTATTGCATTCTGGAAGAACAGAATATGGAGGCGATGCTGGGCTGCTGTGCTAAAATGTTTCCGTTTATTGATTTTACTGTATTTTTAACCCTGCAGAAATACAGTCATATGTGAATGTTGGAACAGCTCTGGTCAAATTATATGTTTTATTGTTTATGCCTGTTGATTTAAGTGAATAAGTTAACACGTCCTTTACAGAGGACTTAAATATAGCATTTTCCTCAAACTGTAGTGCATTTACATTTTACATTTACAGCATTTGGCAGACACTCTTATCCAGAGCGACTTACAATTTGATCATTTTTACACAGGTAGGCGAAGGTAGTGTTAGGAGTCTTGCCCAAGGACTCTTATTGGTAAAGCGTAGGGTGTTTGCCCAGGTGGGGATTGAACCCCAGCCTATAGCGTGGAAGGCAGAGATGTTACCCACTACACTATACCAACCACATGCATGAACCACATCATCCACGTGCATGATTTTCTTTATTTGCTGGGTTTAACGTTAAATAGAAAATGTGCTTTAACTTTTGCACAGGCCACAATTTATGTTTTATTATGTTTTCCGATACGTTAAATTCAGCAATTAAAGTATGCATTAAAATGTGCTGAAGTGTGTTCCGTGTAGAGGATGTTTTTTGTTTTTTCACATATCAGCACAACATGGCCCGGGGCGCTCTAACCTTTGCATATGACACTGCACATTGTATTTCCCTGTAATATTAATCCAGGTTGATTTAGTCCCAATTTCTGCATTTTATAAATGTTTATGTATGAGCAGTGGCAGATGAACAGTATTGGCTATTGGCCCACGATTCCCATATCTTTGTATCATTACAATAAACACTAACTTCTCTCTGTTTTAGCATCTGAATATATTTTATAATCAGTGATAATGTAATACAACTTAAACATAACATCGTGCGAACTGGTGTTTTTAAAGCAGCTGGTCTGATAACCCCAAATCACGACTCCCTAGAAGAATTCAGAACCATTGGTCAACTGTACTTTGCACACAGAGGAATTAGACCATCCATGCAGTGAAACACCCACATACATGCACACTAGTGAACACACACACTAGGGGGCAGTGAGCACACCTGCCTGGAGCGGTGGGCAGCCCTATCAACAGCGCACTTCAGTCATGTCATGTCGGCTCAGGGGATCAAACCAGCGACCTTCCGGACACAAGGCTGGTTACCTAACCTCCGGCCCACGACTCCCTACATCCTCCTAATGAGCTCCATCCCACTGAGGATCATTATAACGAGGCTGTAGGATGATTATTACTGCAGCGTGCACTAGAGATGGTCATTAAGTCCATTTTTCTCATTAGAATATGCACATCTTTCAAACAATGGTATTCAAATATCACCACAACAATATTTTCTATTGTTATACATGAAAAATAAAACAATAGAAGGGTTAACATTTGTTTATTGCATGCAGTAGCATAAGAGGTTGTTGGTATTTGATTCAAAACTTTACAATGTATGAATTTATTATTCAGCCAGCTGAACCTGAGACACTATATCAGCTTAACAGCACATGCAGTCCCCCCAAAAATACTACTACTACTAAATACTACTACTACTACTAGAAGAAGAAAGTTTAACATTAAAATAATTGTACAGAATAATTATGTTCATCCCTGTTCTGCAAAAAGTGACACCTTTTTTAAAATTTCTGCGTAATTCAGTGTTTGAGATGTAAACAGAGTGATTCAGAGTGGTTTGGTGTGAAATGGTTCAGATGTCTTTACAGTGGTGGTGATAGGAACCAGGGGTCGCCATGACTACAACACAAATATAGACATTTTATTTACTATTAAAAACCACCAGTGAACCTACACAAGTCCTCTGGGTTTATATGGAATGTTGATGATGGAAAATAGTGGAAAATCTGAAAAAAAATTGAGTATTATTTTTCCTTACAGCATCCTGCATGTATCCCTCCACCATGAATGTGTTTTAAAAATATGTTTTAGCCTAAATCTTCTGAAAGTCATCATAAAGTAATGTCTCAGACATCAGGCAGTGTATTCATAACCACTTTATGTACTAAACTGTAGTAACTGTGAGGGAGCTTTTAGAGGTGGACGTCTGGTTTCTATCACCACCACTGTGAACAATCTGACTCAGTAAGTTTCTCTAGAACAGAGAATTTCACACCAAACCACTCTGAATGACTCTGTTAACATCTTAACCATTTAATTATGTAGAAATTTGGAATAATCTGTGGAATTTACTTTGAAAGCGAATCAGTATAGTTAATTCTCTACATTGCTATGTTGTTGTTATGTTGAATATTCTAAGATTTGTGGAAAATTTGAGACATATTGACCAGATTTGAGATGATCTCACGTGCAAAGATATCATTAGCTCCAGGCTCCTTCTCTCAGCACTTTTCTCTTCCTGTTTGTAGAGGTTTGTGTTGCTAGTGAAACATTTCCCTCAGGAACAAACTCATTCTCTCTCCAGAGTTGCGGCTAAATCTGTGTCAAACCTGCCTGCCCCTCTAGAGCCCAGAGCTTTCTCATGTCAGCAGGTTTATAGCACACGCACTGCTTTAATTGGCTTTGAGAAAAGAGTTCAGGCTCTTTAGAGAGACTTAAAAGCCCTTTTAGTGAAGTGTGATTAGGAAAGTAGTTTTTTAGTGGCTGTGTATTTAAAAATATGTGTTTTTTTGTTGGGGAATCAGATGCAAACGGTGTGTATCGTTCTTTGAAAAGTAGAGATAAAGAGGAATACGATAAATCTAAAAACTTATTCATTAAATGCTAAGAAAAGAAAAAAAGTGATAATCATAATTACATACATAAGTATGGAAATAAGGCGCTAAGGCCCAATCCCATTTCTTCTTTTTACCCCTATCCCTTGTTTTCGAGTGTCACCCTAACCCATTGGAACTGAGTTACAAGGGGTAGTGGTTGAAATCTTGCCCTATGAAATGAGACCCTCAAATAAAAAAATATATATATATATTACTTCATTCACAGCTACTAGTGCTGCTCTGTAGGCGACCCTGCCAGTCTGCAGTGACAGCAGAGGAGGGTAAAGTTCAGCTCCTCACTGCTGGGCTTTAGTTACATTTAGGGCATCATATGTTTTCAAAGAGGGGGTACAATTATTTATTATCACCCACCTCTAATTCTTCAGTGATATGAAGCTGAAGTCGGATATTCACCAGCTTCTTGTTCGAATTTTCCCGTTCCACCTCAAATGGTGCAGCAGTTACATTCTGGCACTTCAGTCGTCAGAACTGCTGGACTATTTAAGATGGAACGGGAAAGTTACCTAGCTAGCTACCAAGACGTTAGCATGTTGTTAGCGATTTTTTATGCTTGTTGTGAAGAAAACGACCATAATACACTGAAACGACATTAAACTAAGATAATACAGTGATTATTGTAATTTTTAACAGAGAAAATTCTCACATTTGTGGGTTTCTTTGGTCTCTTGTTCTCCATCTTGCCAGTTTTCCTTTTTTTCTCATAACTCTCTGTTTGGAGTCTCTGAAAAACCTCCGTTTGGAGGGTCGTGTAGCCCTAACACTTCGCATTACCCCTCTATCTCGATAAAAATCGGGACACCCTACCCCTAGACGTGAACGCACAAAACAGGGCTAAGGGCCAAGCGGTAGGGGTGAGGGGGGGAGTGGGTTTGGGCCTAAATCTACAAAATTAGTCAGTGCGTCCCAAGCGGCACAGATCATACCAGCCATTACAAGACACGCAGTGAAGTTTCTGACTTTTCCTTTAAGTCTCCATGAAAAGTAATCTTAATATCATTTATAACAGTCTTACGTCTTGTTAGAGATGTACAATGACATCAGAATCATATCGGTATCAGGAGATATTTGCTTATACAAAATTTTGGCATCACACGGATGTTTGGTCCATGTTTCAAACTGTATTTATTGAGCTCCAGAATAGCTGAATGTTTAGGCCACACTTGGCTACTGTGCTAAACTGTGGTACGTACATGAAAGATATCAGATATCGGCCCACAGTCAGTATCAGTGCATCCCTAGTTTTTATTCAGAGGTAGATATTTGTCAAGATTTTATGCGAAATAACACAGTAAACTTGATTATTGTGATCAATTAGGGCCAATTATTAGGTTTAGTAATGCAGTATTGGGTGTAACAGTGCATGGTTTATCTTTATTACTAACACAATGCAACAGTCTGATGCACTGGATTGTGATCAGCATCAATACTGACCTTCTGAACAGATCAGGAAAATTCCCATCTTGGGTTTTTATGAATGGGACTGAATGCTGGACATACAGACATTAATTATAAATGATCGCATTACCGGCTGAATAATGGAAGCCAATTCCTGACACAAAGTCATTATTTTGAGATAGTATCTCAAACTTTCTCATTATTCTGTGATGCAGCCAGATGTGTGTTTCTCTACGAAGTGCTGCAGTATGTCAAAATAAAAGTCCCTCTTAACGCAGTGTGACATAGGTTCATTAAGAAGGGAGGAGTGCTTTTCTAACTCTGTTGTGATTCACACCACATTTTATACTTTTACATTTCTATCAGTTTAATTAAGGCTTAAATCATTCATTACCATAATAACAGAATATATATGTATATTATATATGTATGTGATGTATAGTATATAAGTGTAACAGCACATCACATGAGCTACATGTACATACATATGTTGGTGCATGAGATAAAAACATGAGAGACAGACACTGTGTGTGTGTGTGTGTGTGTGTGTGTGTGTGTGTGTGTGTATGTGTGTGTGTGTGTGTGTGTGTGTGTGTGTGTGTGTGTGTGTCCTCTGACGCAGCAGATCTGACTCAGTCTCTTTTGAAGTTGTTCTGCTTTGATGAGTGTGTGTGTTATGTAAGCTCTTCTGATTTCATAATTTTTGGTTAATTGGTTACTTCCTTAATGGGAACATTATGCTCTCTCTCTCTCTCTCTCCTCCTCCTCTCTCTCTCGCTCGCTCTCTCTCTCTCTCTCACTTTCTCTCACTTTTTTCTTTTTTTCTTCCTGCCACTTCATCTCTCTGTCTCTCTCTCTCTCTCTCATCCTCCCACCCTGTTTCCCTCTCTTTTTTCTTCCTCTTACCCCTGTCTCTCTCTCTCTCCATCTCTTCACCTCCTCTAACTCTGCCCTCTCTCAAACTTTCTCTATCTCCTTCTCCCTTCTCTCTCTCTCTCTCTCATCCTCCCACCCTGTCTCTCTCTCTCTCTCTCCATCTCTTCACTTCCTCTCACTCTGCCCTCTCTCTAACTTCTCCCTTCTCTCTCTCTCTCTCTCTCTTTCTCTCTCTCTCTCTCTCTCCCTCTCTCTCTCTCTCTCTCTCTCTCTCTCCCCCTCTCTCTCTCTCTCAGGAAAGGCCTGAGTTCTCTGAGGTTGTGGCTAAGCTGGAGGAGTGTCTGTGTAATGTGGAGGTACAGAAAATCCTGAATTTATTCCTTTATTGACTATCAGCCTCTCTTAGAATGTAAGAAATGTCACGTAGATCCTGCACTGTATGTCCAGACAGCCCTTCTAATAAGTGAATTCAGCTTCTTTAATGTGAACTCATTACTGACACATAACTTTGACCTTTTCCAAAATTATGATTGACGCTCCTCTCGTACAGTCACAGTCATATCTAAGTGTTCCTTTCTTCCATCAGCTGAACAAAAAGCTCCAAACAAACCTGCAGTGAGAACAGCAGCTGCAGTAAATCAATCAGAATGATTAGAGTAAGGAATGGTGAACGGCGTTAGTGAGGAGTGTGTGATGCCTGACTCCTGATCATCTGGAGTTTGGAGTTAAACAAACTACAGAGACAAACTATTAACACACAGGATTATACAGGCTCTGGGGTCAGATAAACTTAGATTAGATGATCAGAAACTTAGATTAAACTTAGCATTAGATGTCGAGGTGTCATCTATTACACGTCTTTCAGCAGACTTTAATGAAACAATACAAAGAATGCATTAATATTTATCTTTACAAGGATGCTGTGCAGTCCTGTTTAATCTGACTGATTTATCAAGATAAGCCAAGGACAGCTAACTAGAAGCTAACTAGTTAGCAAACTGATCTTAATATTTTTCTGTAATGGGATTAATCATATTAAAATGATTTTTAGCAAATACAGTAACCCAGATACAGTGTAGCTGACCTTACAGCCAGTATAATTCTGCTTGTTTATAGTTTTGATATTGAGCTGTGAGTTTCGTCTTTCAAAGAATTTAATCCAATTTTCTTTCAGCTTCAGGGATGAAATAAAAACAGGATAGTGTGAGTTTGACTTACTGACTGATTTACTGCCGCCGCCATTCTCATTGCAGGTTTGTTCTGGGGAGATTTTTAGCTTGATGGAGTAAGGAACATTTAGAGACAGTTGTGGTTGGCTGATAATGTCGGTCATTGTTTTGCAAATGGTCAGTTGTGCACACACACTGTATGTAAGGCCTGAGGTCACCATGCCAAGTGCCCAGCTCCACAGCCCTTTAAATCGGGTGTGCTGCTGGTGGAACTGAATAAACCCATGCAGTGGTTTTAGCTACATTGAATCAGAATCAGAATCAAGCTTTATAGGCTGGGTATGTTTACGCATACAAGGAATTTGGTTTTGGTTACAGGAGCTCACAGTGCACAGTACCAGACAGACATTTACATGTAGTGAATAAAATAAAATGAATATAAAATATAACAAAATAAAATAAAATAAAATAAAACATGCATTCCTACCATCACTCACTCAAACACACACACACACACACACACAGTCATACCTGTAAAGCTTACATTGTGCAAAGTATGGGTCTAAAGTTAAAGTGCTGAGGGCAGCAGCAGTTAAAAGGGTGTATAGTGGCAGAGAAAGGGATCAGTGAGGTAACAGATAAGTGGGGTAATAAGGCAGGTAAGTAAGATGCTAGAATAAACAATTCTACAAACAATTCTATAAACAAAATTTAAGGAGAACAAGAACCAACCCTGTGTTCTACTGTCTCTCTCAGACACATAGCAGTAACTTTACTGAAAACGACACATTCTGCTTATTTTAGTAATTTGTTTATTTGTATTCCTTCTAGTGTTCGATAATAATGTGAATCATTCGACTGAACTGGTTTGAAGTCCGAGTTGAAAACACATTTGGACTTTAAAATCCTTTTGCTTTGAGGGGCCCTATAGCTTAAACATGTGTGTTTTATTAGAATAAATGATTGAACATTCCATTTTGTCACTATTAAAACAATCAAGTGACTGTTTCAGTAGTGACTGTTTCGGTAGTGACTGTTTCGGTAGTGATAATTTAGCTCATTATGAGAACTTAAAGTACACTTACCAGTACATGACTAGCAAACACAGCTTTGAACACACATAAAATCATATTTTTCATTAAAATGCAAAAAAGAACTTTAATAAAATCTGTTTCACACTGATTTACAGACTTTGTGACACATTTACTTCAAAATAATGGGGTCTAACTGCTCACCATGTGACCATGAGGGACAGAGACCTCACTTCCTGCTCTGAAATGCAGGGGTGTGGCTAAAATAAGGCTCCGCCCACAGACTAAAACTTTGCCTTTCAGTAGTGACATAAAAACGTGGGACAGCATTTTTTTTTTTATTTACAAATTACAAATTAACAAGCAAATTACTACAATTTAATTCTAAATCATTCAACTTCACTTTAACGGACATAAAAAAGATCTTGCAGAAAAAACGCTGAAAAAATACAAAAAGAATAATTATAAGTATTATTCTCACAAGTGTAAATTTAGGAGTTAGGGTTTGGGATAGTTTGGGATCTCCCAGTAGAAAGTGTCATTTAATGATGATTTTGTATGTATTCAGCTTATTACTATCTCAGTTAATGTCTTGGGTTTAAATAGATCACAAATATAGAACATAATCCTTAAACTAATTCAGCAGAATGGTCCGTATAGTAATGTAAAGTAATTACCGCCCAGTTAAATAGTTTTAAGCAGTGGTTTGGCAGGACTAAGACTTTTGCACAGTGCTGTACTTTGTATAAATGTGTTTGTTTTTGTGTGCTGCAGCTGATGTCTCCAGCCTCCAGTAACAGCAGTGGTTCTCTGTCCCCCTCGGCATCGTCCGACTGCCTGCTGGGCCGCGGGAGTCCCGGCCGGAGCCACGTAGCAGCCCTGCGCTCGCGGTTCGAGCTGGAGTACGCCCTGAACACCCGGGCATACGCAGCCTGGAGCCAGAGGTGCACATGCATTTATACACATACATACACACTGCCTGTCAGAAGTTTGGGAACACCTCGTCTTGTTTTGAAATGTTCTGAGTTTGATTTTCACTGTTTCAGCTTTAGTGATCATAAAGCTGCTCTGTGGTAATACATACATACATCATCTAAACCGCTTATCCTTCTGGGTCGCGGTGGGGTGCTGGAGCCTATCCCAGCTGTCATTGGGCGGAAGGCAGGATACACCCTGGACAGGTCGCCAGTCCATCGCAGGGCAGACAGACAGACATACACAGTCACACACACATTCACACCTAGGGGCAATTTAGCATGTCCAATCGGCCTGACTGCATGTTTTTGGACTGTGGGAGGAAACCGGAGTACCCGGAGGAAACCCACGCAGACACGGGGAGAACAGGCAAACTCCACACAGAAATGACCCCGGTTGCCCGGCCGGGAATCGAACCCAGGCCATTCTTGCTTTGAGGCGACATAATTATATTGTACAAACATTGATTTATCAGTTTCAAAGTTTAAAATGTACCATACAGTCCATACATGGAAACTAAGTTGCTATAACTGACTGTTCTGAATTCACTCCTTTTGTCACAAAAACCACTGAATGTACACATATACTACTCATCCTATAGTAGTTTTGCCGTGCCCACTCACGCTGAAGTTATAAGGAGTGTTTCAGCTGGGCTGCTTTTTGAATGAGGCCCAATACAGAGCAGCCAATCAGACCAGAGCTCATTTACATATATCAGTCATAAGGACACTCAAAAACAACTGGTTTAATTCAAAGGAAAGAAATGAGGTTGAAAATGAAATGTGAAAGTGAATTAAGACTGTTTTTGGTACATAAACACACAGAAGTCTTAAGTGGACCTTGAGAAAAATGTAGAATGTGTGTCCATTAAAGGGCAATTCCACAGGTTTTTCAAAAATGAAAGCATAGTTCAGTTGAAGTCATTCAGAGTGGTTTGGTGTGAAATTCTAGAGAAACTTACCGAGTCAGAATTGTTCACAGTGGTGGTGATAGGAACCAGACATCCACCTCATCATGAGAGATACATGCAGGGTGTTGTGAGGCAAAATGGTCTCCAAAGAAAAATTTTACCATCAACATTCCACATAAAAACTCAACAGACACATGTAGGGTTACTGGTGTTTTTGAATAGTAAATAAAATGGCTCTATTTGTGTTGTAGACATGGCAACATCTGGTTCCTATCACCATCACTGTAAAATCGGAGTCAGTAAGCTTCTCTAGAACAGAGCATTTCACACCAAACCACTCTCAAACGATTAATTATACAGGTATTTGTGTATATGAGATGCACTGATCTCTCATACAGGCAGATACTTGCAGAGCAGTGAGGTTAAATAGGTCATACATTATGTTGATGGTCCCTTATAGCTTATATACAAGTGCTCCAATATCCAAAAACAATGGTTATCATAAGTAAAGACCAGCACTAGGACTGGATTTAAGCTTTGGTTTGAGATAATAGGAAAATTCCACTCAGAAATTGTAGAGACACTTTACAGTGGTGATGATAGGAACAAAGGGTCACCATGACTACAACACAAATATAGACATTTTATTTACTATCCAAAACCACCAGTGAACCTATAGAATGTTGATGATGGTGAAATAGTGGAAGATCTGAAAAAATAAGTTTTCTCTGGAAACTATTTTGCTTTACAGCACAAGTCTCTTTGCCAAAATATGCTTTAGACCAAAGGCCAAGCTTTGTGTATAACTTTCTGTGAGGGAGCTTTTAGAGGTGGATGTCTGGTTCCTATCACCACCACTGTGAACAGTTCTGACTCGAAAACATCCTCTAGAACAGAGAACTTCACATAAAACCGCTCTGAATGAGTTTTTCAGTTTAATTATGCAATAATTTTCAAAAGTCGGTGGATTTCCCTTTTAAATTGGGGTAGGTGCTCTGCAGGGGCAGTATGTGACATCTAAAGTTGAATCTGATGGTCAGGCTGCTCTGCCCTTTCTCATGGTCACTAGCACACCGTCCACCAAACACACTTCAGCACAGCACTTTAAAGTGTGGTTGCTAGGAGACAGCGCCAAGGAGACAAAGCCAAGCTAATACAATAAAACATGCATGACATTCACACCGGGAGACTTTACTAGCAGCCAGCTCTTAATTCTTCATGTGCACATGCTGAATCAGTGTCTGTGGTGAAAGCTAAGCAACGGTCAACATATCCACTGAAGGAAGGAGCTGGAGAGAAAAGATGACTCATGTTGCTATTGTCTGTAGACCCGAGGTGTCCGTTTGCAGACCTGACCACTGCAGGGTGTTTTGACCTCTGCTACTCACCATATTTAGTCTCCTAGCACATATATCAATGCTAAACTCCTCCTGAATGCAATGAAAAAGTGGATGTGTTGCAAGAATCTCTCAACCACTTACTTTGTCTGGGTGGTGGAACTTCATCTCTGCACCGATCAGGCATAACATTATGACCACCTCCTTGTTTCTACGCTCATTGTCCATTTTATCAGCTCCACTTACTATATAGGTGCACTTTGTAGTTCTACAGTTACAGACTGTAGTCCATCTGTTTCTCTGCATACTTTGTTAGCCCCCTTTTACCCTGTTCTTCAGTGGTCAGGACCCCCATGGACCCTCACAGAGCAGGTACTATTTGGGTGGTGGGTCATTCTCAGCACTGCAGTAACACTGACGTGGTGGAGGTGTGTTAGTGTGTGTTGCGCTGGTCTGAGTGGATCAGACACAGCAGTAGAGTTGGCGCAGTACAGTCAGGCAGGTAACATTCGCCAAACCCAGACTCGTCCATCAGACTGACAGATAGAGAAACGTGATTCAACACTCCACAGAAGTTTCCAGTACTTTACACCCCTCCATCCGACACTTGGCATTGAGCATTTTGATCTTAGGCTTGTGTGCAGCTTCTCGGCCATGGAAACCCATTTCGTGAAGCTCCTAACGTGCAGTTCTTTTGCTGATGTTGCTTCCAGATGGAGTTTGGAGCGCTTTAGTGAGTGAATTAACAGAGGATAGGCACTGTGCGCTTCAGCACTCGGCGGCCCACTCTGTGAGTTTGTGTGGTCTGTCGTTTCCTGGCTGAGCCGTTGTTGCTCCACGTACAGTTGACGGGGGCAGACCTAGCAGGCCAGACATTTCACAAACAGACTTGTGGCAGAGGTGGCATCCTATGACAGTGCTGTGTTTAAAGTCACTGGGCTCATCAGTACGACCCTCTACTGCCAGTGATTGTCTGTCCAGACTGCAATGCTGTGGGCTTAATTTTATCCACCTGTTAGCAATGGGTGTGGCTGAAACACCTGGACTCAATAATTAGAAGTGGTGTCCCAGTAGTTTTGTCCATATAGTGTATGTGTTATTTCATAGTTTTAATGTACTGACTGTAGCTTTAAAATGTGGACAGTGTTAACAGAACAAGGAAAAACCTTCTTCTCCGCTTTGGTGTCCAAACTTATCACTGGTCAGTTTCTGTATTAAGTCGTTGCTTGTTCTTTCTTGCAGTTCTGGCCGGCGTTTCTCTCAGGGTCTGTCTCTGGATGAGCTGAGGAGGAACATGCAGTTCCCTCCGATGGACAGAAACGGTTCGTCTTCTTTAATTAGTTCCCTTTAGAGTGAATCACTGCGGTAGAACCTGCCACTTCAAAATGTGATTCATAATGTCTTGCATAATGACACCCAGGAGGGTTTAAAGGCGGATTCGTTCTCTTGTTAGTCTCTGTGTGAAAAATCAGTTTTTCAGGCATTTTGTTGTATTTGAACTGACTTTGGCATCAGCAAACAACACTCTGCTCCTTGTGCGAATGGGCTGAGGGTAAGTTATAGAGCAGCGTCCCTCATTGCAAGTTATTGGAGGCCCAATATCTTCCCTGCTTTAGAGCAGTAGTTTAGTGAGCAAACAGGAAATGGGAGCCTATAGCCCACCAATTAGCATCCTGCAAACTGTAAACCGTGTCGAGTTGTTAAATAATAACAGTGGCAGTTTACGCTTCCATTACTTGTTAGATATATTAGCCTCGTAGCTCCAGCATTAAAACTAAAGAACCAACTTCAGACATCAAACATGTCTTAGCTAACTGACCACATTTTGGGTAAGAGAGAAATTATTTACATTGAACTTATTGCTTTAATAACTAACACTGTAACGTTCATAATTTTTCGATATTGATACCGATAGCTTGATTTCGGTACTGATTCCTGAACAATGCTGTTTTTAATACCTTCCTTATGATTGCAAACTAAAAGTGGACGTGGCTTAAATTAGAAATGAGTGCCAGGTGCTTTAAGTGTGTACATTTACTGACCGCAACAGGTTCCGGACTAATCAAGAAGCGCTGGTAACGATTACAGAACTTACATTGGACAGCCAATCAGTCTTGATACTGGGAGCTGCTTAGGTATTGAACTTTGGCACTGAATGAGATGGAATGTTTCAATACTCCATGCAAGTTAACCAATGGTAACATAAAAAATGAGGATGCACGGATATGGGAATTGTGCCTATATTTGATATTTTTTTATGTACTGGTAATACTGACGCATAAACATTTATAAAATGTAGAAACTAGGATTAAATCTGCCTGAATTAGCATTACAGAGAAATTACAGCGTAACATTTATTTCTGTAGAGTTACAAATGCAGTGAAATGAATAAAATGGAGATATTTTAGCGGAGAAGCCCAGGAGCACCTAAACCTTCTGCTCTCTCTTGGAGTTCGGTAAATACATCATCCAATATCAGTTTGAAATATTGGTCAAATCTAAACATCTGCCCCTTGTGGATATTTTTTGAACAGCAAATATCTGCTGATGCTGATTTGATTCAGATATTAATGTACACTGTAAAAAGTGGCTCGTCAGATCTACTTACTTCATGTGGTAACAAGTAAATTAACTAGTTTTATTCAACCTAAATAAATACTTTGAATGAACGATTCTTTTTTTTTTAGTTGAATAAAACTAGTTCAACTGCTTGTCACCACATGAAGTATTTTTTTTAAGTAGATGATGAGACACTTTTTACAGTGTGCATCCCTAATACAGAAACGATGCCCGGCCCTGGTAACAGCACACCTAATTCAGCTCAGCAGCTGATTGTGAAGTCCTTCATTAGGTGACTGTCAGGGTGTGAATTTCTGTGTATCTGTGAATTTGTGTGCTGGATCCGGGAGGATGCTGGAGGCGTGAGGCTGTAGTGTGGAGTGAGGAGCGCTGGGCTTCAGGGGAGCGACTGTGTTGTGTGTTTGAGGTTGTGATGGAGAGCAGACTGCTGACCCTGTGTTTCCTGCTGTTGCCGTAGGATACGTATCAGATCCCATGAGCACCATGAGGTTCCACTGCAGCAGCAACGCCAGCTTTGAGGACAGCAGCTAACGGCACCCTGTGTGGAGGATCAGTCTCTCTCTCTCTCTCTCTCTCTTTTTCTGCCTTTTACTATCTCTGTCTTTCTCTTTTCTTCTCTCCTCTTTCTTCCTATCTCTTTCCCTTTCTCTGTCCCCCCATCTCTCTCTCTCTCTCTCTCTCTCTCTCTATCTTTCTGCCTTTTACTATTTCCATCTTTCTCTTTTCTCCTCTCCTCTTTCTTTCTATCTCTCTCCCTTTCTCTGTCCCCCATCTCTCTCTCTCTCTCTTTCTGCCTTTTACTATCTCCATCTTTCTCTTTTCTTCTCTCCTCTTTCTTCCTATCTCTCTCCCTTTCTCTGTCCCCCATCTCTCTCTCTCTCTCTCTCTCTCTCACTATCTCTGTCTCTCTCTCTATCTTTCTGCCTTTTACTATCTCCGTCTTTCTCTTTTCTTCTCTCCCTTTCTCTGTCCCCCATCTCTCTCTCTCTCTCTCTCTCTCTCTCTCTCTCTCTCTCTCTCTCTGTCTGTATCCCCCCTCTGTCTCCCTATCTCTCATTCTCATTGTTGGATTGTTTTAGATTAGTTTTACTCGATTGCTTTAACGAAATGTCGTCACATTCTTTGCGTAAGTGCTCTCTTGCAAATATGTTATCACATTCTCGTAACGTTCACTGATTTCTCACTTTGTCAAAACAGTAAACACAGATCTTACATAAAACCAGAGAAACCCTATTGGATAATTATGATAACCGTCTAAAACACAAGAAAACGTTTTGCAACAGCTGATAGAAAATACTCTTCTAAACACTTTCAGCACCTTTATGAACCACATAGGACACAACATGATGTCACTGTTATATTCTGCAATGACACGTTTATGTCATGGTTGTAGCAGGGTTGTAATAAGGCTAACACTTTTCCTGATCACTGCTTCATAACCATGCTATAAACATGTCATTGCAGATGTCATGTAATGGTACAATAATATAACAATGTCATGTAATCGCTAACGATAATTGTCATGACAAATGCCATAATGTGTGATATTATGACAGCTTATATCACATGCTTATTTTTGCTGTATTCTCATTAGCCATCATGACATCAAGCATTATGACATATTTAATGACATTTACCAGTGATGGTAACATGGCACTGCTATTTCTGTACATAATCTGGCATGACAGCATATGACATCTGCCGTTACATGTTATGAATGTCATTTGTGTTACAGCTTATGAAGCAGGGATCAAATAAATTGTTGCCAGCCAAGTGTTACCAGTCATCTTTTGTGGCCTGTGTTTATTTTTTATGGGGGTTTGACCACCTTGCAAAGAAAAACAGGCTTCTGTTTAGTTTTATCTGTTAACCGCTTTGAAAATACAACTTCTGAGCGGACGACAGTCGTCACGCAATCGAGAAAAACTGCAATATTCTACTCTGTTCTGTTGATGTGATTTGATGTAAATATGTCTGACTCAGCTTTGCTATCAATTTATCAGGTTTTCAGTATAATCTTCATTTAAAATACCACTTAAAATTTTAATTATGCAACAATGCTATATTTTTTGTAGTTATATTGCATCACGTTTTACCTCGAGGTCTCCGTGGCTCAACCCTTTCATCAATAAACGTTTAAGATGAACTTAAAATGCTACGTTAATATGCTGATGTTTTCAAGCATTTTAATATGTAACAGATATGGAGGAATGCCAGTGGATTTAAATACTTTATTTTCATAATGAGATCAGTCACTCTATGTTTTTCACAAATAATGAAATAAAAAGCAAAGAAAGATCACAACAGAGGAGCTAGCTGATACGGCCAAAGCTAATTAGTGGACCAGTTTTAACAGCTTGGTCATAATCCTAATCCTAACCACAGTAGGAACATGATTTCTTCAGGCTCAAGTACCCGTAGTTTTCTGAAATCATATAGTAACAACAAAAGATAAGTTAAAGATCATAATAGAAACAATTTCAAAGTGATATCAGTGCAGTTTCCTTCTCCACCTTCTGAAATGCATAATCATAAGAACAAAATGTTCTCTAACTACATTAACGATGATTTTGAATCATTCATGTCCCAGTAATTAAAAAATCTTTGATTTCTAATAGCAGATAAAGAGATCAAAGAGAAAAGTGCAGGCATTGAAGTTTTCTTTGAAGTTTTCTTTCGTGTCCGTGTTTGGGTGAAGACGAGGGTGTCTGAAGAGGCCTATGAAGTGTGTTGGTGTGTGGTTGAGTGGCAGGAGGGCTACACAGCATGAATAATTGAATTATTTGTGCTGAACGCTTCCAGGGGTATCTGCTTTCGGAAGGCCGCTGATTGTCACCCCACTAAGGCTGCAATACACTCTGTCTCTATTAGTGGAGCAGGACAATGCTGGCTTCACTAAAGGAGGCGTAAACAAACTGGAACGGCCACTCATTAATACAGCTGTTTAGGATGAAAAGGTGTCCTTGTAAGTCCCGGATCTACTTTCTGTCACTTGTCTGATGAAGACATTTGTCCACCTGCCATGCCATTTTGTCTTCACAGGATCCCAAGGTACAAAGACTTTAGCCTGTGCATTTAATTCTCAGTGACCTTTGCCCGACACACTCACTGGCCACTTCAACAACCCTGTTTCTACACTCACTGTCCAGTTTATCAGGTCCATTTACAATAGTGCACTTTGTAGTTTTACAGTTGCAGATTGTAGTCAATTTCTTTCTTTGCATAATTTGTTAGCCCCATCTATCAGTGGTCAGGACCCTCACAGGACCACCATTAGATCACATTGTTGGAGTTTTTGAACAACTGCTGGGCTGGGAATTGTCCGCCAACCCAAAACGTTTGGCCAACAGCATCCTCAGGCCAGAAATTGACCACTGATGAATGACTAGAAAAAGACTAACACAGACACACTACACAGAAACAAGGTGGACCAAGGTCCGATCCACTTGTACCAAATCAACACCCACTACCATGTCAGTGCTCAAATAAGACCTGCTTAGTGGTCCAGTGGGGGCCCTGAAAACAAGTTCTATATTATAGAGAAACAGAAGGATTACAGTCTGTACGTGGATAGAAGGTAGACTCTAGGTAGGTGTACCAAATAGTGGCCAGTGCTGTTTATTTTATTTTTGGGTAGTTTATTCTTTAGACAAATCATTAGTCTTATATGAAGAAAATGAATTCTGCTTCCATCTGTTTGACATTTGCAAAAAATGACATGGTCAGCCTCAATGAGGAACTCAGGGACTCTCAAATAAGGAAAAAAAAATGCTAATTCTAAAACATACAATATGTGCCTTAATCATGTTGTTTTGGTAAACTTCATTTCCTCTGTTAGCCAGAGTTCTGTTTCGGGAACTATTGATTGGAGTTTTCATCAGTTTCCATTTTTCACATTCACTATTGATTCTTTTCTCCACCTTCCTTGTCATCCAAGTCTTCAGCTGCTCCTTCTTCTTCCTCCTGGGCATCCTTCATCTTCAGTTTCATCCTCTTTTATTGATCCGTTGTCCCTCGCTCTTCTGTTAGCCATAGTTCTGTTTTGGGAACTACCGATTGGAGTTTCCATTTTAAGATTCATTATTGGTTGTGAAGACTTTGATTATCGTACTGTCACACCCTCCCTAGGATACCAGCATACAGAGAATCACTCTTCAAACGGACGGCTTAACCTTGTTTACTGTTTGGGAAATGAATGTCAAACGAGTGACACTTAAAACTGTTTGATGTGTTTAGCTGGGAACTTGGAATGGATAAGCAACCTGGTTTGTTAGGGTCTTCTAGAGCGTTAGCTATCTTGGCTAATCTCAAACTTCGTCACTGGTGTCTCTGATAGGTTAATGATACTATCTGCAGCTTGCAGGTCCCCAGATGTAAACAACGACTCCGTATTGGGCACAAGATCCTGTGCTCCTGTATCGTCCTGGTCTTCCGGTATATTTTTAGCAGACCTGGGTGTGGTATCTTTAGACTGATTGCTTCTAGCGTCTGACTCTAGGGCTTCAGCTTTCGTCTCCATTTTGAAGCTTTCTACAAGAGTGTCCTCAAGGTCTTCAAGGTCACTCTTGACTTGCTCGTCTTTGGCAGCCTCAGATGTCTTATCCATACCTCCAGACTCTGAATCTTTGGCGTTTTCATGTTTTGTCTCTTCCTCTTCTTCTACAGCCTCGCCATTCACCTTCCTTTCACCCTCATGTGAGACGAGGCTCTTTATGTCATCCAGCGGCTCGACAAATGTCTCAAAATACCTCGAGGCTTGGTGAATGTTCACCCAATTACTCACAAGATCTCCCTGATCTGCAGGAGGTGTGGCAAGAAGCTCTGCGTCTTCGCTGAACGCAGATTCCCTGTCCTCTTTTTTGAGAGCCATTACTTTCTCAGCAGGCTGTGATTCCTCTGAAGGTGAAGCAGAGGAACTGCTGCCTTCTCCATCTGCAGTGGCATCTTCAGCGGCACCATCCTGTTTGGTCTCTTCAAAAGCGGTTAAGCCAGCTTGATTGTCATCTCCTGCTATGCTAGCTCCTTTAGCCTGGTTTTCGAGGTCAGTTTCTGTACCCTTCATTTCTGACTCAGGGTCTGCTTGTTCTTCTGGAGTACTTTTGGCATCTGATGGGGCTTCAGCCTCAGCATCAGCATTGCTACTAGCCTTTTCCATTTCTTCCTCCTTGTCATCTTCCTGCTCATCTTTAACACCTTCTTCATTGGTTGCATCTTGCTCTGTTTCTGTTTGGATGGTCTCTTCCTTTCCATCCTCAGATGTTGCCTCACCTTCTTCTGACTTTGCTGGAGTTTCTTCTTCCTTTTCAATCTCTCCCTCAACCTTCTCTCCAGTTTCTGTGTCCATCTCACCCGCCTTTACTTCACTACCAGCTGTGGCTTCTTGTAGATCATCATTGACAGTAGGTTCTGAGTCTTCTTTCTGTTCGTTGTCCTCCTCTTGCTCCATCTTATCATTTTCCAGTCCTTCCTGCAGCTCTGCCTGGGCTCCAACAACTTCTGCATTCTCTTCTCCACCTTCCTTGTCATCCATATCTTCAACAGCTCCTTCTTTTTCTTCTGGGTGTCCTTCATTTTCAGTTTCATTCTCTTTTATTGATCCATTGTCCTTCACTTCTTCCTCAGGTGTATTGTTATCTGCATCATCACTAGGCTTGCTTTCACTTTCTGGTTCAGCATCTTTGTCTACTGCTGATTCTGATTCTCTGTCACTGGCATCATCTTTAGGTTTTTCCAGGTTGTCCTCCACTTCTATCTCTTCTGGCTTGTTTTCTGTTTGACTGACCTCTAAACTACCTTCACTTGCTGGGATTTGTTCCTCTGTATTTTCACCATCCTCAGTCACCTCTTCTTGGACTATCTCCTCATCCTCTTTTCTTTCCTCTGCCTCTTCAGCCACATCATTTGTAGCTTCCACTTCTTCTGTTTCAGGATCTTGGTCTGCTGTGGTTTCCTCCAAAGTGGTGCTTGCCAATCCTTCTTTCACCTCTGCCTCATCTTCACCATCTCCATCTTCTGTCTTCTCTTCTCCACCCTTATCCTCAGATACCGCTATACTTTCTTCCACATTCACCTCTGTGTCTTCATTTGCATTGTTATCAGCAGAGTTCTCCACTTCTTCTGCTACATCCCCACTTTGGTCTTCTAATTCAGTCTCTTTCACTGGTTGTTCTCCATCTTCAGGTTCATCCTCCTTGACTGATTCATGTTCCTTTACTCCTTCCTCTGGTTTATTACCACTGTCAGATCTACTTTCATCTTCCGCTTCAGCATCTTTCTCTGCCGTGGATTCTGTACCTCCTTGTCCATCGTCGTCCTCTGCTTTGTCTACACTCTCTTTCTCTGTCCTTTCTCCACCTTCAGGTTCATCCTCCTTTACTGACTCGGTTTCCTTCACTGCTTCCTCAGGAATATTGTCATCTGCGTCTTTACAGTCTTCGCCAGTTTTACTCTCATCTTCCGCTTCAGCATCCTTCTCAAGTGTGGATTCTGTGTCTTTCTGTCCACTGTCGTTCACTGCATCTTCCGCATTCTCTACTTTGTCTTCAACTTGTTTCTCCTCTGATGTGTTTCCTTCCTCACTAATCTCCAAGTTGTTTTCTCTCGCTTCAACTTCCTCCGAGATCTGTTGTTCTAGATCATCCCGAATGGTCTCCTCATCATCTTTCTCTTCATCCTCATTCTCCAGATTGCCCTCCTCAGGCTCTTCCGTGCCTTCTGTAATCTTTCCACCTCTCATTTCATCAGTATCATCCTTCTCTTCTCCATCCACCTCACCAACTGCTTCTTCTTCAACTGCCCTGACCTCCTCTTTGACCTCGTCTTCAGCAGATGCTTCTTCCCCAGTTCCTTCTCCTCCATTCTCTGCATTCTCTGTTTGCTCCACGCTCTTTATCTCCGCTTCCTGATTTGTGTTGTCATCAGCATCGCCTACACTCTTAGTGTCAACCACAGCTGTTTCTCCAGGGTCCTCAGACTGAGGCTCTGTGATCACATCCATCGGCTCAAGCTCTTCCCCTGTTTGTGCTAATTCTGGTTCCTCCACTGCAGTGTCTCCAGATTCTTCAGCATTCGTTGTATTTTCACTTTCAACCTCTTTCTCTGGTGCCAATGATTCCTCTGCTTTAAACTCTTCCATCTTTTCATTGTCAAGCCTTTCTGCCATTTCAGGGTCTTCACTTGCTTTATCCTCCTCTTTTCCAGCTTCCTCCTTCTCCTCCTCCTGCTCTTTGTCATCTATCTCAGCAGACATAACAACTGAATCATTTTGTTCCTCACCAACAGGTTGTTCATCCCTCTCTTTCTCTTGCTTTTCATTTGTGTCCTCATTAACCTCTGCACTTATCTCTTCTTCCTCTGTTTTTGACTCAGGCTGTGGTGGTTCTTGTGTTTCTTCTTCTAGCTCCTCCGTTGGTTGCTCTGTATCTGCATCTCCTTCTACCGTTTTGGCCTCGAGTGCAGGCTCTAGAGGTTCCGCTACATTGTCTTTAGAAACCTCCTCAGATGGCTGCTGTGCTGCTTCACTTTCTGGTTCTGCTCCTGTAACAAACAGCAGTTTAGCCCAGCCGTCACAGTCAGTAGTAAAAGCTCATTATCATTTCATATTAAGCACTTAAACTGCAAGACGCAGTGCGCCCATAATTCAGTTCCTTCTCCTTTCTCATAACCAGACCACTGTTCAAAAGTTTGGAATCAATGTTTTCATTAATGTAAAACCAATTTTGTTGAGGATACATGTATAAAATGATTCCATTATGATGTGAATACTCTACAGTGTTATAGGTTTCAATGAATTCCTAGGAAGCTGTGTAAAAATGATGAAATGTTAGTGTCACACATCCCTCTAGCTCTGACTCTCTGGTGGACATTTCCCAGAACCCTCTGGGTGAACACGTGACTGTGACATCAGACCAGCCCACGTATCAGAGATCTGCTTCACCTGATTACTGACTTGTCACACCTGTTTCTCATTATGTGCTTAGTTCAGGTAGTTTTTAAGCCCGGGCTTTAAGTTAGTTCTGTGTGAGGTATTGTCTTTCCTGTGTTTGGGTTAATTCTGACTTATCTTCTGTATTTTTGACTTTGTCTTTTGCCTGCTCCCTTTTTGGATTTTGTCTTCCTGGTTTGATTTTTTACATAGATAGATTGAACTTTATTGATCCCGCAGGGAAATTGCAGATTTGCAAATTTGTGTTATGTTTTTCTATTTGTATATTTTGCCAGTTTTGGATCTGACCTTTGCCTGTTTTTTGACGACGACTCTGGAAAGTCAACTAGTACAGCCTCATTTGCCTCTTTTTTTCCACGTGTGTGACTCATTCTTTCACATTACAGTTAGAATGATGAACAGAGCTGTACATGATTCTGTAATGACTGAGAAAGCAGAATAACATTCAGATTAAAGTTATACTAAAGGTAACAGGAATGCCTTGTATCTGAAAAGTGGTGCTCAAATCCTGAGATGGATAACTTATCAAGGAATTGATGTAAATAGATAATTATAGTATTATGTATATTATTATGATTTATTTAACTTCTAGATGTTTTAAAAACCTACAAAATACTAAACAATACTATACAAAATTTTGATTTAAAAATTTTGAAATTTTGAAACATTTTGAAACAGCTTATAGTATTTCAATCTACACTGAATGAGATATCATTAAATGAAATAACCGCAATTATTAATATGAGTAAAAGATTCCAAACTTTTGAACAGTAGTGCATAACTTCTACATCGTCACTGTTGGAACACAGCACTGTACCAATTTAGTTGTTTTTTATGTTTTTACATAATTGGAAAATGTCATCCTTTTCTTTTTTTTGATACATCTGGATTGTTGTGCATTTCAAGATGGACAAAGACTATGTTCACATTAAAAGCCTCATTGCTCAAATTCGATTTTTTTGCTCAAATCTGATCTCTGGCAGGATGGTTCACACTCGTTCGTCACGTGTATCACCAGTAAATGAACTAACGAGCAGAACGAGCTTCTCTGAGAAGATAATTAACTCTGATCAGCTCTCAGCTTCATTATTAGAGCGAGACGAAGGAGAAAAAGGTGAGATGAGCTGCTTTTCCACCGTTTACAGGCTTTAACGTCTGTTCGGTACTGTTGCCATGGTAACGTTGAATGATGGCGCAGTGGAAAAAAAGCACATGAATTCCGATCTGAGCGTCACGTTAAGGTCACATGGCCACGAATCGGATACGTATCTGATCTAGGACCACATATGAAAGTGGCTCTGGTCGGATTTGAAAAGATCAGATTTGTGTCCACACAGCCCTGAAAACATCAGATTTGAGTCACGTTAGGGCAAAAAATCGGATTTGTGGCACTTCAACCTGGTAATGTGAACGTAGGCCAAGTAATACCTGGACTGTCCTGCTGGGTCTTGACGGACGCTACTTCATCTTCCTCGGTGGTGGTATCACTAAGTTCTGGCTCAGAACTGCATTCAGCCACATTCAGAATGGCTTCTGCCAACTTCTCCTGCACAGACTTGGCTTGGGTTAGGCATGGAGAAGGAGACAGGAGTGTGAAGCATGCAATGCGCTGAGTTAATACAGTGAACTGTAACATTCAAACTTTCACAAATTCAGCAAACACACGCAGTTGATGGTTATCATAAAGAACATGACAAGAAGTTAAACAGTTAATCAAATTATGAAATAAGAAGAATATGCTTAACAAAACACTCTGCATTTGTAACATTGCACACAGCAGCAAAACATTAGCAGGAAAAATAAAAAAGAAAAAATAATTACAACACAAAATTTAAGTCTCAGAAAAGTTTATTAGCAAACAATATTTGAAGCTCAAGCCATGCAAGTAGTGAGAAACAAACAGGACAATTATCCTCCAAACTCGGTATTTTCTTGATGTGATACACATACAACTATTGAAGGAGCTGCATGTGGGATTTTTATGATTATTTATGATTTAATGATCAATAAATATCACTTTGTTTACTGAGAGTGATTTTTCCAAAGTAGTAAAAGACCCTGCACCTTATAATCTCGTACATTGTTAGAGTCGCCACAGACTGGACTGGGAAAACAGGCTTGAGTTGGCTACAATATTTAAAAGCATTCATGATCCACAGAGCAAAACCCCTAACCGCTCATTTATCCCCACATGTAACACCTTTATGACTTTTAGCAAAGTGTACCATTACAAAGACGAGGCGGTAATGATTAATGTAGAGAAAAAAAAGCTACACTTAATTATTGATCACAAATTGATGAAATTAAGATCACACAACAAACTCAGAGAACACACCAACCACACGGTTTCAGACATTTTTAGACCCAGTATTTTCAGTCTTTCAGTGAGCAGAACTAAAAATACATCACAGACAGACATTTCATAAAAGGAAAACACTTCTATTTTTCTAATTTACTGTTTACTGTGTAATCCACACAAATGCAGTAGCTCCAATGTGACGTTTACAAAGATGTTCACAATGATCTTAACGTCTTTACCATGTTGAAAGTCCAAAAATACTGGCATATATTGGACACAGTACTGATGGCAAAACACAAACATGCTTCATTTTCAAAATAAACACACAAAATTATAATGAAAATAAACCAAACTGGTGTAAAGTTTCAGGCCACACAGCAAACAAAATGGCTTTTTCCATTGTCCTGTCAGCTGGTGAGCTGCTCACTCCATTATTTTGTATAGAGATTTCATTCACCATCTTTGTTGGTGACGCGCAGGTTTGGCAATTTAGTCACATTTTTTAATATTTTGGTTCCTTTGAACATTTTGGTAGACTAATAAGTAGACTAACTAATATCTCCTATTATGGCGTATATTTATAGCTGTAATAATATCTTCAAAAATGACAACATGATCATGCAAAATGCAAGCATTTGCATTAAAAAACATTAGAAAAAAGGCCTCAATGTAGGGCTGAAAGGGTTAACAGGTAAGTGCTAGAGTGCTAAATGCTTTGGTTCTAATGGTAAAAGCCAACAGAGAAGAACACAAGCTCCAACCAAAGGTAGCACACAGAACTAAGGCTGCGTTCACATTACAGGCCTAACTGCTCAAATCCGATTTTTTGCTCAAATCCGATCTCTCTGACACGATGGTTCACACTCGTTTAGGTAAGTGACTCAAATCTGTCATTAATGTGATGAACCGGCGTCCTGAAATGACCCTCATGACCACATCCTACTCAGTAACGTCACGTGAATGAATCACGTTCATCATCAGCAACAAACTAACGAGCAGAACGAGCTTCGCTGAGAAGATAATTAACTCTGATCAGCTCTCAGCTTCATTATTAGAGTGAGACGAAGGAGAAAAAGGTGAGATGAGCTGCTTTTCCATCATTTACAGGCTTTAACGTCTGTTTGGCGCTGTTGCCATGGTAACGCTGAATGATGGCGCACGAGCAGTGGAAAAAAAGCACATGAATTCCAATCTGAGCGTCACATTAAGGTCGCATGGCCACGAATCGGATACATATGTGGTCTAGGACCACATATGAAAGTGGCTCAGGTTGGAAAAGATCAGATTTGTGTCCACACAGCTCTGAAAACATCAGATCTGAGTCACATTAGGGCAAAAAATGGGATTTGTGCCACTTCAGCCTGGTAATGTGAACATAGCCTAAAATGTGCACTACTGCTCACCTTTCTCTGGTTCTACCTCCTTTTCTTCATCCTCAGCTTTGACGTGGTCTTCAGCTGCTTCAGCTCCATCGTCCCTCTCCGTGTCTTCAGATATCTCCACCTCACTCTTTTCCATCAAGCTGTCCTGGGTTTGCGACTCTTCCTCGGTTTGCTGAGGCAGAGACACAGAGCTGGTCTCCATGGCTTCCGTCTCCTCTACTTTGGTGTCTTTTTCTGACGTTAATGTAGAATCGCGCCTCTCGGGTTCCACGTTCCCTTCTGGGACGTCCTCTTCGTTGCCTGGCTCTGGACCACCTTCGCTCTCATCTTCTTCGCTGCTGGACGAGCTGCTCGACAGATGAGACGAGACGGACGATGACCGTTTGACCTCTGAAAAGAAGATGGTTTAAGGGACAAAATGTAATCAGATGAGACACAGCAAGTGTCTGTTTCATGGTAAGAATATTAAAAAGATAATATGGCTTTGCAGGTTAGCAGAATCAAATACCTATAGATTATTATTATTTGGTATATTAGAGTTACATTTGATTATCAGCCTTTCAGTTGGCAGATTTGACAGAAAAACAGCTAAACAACCTGGAATCAGCCAGAAATGAACCCAACACCATTCGCCAAACTAAATGGGCTGTAAGATGCTTTACAGACTGGCTGGAACAAAACAACATTAATACTGATCTGGCAAAAACGGACAAAACTGAGCTAAACTTGATATTGCGTCAGTTTTATGGCTCAGTCTGATTTGGTCAGACTCTGAAGATCAGACTACACGTTTGACGAATGGTATTGGGTTAATTTCTGGCTGATTCCAGGTTGTTTAGCTGTTCTTCTGTCACAGCTGCCGACTGAAAAGCTGCTCAGTGGTGATGACAGTTTGGGAATTTAGTGTGAGGAGCTGGAGAACGAACTGCCAGCTGTGCAGCGAGTGGGCGGAGCTCGTTACTCTGACATAGCAACAAGCTGCTTGTTAAGGAACTATAATTTGGCAGAAAGAATTGCTAACATTAAAACATATTAAACGCCGCATTCACGGCCCAGTTTATTAATTTATTACTTTATTTAACTGGTGTATAAAAGCAATAGAGCACTCGGGGTTGTGTGTTTTCGCGAACACCATCACAGCTGTTATTTCACGATAACACACTCCCCCACAGGTTCTATTGCTTAATTAAGTATTAGAGGTGATATTGTTGCTGTTGTGCAAAAAGCTTGTATCTCCATTTTTGTAGTTTTTCACTTTTTTACATAATTTGAAAACTCTAGCTACCCTTGATTGTGTTAAAATTTTATGATGAATGGACCAATAGAAACCATATAACCAAAAGAAAAAAAATCTGCTTACATTAACTTTCATTGCAAGTGAAAAATGTTTTTTCCTTCTCTTATGACATTACCAATTTGGAGATGCATGGTTTTATCCCGACAGCATATAATTAAAATATGTGAAAGAGTTACATGTATTTAACCCATGAAAGTGTAGAAGTTATGACTGTCATTTTGCTAGAAAATAGAAGTTCAGCATAATCTCAGAACTAAATACATAGTTATCTGCTGCTTCTATGTTATTAATGTGTTGTTTATTACATTTATGATTCTTTTTTTTCTTTTTTTTTGATTTTCTCCCCAACTTAGTTGTCTCCAGTTCCTCCCGCTACTTAGGACTCCCCCAGTCACACGATACCAACAGCGCTAGAAGGCCAAAGGCTAACACAGGCTACCTCCAGAATCTGTAAAGCGCCACTGCATCTTTTCGAACTGCCGCTCATGCAACGTCATTGGACAGCTGAACGCTGCAACCGCCAGATCTGTTACATCAGCTAACAGACGCCTGAGCTGGCTAGCATCGTGTTGAGTGACGGGGGTGGGGTGGGGGGGTTATCCTACCCACCCAGAGAGCATCTCCAGGGATCGAACTCATGATCTCCTAATGACAGGGCCAGCGTTCTGAGGGTTTCGCCACTTGGGATCCCCACTGTTATGTTTCTTTAACTCTTATAAATCTAGATTTACTGTAATTTTGTTTAGATTCTTTTGGTCTGAAAGTTTGGAATCTGTATGTTTTGGAAAAATGTATCCACTGGTTTCTATGAACTATGAGTGAGAAATAATTTATAGAAAATTACATGTTTTTGTTATCGCTGACAATAACTGCGACCTCTGAGGGTTAAAGACAGTATTACAGAGTGAAGCGAAACTAACTACTTTTGTCTGAATCTCCAGCTTCACTGTCTGAGTCTTGCTTCTTTTCTGTCACTTCATTTTCATTCTCGTCCTTCTTTCTGCTTTCCTCCTCATCCTCCCTGGTCGGAGAAGGTGTTGTTTCATTCCCCTCGTCTCCTCCGTCTTCCACAGGGCCTTCATCATCAGCCTCAAAGTCTTCCTCATAGTCTAGAGGACAAACAGTCTACAATCAGTTTTCAATGCAGTTTTTCCAACATCAGGAAGAAACACTTTTGAGGAAAACTCAAAAGAGAAACTCCCTAAGAGCATGAGGAAGAACCACTTAGCAGAACCAATACTCAAAAGAAGAAACTCATTAAGAGAATAAGGAAGAACCACTTAGCAGAACCAATACTCAAAAGAAGAAACTCATTAAGAGAATAAGGAAGAACCACTTAGCAGAACCAATACTCAAAAGAGAAACTCCCTAAGAACATAAGGAAGGACCACTTAGCAGAACCAATAATCAAAAGAAGAAACTCCCAAAGAACATAAGGAAGAACCAAGTAGCAGAACCAATACTCAAAAGAGAAACTCCCAAAGAACATAAGGAAGAACCACTTAGCAGAACCAATACTCAAAAGAGAAACTCCCAAAGAACATAAGGAAGAACCACTTAGCAGAACCAATACTCAAAAGAGAAACGCCCTAAGAACACAAGGAAGAACCACTTAGCAGAACCAATACTCAAAAGAAGAAACGCCCTAAGAACATAAGGAAGAACCACTTAGCAGAACCAATATTCAAAAGAAGAAATGCCCTAAGAACATAAGGAAGAACCGCTGAGAGGAACCAAGACTCAAAAGAGGAGTGAGGTAGAAATGACAGTGAAGAAAAGAAAACAGAATTACAGAAATAAATAAATGTTTAAAATGTAATAGTTCAGTCATTAAACTGAAAGCGGTCACAATGTACCGTTTTTAGCTTTGCCGTCTCCTTTTGTATCAGTTTCCTGAGGTTGGCTGAGATCAGTCTTCTCCTCCTCCTCGTCCTCTTCGTCGTCTTTAGAGTTGGACAGAAGTGGGTCCTCTTTCACTCTCTTTGGTGGAGTGGGTTTTTTGTCCAAACCCATGGCAATAATGCATCTATAGAACAATATTAGATCTTGTTTATTATTGTGTGAAACCCCATGGAGAGAAGATGCAACTGAACAGAACGGAAAAATAAAAACCCAGGTCAACTTAAATTTTTTAAGTCAACCTTTTGCATAACTTTTTACTTTATTTTCTACTTAGGCCCAATACCACCCCCATGGACCCTCACAGAGCAGGTACTATTTGGGTGGTGGATCATTCTCAGCACTGCAGTAACACTGACTCTAATGGTGGTGTGTTAGTGTGTGTTGCGCTGGTCTGAGTGGATCAGACACCTCAGTGTCGCTGCTGGACTGAGAATAGTCCACCAACCAAAAATATCCAGCCAACAGCGTCCTGTGGGCAGCGTCCTGTGACCACTGATGAAGGACTAGAGGATGACCAACACAAACTGTGCAGCAGCAGATGAGCTGTCGTCTCTGACTTTACATCTACAAGGTGGACCGACAAGGTAGGAGTGTCTAATAGAGTGGACAGTGAGTGGACACAGTGTTTAAAAACTCCAGCAGCACTGCTGTGTCTGATCCACTCAGACCAGCACAACACACACTAACACACCACCACCACGTCAGTGTTACTGCAGTGCTGAGAATGATCCACCACCCAAATAGTACCTGCTCTGTGAGGGTCCATGGGGGTCCTGACCACTGAAGAACAGGGTAAAAGGGGGCTAACAAAGTATGCAGAGAAACAGATGGTGGTCATAATGTTATGCCTGATTGGTGTATATAAGCTGTTTGCATGTCTGTTACAAGCTTTTAAAAAACTTAATGTTTTTACAAGCTTCAAATGTTTGTGTTCAATCTAGAGCTGCCTCAAAATGTTCACTAGCATTAGCTTAGCACTAACATACTGTGAGAAATCCCATAGAGGCACTAGCATTATTGTAGAGGTGAGGTTTTACCATTTGTGGTCTGAACTGAAGGCCCAGCTCTATTAGTCATGGTTTGCTAACTCAAAGGTACATTTAAAGGCTGCTCAGTGTAATATATGGTGGTGGGACCTTAACATGATCTCTGTGTGGTACTGTTCTGTCTCCCAACGTTGCTGACCTGTAGCAGGGTGATGCTCCCTCCACCCCGGTGAAGCCGAAGTGACCGTGCCGCCCGCCGAGCCGTGAGCCTTTCCTGTGTTTAAACTCGCAGCAGGAGCTGAGGCGCTCCACCTGCAGCCCGTTCAGGAAGAAGGTCAGGCTGAAGGGGAAACCACGGTGACGACGAGAGACAAACTGGAACGTCTCTGCCAGAAAGAGGGATAAAATGGGGTTAGGATATCGTCGCTGCTGGAACAGAACCTCGTATCGGCAAAAAGTTTTAACTTTACAGGAGAAGGAAAAAACTTTCTTAAAGCTGCACTGTGTGAGTTTTGGGGATTTGGAGACCTCTCTGGTAGAAATGTGTAACTGCACATTTCTACCAGAACATTTCTACCAGCAACACTACATGCTACGGACCCCCTTCCCTGAACAGACAAATCTGATGATTGCGACGCGTTGAAACAGTAATCAAAGAGAACCGTCTTCCGAGGATGTGAGTGAATTATTTACTACTTTTATTAGTATAATGTTAGTTCTGCATCTGAGACCTGAACACTGAGCCCAACCTTCTTTTAGAGCCTGTGGGTGAGACGTTAATATGTAAAGACGTATGACTTTGTACTCGAGTATTACTGAATACTACATTTTCTTTTAGATGCTCAAGTGCTTGTTACAAATCTCTAAGGCCAGGATTTGATTTCGATTTGATTTTCTCATGCCAGTGGGTCAAGGTCCCATGCATTTTAATTTATCTTTATTAAAACATTCAGTCAAGTTCATATCAGTGTGAAATGAAACTGCCTACAATCATGCTAAATCATCTTTGTGTGAGGACACCAAGCAAAGAAAACATGTCCTGACTCTCAATTTTATCTGTTAAAATATTTAGTTTTTTTACTTTTATATACTTGACTATGTCTAAATGTTGATACTTTTTCACTTTCAGTCAAGATTACTTCCTCTTTCGGGGCTCCAGTGTGGCGCAGCTGTCTAAGCGTTGGCCATATCATCAGGAGATCACAAGTTGGATCCCTGGTGATGCTACAGCCATCCGTGGCAGGGAGTCCTAGAGAGCACAACTGGCCTCTCTCTCTCTCTGGGTGGGCAGGATCACTCAGCATGATGCTAGTCAGCGCAGGCGTCTGTTAGCTGACGTAGCAGATCTGGCGGTTGGCGCTTTCCTCCGAGCGCGTTTGGCTCTTCAAAGACGTTGTGTGAGCAACAGTTCGAAAAGATCTGCTGGTGCTTAACAGGTCTCGGAGGAAGCCTGTGTTTGCCTTCGCCCTCCTAGTGCTGGTGGTATCATGTGATTGGGGGAGTCCTAACTAGCGGGTGGAACTGGATATGACTAAATTGGGGAGAAAACTGGGGGAAACAAAAAAGAGATTATTTCCACTTTTAATTGAGTAAGATTTGTTTTTTACTTCAGAAATAAAAGATTCCTGACCAAATAAACTTCTGTTTATGAAGCAAATCCTGAACCAGAGGAAGATGCTTGGCTAAAGGACTGAATAAGAGCGTGGTAAACACTGCTGATGTCAGTTTTGTGTCTCAACTGCAAAGAAGCAGAACAATCAGCATTACATCAAAAAGATGATCACTAATACACAAACAACCTCTGTTACACTGCGACGCTTACGGTTAGCACCTAAGCGCTAATGAGGAACTAGATCAAACGAGTCCGAATGTGCCGACGGCAGCACAAGATGAGAAACAGGCTAAACGCAGGTGTAAAAAGATCAAACAGTGTTGCTGTACACACTACTGGTGCAAATCAGTCAAGGTGTGAATAGATCACAAAACCTGCATAAAACCATTGAGCAGAGTCCCAGTACATGTTGTGCACACAGTCCAGTGCGAAAGTTTAAACACTCTGGTCTGATGATCAGAGATGCTTTGTTGATTTTGAGTGAGGTTAACGCATCCTCTACACAGAACAAACTTAAATGCAGCTCTTCTGCACATTTTAGTGCACAGTTTCTACATTTTCTATATACAAACTAAATTCTACATATTGCAGAATAAATATATAAAATGTGACAGAACTTTCGCACAGGCCACATTTTATGTTAAACTCAGCAAATAAACAGGAATTGTGCATTAAAATGTGCAGACATGTTATCTCTGTAGAGGATGTGTTCGTTTATTTATACTTAGAAAATCAACAAAATGTCATTTGACCAAACTTTTTCATATGACTGTACAGTATCAGTCTGGACACACCTACTCACAGAAAGGGGTTCTCCTTATTTTAATGCTGGACACACCTTACTGTAACAGTGAAGGCATCAAAACTATGAAATTACACATACAGAATTATGCAGAGTCCAAAGCGTTACTCAAGATTCACGAGGAGCCGAGTGAGAGACTAAAGGACCAAAGGCATAATAATAGTAACTAGGGGTGTGACGGATCACAGATCTCACGGATCGGATCATTTCACAGTTTCTGAGTCATCGGATGGTTCAGAATAAAAGAAAACAAGAAAATTTAACGTTGCATTCCGTTTATTAAAGCATAATGAACACTAAGAAAACTAAGAAAAGCATGGAACTTTTGCCCATGGACCTAAATGAAAACATGTTCCCATACATGTGATTTGAATGATGCAGGAGGCTTTTCAAGTTCTTCCTCTACTCCAGCAGCCATGACTACTCTCGCTGCTAACTGCTTGGAACATGCTTCGTTCACGTGACATACAGCAGCTTTGTCAATCTTTCCATTAAAAAAAATCTATTGAAGGAAAGGGCAGTTCTAGTTTTGTGCTATCTCTGTTTTAAAACGGTTTATTTGGTATTAGTTTCAATATTTTTTAATGGTTTTGTTGTTTTATACGTTTCGATTATCAGAAATTCGTAGCTTATATTTTTTCCATTATTTATTTTGTGTTTAGAATTTTATTTTCTTTGGCAATTGTTCCATGGTTCACGTGCGTACTGAACCGTGAGGGGTGAACCGTATGGATCACAGATTGTTCCATGGCCAGTTACACCACTAATAGTAACAATACTAATAATAACATTAATAGTAACACCTTTCCTTACACTCAAGGTCGATGTACTACGAAAAAAAGCCAAAGAGATCATGCCACACTAGCTGGGAAATAAACTACTTGTTTAGGAGGCTTTTTATATTTGTTTTCAAATAAATTAATGCATAACGTTGCTGTTGGAACAAAACCTCTTAGCTCCAAAATCGTAACTTAAAAGGAGAAGAAAAAACATTCTTAACTTTGAATGTAAGTTAATGGAACTAGATTTTTTTCCTAGCTCTTTCGGAGCGTTTCTGTTGGTCCGTTCATGATGAAATTTTGGCTCATTGTAAAGGTCAGCTGGCATTTTCAAATTCTGTACAAAAGTACAAAAACTAAGACATGAGCTTTTGTTCTGACAGCAGCGATAAGCATTTGTCTTAGAAACAAATTTCTCCACAGGGGGCGCTATTAGCTCAAGTAGCTTTTGGTGCTTTGTAAGAACAGTGCTTCACATCAGTGACGACTGCCTAATCGGACTCTCTGCTCATCTTTGGACTTACAGACATGCGGCTTTAACTTGCGTGTTACTGAGAAAGTCCACAAGGCTGTACCGCTCTAAAACTGACATTCACCAAGTCTGTTAAAGGAATAATGAAGACTTTGCTCACAGAGTTACTTAATATTTAGGAAACACACAAGATCACATAAACGATACGGGAAGAGTTAATAAAAACAAGTAATTTTGTTCAATTAAACATAAAAAGAAGATATTTCAAAGAATGTAATACACAGTTCGTGTGAAAAAGTGCAGATTTTGGTGTCTATGTTCATTCCAAAATGCTGTGCATCAGTTTGTCACAAGTTTGATTATAACGAGTTTTTAAAAAGAATTATAGCTGCTGTATGATGGAAAACGCATTTTTATTTCTCTAATGAAAGTGGTCTTAACAAGAATATAGCATTGATATTTGTTGTATGTGTAAACTCCCAACAATTTATATCAAGAAAAAAAAGGAAAAAAAATCTTGAAATCTGTCTACTTTCAAGTGGACAGCGAAACCCTTTATATCAACAATGAAAATGAGTTGAGCTAAAATGCCCTGAACTGACCTAGTGAAGGTTTAGATTTTTTCTTTTTTTTAACATTATTTTTTTTGGATTTTAACCCAATTATCTCCCCAATTTAGTCGTCGCCAATTCCACCCGCTAGTTAGGACTCCCCCAATCACACGATACCATCAACGCTAGGAGGGCGAGGCTAACACAGGCTTCCTCCGAGACCTGTGAAGCGTCACCGCTTCTTTTCGAACTGCCGCTCACGCAACGTCATTGGACAGCTGAGATCTGTTGTGTCAGCTAACAGACGCCTGCGCTGACTAGCATCGCGTTAAGTGATGGGGGGAGAAGGGGGGGGCATCCTACCCACCCAGAGAGAGCGAGGCCAATTGTGCTCTCTTGGACTCCCGGCTACGGACGGCTGTAGCATCACCAGGGATCGAACTCGCGATCTGCTGATGATACGTCCAACGCTTAGATGGTTGCGCCACTCGGGGGGCCCCCAAGGTTTAGGTTTTTGACGATGGCATTTTTGGCTTGATCTGTAGACTGACCTCCTTCTCTGAGTCTTCCTTTGTAAACACAGAGGTTCTCCCCTCCGCAGTGCTGCTGGAAGACCTTCACCTCGTCCTTCAGGTCCATCAGGTCATGGGACAGATGAACGCTTTTCCCAAAGTAAATCATCTTCACGGAAACAGCGCTCTGAGCCGACGCACGATGGACGGTGCCCTCCTGTGGTAGGGGCACAAGATGTCATATGCAGGGATTAGAAACGATTAAAGGGGAGCAGAAAATGAGCAGCATTTATCAGAGAATGAGCCTGAAAAAAGAACAAGCATTTAGAGACTGAAACATTGAATAAGCCGGTTAACCTCTTAAACGTCTAAGAGCTACTGACGGGTCCTGGATTCCATTTCTAACTCCTATAATTTAGGAATAAACAGTTCACACTGGAGTTTAATAATGTTATTAATGTAATGTGTTATAGTTATCTTGCTTTGGTTAAACTTGGCCTTAAAATGACCTTTCTTTCAGTGTGATTTTTCCATTTTTATTCATCTTTTTACTGTTATTCTATGTTTTAAATTGTTCTACTATGTTATTTTCCATTTTTCATGTGTTCTGTTTTCTCTCAGTTTCTTTTTGTTTTTCTTTTATTTGTTTGACTTGTTTCATTGATTGTTACTGCACTATTTTGTAAGTCCATCTGTTTCTCTGAATACTTTGTTAGCCCCCTTTTACCCTGTTCTTCAGTGCTCAGGACCCCCATGGACCCTCACAGAGCAGGTACTATTTGGGTGGTGGATCATTCTCAGCACTGCAGTAACACTGACATGATGGTGGTGTGTGTTGTGCTGGAACGAGTGGATCAGACACAGCAGTTTTTTAACACTGTGTCCACTCACTGTCCACTCTATTAGACACTCCTACCTCGTCAGTCCACCTTGTAGATGTAAAGTCACAGGACGCTGCCCACAGGACGCTGTTGGCTGGATATTTTTGGTTGGTGGACTATTCTCAGTCCAGCAGTGACACTGAGGTGTTTAAAAACTCCAGCAGCACTGCTGTGTCTGATCCACTCAGACCAGCACAACACACACTAACACACCACCACCACATCAGTGTTACTGCAGTGCTGAGAATGATCCACCACCCAAATAGTACCTGCTCTGTGAGGGTCCATGGGGGTCCTGACCACTGAAGAACAGGGTAAAAGGGGGCTAACAAAGTATGCAGAGAAACAGATGGACTACAGTCTGTAACTGTAGAACTACAAAGTGCACCTATATAGTAAGTGGAGCTGATAAAAGGGACAATTAGTGCAGAAACAAGGAGGTGGTCATAATGTTATGCCTGATTGGTGTATAAACAGAGTCATTCAGAGTGGTTTGGTGTGAAACGCTCTGTTCTGTTACTGAGTCTGTTCACAGTGGTGGTGATTGGAACCAGACGTCTGAAGAGTTTAATGCCTCTAAAAGCTCCCTCACAGAAGAGTTGTTGCATGAAATAATTATGAATACACTGCCTGATGCCAGACGCATTGTTTTGTGGAAGTTTTAAGAAGATTTTAAAAACATATTTTTAAACCACATTCACGGCAGAGAGGTGCATGCAGGGAGCAAAACAGTACTTATTTACCAATATTTTATTACAATATCAATTTTACATATAAAACTTGGTGTACATATGAAGACACGTGTAGGTTCACTGACCACTGATTGGACAGTAAATAAAATGTCTATATTGGCTTGGTAAGCATTGCGGTTGCTATCACCACCACTGTAAAGAAATCTGATTCAGCAAGTTTCTCTACAATTAATCATTTTACATCAAAACACTTAGAACGACTTTGTTTACAGATCTTTACAGAACTGCTGTAAAACAACCTACTCTCACTGCTGCTCTCTGTTAACACTGTAAACTGTAATCACCTTTACAGAACTAACTGTCTGTGTGTCTCTGCCCATCCTGTGAGTCTGATGCTGTTGCTTCTCCTGCCTTGATCGGGTGCCCCCTGTTCGCCAGCCTCCTGGACTAGTTCGACCACCATGTATCTTCCTGCTGTACAAACCTCACCTGCATGAACTGACCTTTCTGATGCTGCTGCTGCTGCACAGACTCAAACTATCTAACTATAACCACTGCTTCACCTTTTTTCCCCATTTCTGTATGTTGATATTTTATACTAACATTAAATCCTTATTCTCTGTTCATTTTGCTCTTGTGCTACTGTTTGCTATCCTCTCAAGGTTTATTCCTCTTGCTTTTAGGGAGTTTTTCCTTGCCACTGTCACCACTGGCGATGCTCACGGGGGCTCGGACCCCTATTTTTTCTGTAAAGCTGCTTTGTAACAACTCCTTTGTAAAAAGCTCTATATGAATAAACTTTTGACTCGACTTAAACCCCTTCATGAATTCTGTCTCCAGATAAAGGAGGTACAAACTCTATACCGGCCGTAATACAGTAAAGCTCCCTTTCTTTCCTTAAGACTAAGACTCCCTCTTCTTTCTTCCGGACTTCGTCTGTTGCTGACAGGAACACTGACCTGTGTGTCTGCAGCACTCGGAGCAGTGGTGGGTCGTAACCTTCGACCACGCAGTGTCCCGTTTGCTTTCGGCCCTTTCTCCTTCCTCTTGGTCAGCGGAGGCACAGGGGTGACAAAGTTGTTGATGACGGGGAGCCGGTAGGGTGAGACAGTGCTGGAGAAGTCCGTAAGGGTCAGATGTCTCGCGGCATCTCTTTCCAACTACAGCAAACAAACACAGACACACAACTTAAGGTTTCCGGAAATCTACTCTACTTCAACTGTTCATATCTGGCTTAGTTAGCTAGTTAGAGACTAAACAATGTTTCACAAACACAACTTTGAATTTCCAATCAACAATTTTCCTGTGATAGTTAAAATTTAGATTTACACAATAGTCAAAACGCTGCATACAAACAGCAGCAGTAGTAACCATTAAGAAGCATGAATTTTTGTCCATTTTTATAGATAATACAACACACAGGTAGTGCGTTTATATGCACACAAATAATATGATCATTATCACATCTCAACATGTATTTTTATATATTTGAAATAGATTTCAAATACATTGCAATCTATATGCTGAAATATATTACAAACACTATAACCTATTTTAGAATATACTACCATATTAACCAAATATATTTTAAAATGCATTAATTTTAAAATGTATGGGGAAATATTACACATAGAAATGTACCATATAAAAATAAGTGTAAGTAAATGTACGTATCAAATACATTTGAAAATGTTTGAAAATATTGTCTAACATGCTTTATTGTTTCGATTCCTTTTGAAATGAATTTGTTTTCCAGTATCTTAATTTTAAATATTATCAAGTGAACCTTTAACATGACAAAATCAAGGGTTGTAGGTGTTGATACTCTGCAAAATGCAGTTATGATTTGATATCTTGTTTATTTGAGATATATATTGCGTGAGTGTCTTACTGCATTAACAATGTTAATGCAAATCACAGAACCGTTCATTCAGTTCATGTATATTTAGTTATATCTGTAACTTTAAAACTACATACTATAGAAAGAATATAGTAACAAATAAATGCATTTAAAAATATATAATTAACAAATACATTTTTGGCCATTTTCATGCATTGCAAAGATGTATTTGATAAACACATTTGTAATATATTTTTTCCATATGAGGTGGTCAGGTAAACAGCATACACTGATTTCTTAGATTAGTTTAACGCCCTTATCGGATTTACAGACACCTGGATTTTAGCTCAGTAATGTGGTTTTTCAGCCCTTGTACACCTTTTCTCTAATTTCTTTCCTCTTTCTTAGTCTGAGGGGAGAGAGGGAAGAGCTGTCCTGGAAACAGCAAGTAACACTTAACGCAGCAATGGTAACAAAACACTATTTGGAGTGAGATGAACTCTAGAAAACATGAGTCTATTAGAGATTACTTGACTATTCAAGACAGTTTGAGGCTAATGTGTGATGATTTATGCAGGCAGTTAGCAAAACATCCATTACTTGTTAGCTGCATTAGCCTCACAGCTCCAGGTTAAAACTAAAGAAGCACAGTTACGGCATTGTTTGGAATTCTTCCACTTACAGAAGCAACCTCCAATCTTAAGTCCAATTTTGTGGCATTTCTGACCCTTTTGGCCAGATGCCTCATAGTGCACATTGGAAGTCGTCTGCCCCCCCAATTCATTCTCTTTGGATTAGGGATACATTTTATCATGCTACCCTTGAACGTATTTGATTGACTTTAAAATGTTCTGTTCTAAGATTTAATGAAATATGGCAACCCTTTTTTACCTGTGTGAAAAAGCTGTCCAACTTTACTGTCCCTGAGTAAGATTTAAGATAAGATAAGATAAGATAAGATAAGATAATCCTTTATTAGTCCCACAACGGGGAAATTCTCAAAACCCTTGGCAAACAATCAAAAGTATAGATGCTTAAAAAATAAAAGGAGAAAACTACAGAAAGTAAGAAAAAAGCTCAAATTGAGCTGGAGATGCTGCAACAGGCTGCCACTCACACAGCACCATCTTGGTATAATTGTTATATCTTTTTATATTATATCTTTTGTTACATTTTATCTTGATATAATTGTTAATTATGGTATAATTATTTAATTGTGACCGCAATGTTGACCGCACCTACTGACATCCAACTAAAGGTGCCATTTCTTTTTTTTCTTTCTGAGTTATATAGAATATTCCCATGTTAGAACCGTGACTTAGTTACTAGTAGCTAAGTAACTTAGGCTGACTTAGTTACTAGCAAATAGTAATAACAGATCCACATATTTTTTTATTTTTAATCTATTTTTTCACTCACTTTATTGCTCTGCGCTTATTTGCTGTCTGTACTTGGTTGCTTGTTTATTAAAAACAAACAAAAAAAAAAAACTAAAGAAGACAAAAACAAACTTCAGACACAAAACATGTCTGGCCGTTTTAGATTTAATGTTCGAGAGCTGCTTCATCTGATTTTTTACCTTTAGCACTTTAGGCAAGTGAAGTGGAACTTATTTCAGGATAATCCATCTGACTAGATTAACCAGTGATGAGGAACAAAGGCTGCATTCATGTGCCGATCGGCATTATTGCAAATTTCAATGTCAATTGTCAAGTTTGTTAAACAAGTTTCTGACTCTTGCTGAGTTTTACTCTTTCGTCATGGCTGAAGAAAGGAGGGTTTCAGTGGTCAATGGTAGGTAATTCATTATTTTTGTAAATGCAACCTATTTTAGTAGTCTGCTACCATCGCCTGCATTATGTACATTTTTACAATGGGCAAAACTGTCAGAAAGGTACCAAAAGAGATCAGATTCGCTAACTAACTAACCGTGTTTTTGACTACAAAGCACTTGAATTCAAAATAAATAAATAAACCGAATCATAATTATAACCTGAAATAGGAAAATCCAATTAGAGAAACTGCCACAACAAATTATATGACTGATATGGAAAATGATAATGGATAACTTTCTGGTTAAATCCATAAATTTCTGGTAGCGCTTTTATTAGGTTTTCAATGTTAGGTTTGCAGCAAGCAACACTGACTTTCTCACACCGGGTTTAACGTTAACCTTCCTTCTCTGCAACTGAAACTACAAGAAAGTGAGCAAAAGGCATTTTGGAAACGCATACGTACGTCTTGGCTGCATAATTTTAGTCATATTAAAAGGCCTGTTTGGGTCACAGTGAAGTTAAAGTGGTAATCCACCAAATTTCCAACATTTCTGCATACCTAAGTAGTCGTGATGTAAACAAGGTCATTCACACTGGTTTGATGTGAAATGCTCCGTTCTAGAAAAACAGCAAGGATTATAGAATCCAGGAAGTTTTTATACGAAATGGTTATGAATATGTTGCCTGATGTCTGAGGCACTGTTTTACAAGAGTTTTGCGATAATGTTGTGGCCTAAAACATATTTTAAAAATAAAATATTTTATATTATATAAGGCAACATAGTCCCCAAAGAAAACCTTTTTTTTAGATCAACATTTTATATAAAAATTTGTGTAGGTTCATTGGATAAAGTTTCGGGTAAATAAAATGTCTATATTTGGGTTGTAGAGTCTGTAATAGTGCACCAATGCACATCAAACCACTTTGAATGACGAATCTGAACCACTGAATTCTGCAGAAATTTAAAAAAATCAGTGGAATTCCCCTTTAACCCCTTAAAATCCCAGGCTTATTACATACTAAGGCTTATTATTCAGTAACTACAGGCACTCCAATGCAAACTGGTTGAGCTATTCTTAGGCTATAGAAGTGTGTAATAAAACAGGCCTTTTAAGGGGTTGAGGTAGCGCAGAGCAACAGTACGAGTGTCATATGATGAGCGTATCTGTCAGCGTGTGTGTAAGTGATCCGCAGCGTGTGCGGGGGGTCTCACCGGTGAGCTGAATGGGTGATCCGTTTCATTAGAGGAGTCTTGGTGCCTATGACGGGACGAGTTTCGCTTCAGAGAGCCCGGAGTGCTGGTGCTGTTCAGAGGCTTCAGCCGAACGGGTCTCTGCATCTTCCCTGGCGCCGTGTTCGGCCTGGACGAGCCTGGCTGCAATACAACAGCAGTGACAGTCCCACAAAATATTCCTTACTGCACAAGACTTACCAGTAAACATGTATTATTGGACTGTGTTATTATTTTAGAACTGACTTTGACCTTTATGAATTTGGGTCATTTCTGATCAAAAGTGTACCCAGCGCCTGCTAAATTTTGTAATTTTTTAATTATAGAGATCTTGAAAACAAGCTGAATTGTAGTTTTGTTAAACTAAATTGTTAGTCTGGAGTGTCTGTGAGCTGAAAGTGCAAGGATTTTGATGGTGATTCATTCTGTTGGTTATTATGAGCAAAAATAAACAATTAGCATAAGGCTGACGTTTTTTTATTGATTTTCTGTCCTTTTGGATTCATGATCAGTGCTAAAACTCTGATACACAGCAAGACAGGCTTTATTTTTAATTACAAATTGAGTTGCATATTTAATATTAGATATTTGTAATACTCAAAATCAATGTAAACTGAAAGACAGAGCTAGATATTATTAATTTTATAATATTTGTCATATTTATTGCCTTTTTTGCCTTTTTTCGCCTTTTTTGTTGGAATATGAAGGCCAAAAAGCAGAGCAGTAATATCAAGATTTTAGGTGAATTTCCGAGCCGAATTACTCACTGATGCTGATGTCACAGCTCGACGAAGCTTAAACCATTCTGAAGTTATAAAGGCTAGAAGTGACCAACCGTTTTTCCCATTGTAGGTTAAAAACATCATAAATAAATGCAATGAATGAAAAAATGATTAAACCATTAAAATAAAAAAAAATAATAATAATCATAGTAATTGCAGCTATATAAAACAAATACTCAAGAAGATAATGAAATATAATAAAATAAATACTCAAAAAAACAGATAAATGCACAACAGCATCAAACACAACAGTGAATATAAAATCTAAGGAAAAGTTAAAGTAAAAAGGTATATTTTAAGCTACTTTTTAAAATATGTTCACATACATCTTGTGGGAGAGAGCTACACAGCTTGAGAGCACACACTAAAAGCAACCTCACCATTTCTCACTACCTTCCCAACATCTGCACTCAGAATGGGTCCCATAACTGAGCCTGAACATATTTAATCTGAAGTGTATTTATGTATTTATTTATGTATTCATTTTATTTGAACTGTTCTTTATACTGTGGTTATAAAGGCAAGCTGAAACACGTCACACACATCTGCCTTCCTTTTACAAGAGAGGACAGAAACACAAGGTAAACCAAACAGGGCTTATCTGCGTCAAAGTGAGATAAAATGTGCTTACTGAAGCTCATACACTCACGTCATAACTCACTCTCTGAAGTGACTGGTGAGGCAAAGTCTGGGTCAACAAAACATCTTATCTCAGCTAAACACGGAAAAGCTCTTAACACATGAAGCAGCAAACGGAGCAAAATGTCAAAGACCTGAAAAAGTGACGGATGAAAGATCTTTTAAAGTCAGTGAGTGCGTTCACATGCACTCATTAATCAGATCATTATCAGTCATCTGATTATGCACATGGTCACGTAAACAACATACTCTGATTTCTTAGATCGGAGTAAGGTCTAGAAATCTGATAAAGAGAGCTGGATTTTAGCTCAGTAATCAGATTTCTCAGTGCATGTGAACTCTTACTCTGATTTCTTTCAGATTTCTCAGTCTGAGCATGTGCGAAAACAGACGGTGGTACCGGAAATAAGTGAGCAGCGTTACTGTGAGACGTAGCAAAACACTTTTACAACGATGAAACGATGAAACGGAATGAAGAATTTAAATATTCTTCATCTTCTAGATGATGTGTGTTCAGGTAAAGTGGCACGATGTTTAAAAAAGCCGCAGCGTTAAGTTTGTGTTTTGCTTTACGTTTACGTCACGTCTTCCTCTGTGAGTTTATTGGTCGGTTGCAAAGCAGAAATCTGATTACTGTCTGACTCATGTAGACGTGGAATTTCCCCATTATCTGATTTCTCAAGTGTATTTAAAAATGTTGATCGTATTACTGACAAAATCTGATTTTCTGCAGGTATCGGATTATTAAGTGCATGTAAACGCACTCACTGTGATTTAGAAATTTTAAACACTGTAAATTCGGGAACACTACTGTAGGGAAGTGTTCATAAGCTTTGGTCAACTTTGGTGTCGAGTTGACATTGATTTTGTCTGATATTGGGTCAAGTCTTGGCTTTTTTGGACTGTGTCAGTGCATGGGTCTGCTCTAGTGTACGTCTTTTATCAGCGGAAAATATTGACAATGACCAGCTTTATTTATTGTAGTTGTGTTCTCTTGTGTTTCTCTTCTTACTGATTCTGTCGACTCAGAGTGCTCTACTTCCGGGCCAGAATGCTGTGCATGAGAATTCTTCGGCCCAGTTGGCGGCCGTGGAGAAAGCATCATTATAGGATCCTCGTCATACCTGTTAGAGCGCTCCACCTGACCATGAACAGAACAGCAATTTTATTCACAACAGCATCATAAAATAAAGCCATTACAATGTCTGGTGCAGGCTGTAATTCAATTAGCAAAATAAAATAAGTATAACATTTAAACTACTATATCAGAAAGATGTTGATACTATAAATGAAACTGTAATTCGGTCTCGCTTTATTTGGACAGTCCACTATAATCCCATGTAGATTATCTACAGATGTTCAAATTGTTACCAAACTCTCTGTTGAAACTCCAGGGTCCAGGACCAGGGTTAGGGCCCGGACCAGGGTAAGGGCTGGGTTTATGTTTTGGGTTGTGGTTAAGGTTAGGGTTAGGATTAGAGCAGATTTAGAGTTAAAGAAAATTATGTAGATAGTAGTAGAGCTTGAAAGTAAATGAAGTTTCTACAAAGCATCTAAAGTGGACTCTCCAAATAAAGTGTAACCTGTAATTCTGTTAGCAAAATAACAACCATAACGTGTTAAAAAATGATGCACCTTAATTTTGTGCACCCTTTCTCTTCTCGCAAATTCCTCAAGTTTTCTCTTGATCTCTATTTGATGCAGACGCTGTAAGAAAATTAAAATAAAAACAGAGCATTGCTTATTAGGAGAGTAACAAGGCACATATTTTTAGGCTTGATACGATTGTGGTGAAGAATGAATTTGATTTTTGATAACAAAATAAGCCCTAAAGATCGCAACTGCTATGTTTTATAAGCCAAATAAAAAAACCCTGTCATTTCAGCGTTGGAGTGTCTGTAGCACTTAGCGCTTTACCACTGTATGCCTACACTGTTAAAAAGACGGCACTTTAGTAAAGAAAATGGTTCTACATAGAACCAGGAACACTCAAAGAACCCTCTGCATGATTGAAGGCTTCTTGGCATCGTAAAAGGGTTCTTCAGATTGATGGAGAATGTGTTGTATACGGTTCTATAGAGAACCTTTTTGATAGGGGTTCCATATAGCATCGAAAAGGGTTCTTCTATTGTTACGATGTCAAGTTTTTTTGGTGCTATACAGAACCCTTTTCAAAATGGTTCTATATAGAATCATCTAAAATACACCTGAAGAACCCTTTCATGATGCAAAGAACCCTTTAATCATACAAAGGGTTCATGATTCTTTACAGAACCATCATTTTTAAGAGTGCATGGAATCTATGTAGAGACAGTCAAGCAAGCTCTCCCATTGGTAAAGACATCAGGAGCTGAACTGAAGTCCTAATACCTCAGATTAGTCACTAGTACTTGATTTACAGTGGGTGGAAACATTTTTTGTGAGAAACAAGTAATTCTAGGCCTTCTGAAAGTTCTAGATACATCACTGACAGGACTCTTTACTAAAAGAGTCACTGTAAAACTGCTACAAGGTAAAAATATCTGTTTCCATTTAAAATTCCAGGCTTATTACACACCTAAGGCTTATTATTATACACATGGCTCTATATAGAACCATTTTCTGTACTAAAGAACCCTTGATGAACCATCTTTTATAAGTGTGTAGTTTGATTACTGACAGTGGTTTCCACAAAATGGCAAATCAGACATGATTGTAAGAGAGCGACGGGCATATCGGCCAATTTTTCATACACTGTTTCCAACATTACAGTTTTCACAATTTCTTGATACTGTCAAAGATTTTGCACCTCTCGTCGTACAAAGAACAAAACTAGTCAGCAAAAGGAGGGATAATAAACAGTGTGTCCCAATTCAGGAGCTCAATCCTTCGAAGGACACAGTCTACGAAGACTCCAAAGGCTGAACCGAAATGAGGCGGTCTGTCCTACAGTGGATTTTCTGTTTGCGTCACAGCACCGCTGTTCCCGCCCTTACTGCTGCATCATGAACCGCCGTTCCTGTCAAGTTCTTCTAAAGTTCTTTAAAGATGGAGCCAGAAACTTTGATTTTAGTCGTTTATTTTTTCATTTATTAGAGCTGGAGATGCTTCCCCGCCGGCTACTGATGAGATTGTTTTTTTTTAAAACATTTGTATCGTTCTCTATTCGCCTCAGTTTAAAGCCAATACAGATTGGCAAATATTTTCTGTCATAACACTATATTAAAGTATCTAATAATGCAATTTTAAAAAGAAATACTTATAAATATAGTTTATAGTGATTCAAAAAGATTCATCCAATTTCAAAATGATTTATTTTACTTGTAAATCTTCACAGAACAATGCAGTAAACTGTAAATGGTTTAAATGAGCATAAAGTTTATTATGTAATTTTATAAGTGCTCAGTATGAACCTCCTCCAGCTGTTCAGACAACATCAACACCATAGTCAAACTCATCCCATACTCGATTGAGCATGTCGGGTGTCGCTGCACTCACGGCTCTTTCAGTGCGATTTCGGAGATCATCCAGTGCTGTGGAACCAACGACGAACGCTCTGAGCTGTTGGTTCACTGCTGCCGAAAATCACGTTGCACAGTCATGACGGATTCACTCTTTTTGAAGTGACTCGCAGACTGAAGGGAGCCATCCTCCACTGACAGTCAGAAACTCTATCACCCCCTCTTACAATTGGATTGTGATTGGTTCCAAGGCGCCTCACGGTTGTAAAAATATGGTGCTTTGAAATTAAATGAATCTTTTTGAATCACCCTGTATTATTAAAACATGTTTTTTCCCCTCAGTGGCTGAGGAGATGGAGTTAGGGTAATACGTTTTGTGTGAGCTAAATCTCCACCTTCAGATCTATACATCATGATGCATCAGCGTATTTTACATTATACTAAATGGCGCCTGCAGGATTGATTTGGGCTCCTCTGCTTTATTCTAATAGGTTATTTTTCTGAATCAGTGGGACCAGTGTCCACTCACTTCCATGTCCAGCACCTTGTGGAAGATTGCCTGGGCCAGACATTCCCGAATGTGTCTCTGGTGGGCTCTCTGGATCAGTTTGTGCCTGTACTCCTTTTCCGGAATAATCCGCCCACTTCTGCTGAGCTAATTCACACACAGGCAGCTTATTATTGATGGATCAAATGAATAAAGAATCATCTCAGATCACAAAAAGCTCTTTCCCATTTACCTAGGATGGTTCTGATCACCCTTAGCTGACTGGGTTTTGTTAAAAGATAGGCTGGTAATTATTTCACTTCTAAATAATGTGACATTATATGATTTATCTGTTAATTTAACAGCAATGTTGTTACTACTCTTGATAATAATATACAACAAATTATTAACAACAATACCGTTATTATTAACAACAATACCGTTATTATTATTATTATTATTATTATTATTATTTAGACATAACATGCATTGTGATCACTTACCAGACCCACTTTTTGAAGGTGTCTTCGTATTCTCGTGTTGTTGAAGTAACCGGTCAGGTGTTTGTCTGTGAGACTGTTATAGGCTCCAAGCAGGCTGTGGAGTAAAATAAGTTGATAAACTTATGTATTTTCACTGGACGAGACTAAATTAAATTAATTAAATTAGTTCTTTAAAATACATTTAACTAGTTTCTGATTTTTCAGAATTGCTGCCTAATTAAATCGTTGAGATAAACAAAGTCATACAGACTTTAGACTGGTGTGAAACGCTCCCTTCTAGAGAAACTGTTCACAATGGTGGTGACGTGAACCAGAAATCTGAAGCTCACACAAGTTATTACACAAAATCTTTACGAATATGCTGCCTGATGCCTGAAACATTGTTTTATAATGGTTCTGATACAATATTTTGATGCGCAGAAGATGTGTAGGTTCTTTGGTCGTTTTGGATAACGTTTTGGAATTTAAAGTGGAACTACATTTATGGTGGCACTGAATTTAAAGTTGCACTGAACTTAAGGTATCAGTAAATTTAAGCTGGCAGTAGATTCAGGGTGGAAGTAGAACTGAAGTGACAATAGATTCAAGGCAGAAGTAGAATTGGGGTAGCAGTGAATTTAAGATATCGGTAAATTTAAGGCGGCAGTAAATTTAAGGTAGCCCTGAATTTAAGGTGGCAGTAAATTTAAGGTAGCACCGAATTTAAGGTAGCAGTAGATTTAGGGAAGTACTGAATTTAAGGTGGCAATATTTTTATGGTAGTACTGAATTTAAGATAGCAGTCGATTTAAGGTGGCAGTAGATTCAAGGTAGCACTGAATTTAAGGTGGCAGTGGCATCTTATGTGTAGCACCTAGCAACACATTCCCATCCACCTTGGATACCGTAGCAGCCACCTAGCAGTCTTTCACCATTTTAACGCTTAAAAGAAATTAGCTGGTATTTTCAAGCCAACTTAAAGTTTGTTCACGAATTTTCCCTTTCTAGTTCCTTCGTTTTTTCTTGAGTGCCTTGCTATCCCTTTGCTGCTGTAGCACCGTTAATTTCCCCATTGTGGGACTAAAAAAAGGATTATCTTATCTTAAGTCAGTACGTTTCTCTACAATGAACCATTTCACATAAAACCACTCTTAACATCACAACGACTGAATTATACAGAAATTTAGAAAAATCGGTGGAATTACCCTTTAATTCTAAGGGATAAGGTGGAGTGGAGAAATGGTTATAAGACACACAAACAAATGTTATAAGCTTTCCTCAATGCAAGAAATTACAAGTTGTGGGCTTTTAAATGCCACTGTGATGTTTCTGACAAATGCAATGATCTAATAAATATCTAATTAATAAAACTGCCTGGACTCGTCATTATTGGACTCCAATGGTCAGCAATAGTAAGGATTTCACCGTTAGGTTAGGCCTCAACATCTGTGTCAGGTGTGCTCCTGGAAACGCCTGGTTGTTTGTCTCCTCGGCTTTTTCCAACACAGATTTGATTTCCTCAGTTTTTTGTAGAGGGGAAACAACAGTGCCCGGCGCCGACTATCCGGCCTGAGGGATACATTACGGGTGTCTGATTACGGTTGGAGTTAGAAAGGATGGATGGCATGCTTAACCCATGCTCCTTTTGTATTAGCTTCTTTGAGTGCTGTTACATAGAGAGGAAGGCTGGATTTCAGACGGATGAAAGCACAGTGGCAGGAGAAAGACTAGCAGGCTTAATGACGCTATTAGAGCGCCGGCTCCGTTAGATACTCCACCGTTCGAAAGGGTGGAATCACTGTTTTTAACTATATAAAACCAGTTGTGTTGTTTTAAATGATTCTAATCGGACAGCCCCGAGAAAGTAATGGAGAGAGAGAGAGAGAAATACAGTAACCTTACAGTGATTTAATGAATTATGATGATTTTATAATGAATACAAAACAATACATATTTTAATATAGATGCATCGATATGGAATGATGATGATATCTGATATTTATCACGCACAGCCGTATGCAAAAGGTGGTCAAACTGCTTGTTTTATTAATGTTCTCATTGAAAATATGTTAACCCTCTATTACACGATGTTGCCTCAGGGCAACAAACTCATTTTCCTCACTTTACAAGAACATTATACATATTTAAAGGCAATAATAGGGTTAAAAATAAAGAGAAGTGTTTGAGTAAGTCAATAAAAAGCATGTACTTGGTCACACTACCTCTTAGTGGGCACATCAAAACCTCTTTTTAACATCCAGTATCAATTTTTCTTGTTATGAGAATTTGCAGAAATATGTCTGTTGCCTAGAAGCAACATTGTGCGACAGTGGAATGGATTCAGCCAGTCATAAGGCAGATCTCACCACTTCAGGGAACAAGGCTCTATGTCATTTCTTCCAATAGTCTCGCAATGTTGCCTCAAGGCAACATATTCCAGAAAGACCCCTGCACACATAATTATTTATTTAAAATGTTTTTGAATTTAATAATCGAGACCAATGATTAATAATCATAATACATAATTTTATAATTATATAATTTAATAATCAAGGAAAAGTGAATGCAAGAAAGTGGAGTTTTTAAATTGTCCTCATAATCCATGCAGTAGAGGGTTAACACATCTCTAAAGTGAACAATGGCATTTTTCTGCATGTTTTAGTGCACAATTTATATTTCTTAGCTTTTTGCTTCTATTCTATTCTATTCTATTATGTTGCTATTTGAGTTTAACATATTGCAAAAAAATAAGTTAAATTCAGCAAATAAACAGTAATTGTGCATTAAAATGTGCTCTCTGTAGGGGACATGTTAACTTATTTTTACTTAGAAAATCACACATTGTTTGACCAAACTATTAAGTTTTAATAATATAATTTAAGTTAGAATACAATTATTATCCATTAATAAAAAAGAATTAAGTTAGAATAGAATTCATATCCAGAATGCCTTGTATTTCAAATTTTTACTAGTATATATATATAAAAGGGTTTATTCCAAAATTCTGTATATCTGTGTAATTATTTTGGATATAAGACATTATAAATACATACATACATACATATATATATATAAAGAGTACTTTCTGGCTTCTAGATTACACTGCAGAAAATTACATATCGGATCAACCTAAACAATTGAACAAGCAATTGAACTAGTTTCATTCATTCAATACAAAAAAATGCACTGATTGAATGACTTATCAATTCAAATTATTTAGTAAGGTTGAATAAAACTAGTTAATTTTCTTGTTACAACATGAAGTAACTTTTTAAGTTGATCTGACGAGAAATTTTTTACAGTGTATAGTATCTATTTTTTACAATATAAGTTATTGTAATTGTTATTATTGTTCTAAACTTTTAAACTGCACTGTATAAAAACTCTGGCTTCAATATTGACGCAAGCGTTTGCAGTGATTCAGGTACTTTAAGAGACTTTGGGCTTCATTTCATTGAACAGTGAGAGACATTAGTGCTCCAGTGTTTTTCCATCTCCACAGTAACAGAGCTCCTCAGCCACACACTACAGTTTACTGGAGCTGCTAATGACTCATTACACAGACTGTGGGGAGTCTGACAATACACACACCAACACACTCACCGGCCACTTTATTAGAAACACCTACCTTGTACTTCCACTCACTGGCCACTTTATTAGAAACACTTGCCTTGTATGTCCACTCACTGGCCACTTTATTAGAAACACCTACCTTGTATGTCCACTCACTGGCCACTTTATTAGAAACACCTGCCTTGTATTTTCACTCACTGGCCACTTTATTAGAAACACTTGCCTTGTATGTCCACTCACTGGCCACTTTATTAGAAACACCTACTTTGTACTACCTCTCACTGGCCACTTTATTAGAAACATCTACCTTGTACTTGCACTTACTGGCCACTTTATTAGAAACACCAACTTATACAAACACCTATAGACTTTAGTCCATCTGCTGCTGCACATTTTACCAGCCTCCCTCTACTCCATCCATCACTGGTCAGTTTCTGACCACAGGACCACTGTTATCAACACGTTATGTGTGTGATGCTGCTACGAGTGTATCAGACACAGCAGTGTTTCTGGGGTTTTTACATACGTCAGCATCACTGCTCAGTTGCTAGTGGACCGCCGACCCAAAAATATCTTCTCTCTGGTCAGAAACTGACTACTGATGAAGGACTAGAGGATGGCTAACACAAACTACATATCGGCAGATGGGCTACAGTCTGTAACTGTACACCAGCTACAAGGTAGGGGTTTCCAATAAAGTGGACAGGAGCTGCACAGCTCAGAAGAAGCCTCATGCACCACATTGTGGATGGTGAACGCAGCATCACACTAATGCAGCGCTCTGTGCACGTGGATCTGCTTCAGCAGCACCAGCTGAACACATTGATCCAGGTGATCAGTCTGACCCAGTATGACCAAAGCATGCGGTATTTACCCCAGGTTCTACTGCGTTTGATCCAGGTTCTGATCTGTTCCATTTACCCCATATTCTGCTGTATCTACCTCAGGTTGCACTGTATTTGCTCTGTATTCACATCAGGTTCTGCTGCATTTATCTCAGGATCTGCTATAGATAAACCATGTTCTACTGTATTTATCTCAGGTTCTGCTATAGATAAACCATGTTCTACTGTATTTATCTCAGGTTCTGCTATAATTACTCCATATTCTGCTCTTTTTTCCTCAGGCTCTGCTATAGTTACTTTAGGTTCTGTTGTATTTACATCAGGTTCTGCTATTGTTACTCCCTATTCTGCTGTATTTACCTCAGGTTCTGCTATAGTTACTTTAGGTTCTGTTGTATTTACCTCATGTTCTCCTGTATTTACTCCCTATTCTGCTCTTTTTACCTCAGGTTCTGCTATAGTTACTTTAGGTTCTGTTGTATTTACCTCAGGCTCTGCTATTGTTACTTTAGGTTCTGTTGTATTTACCTCAGGTTCTGCTATTGTTACTTTAGGTTCTGTTGTATTTACCTCAGGTTCTGCTATTGTTACTTTAGGTTCTGTTGTATTTACCTCAGGTTCTGCTATTGTTACTTTAGGTTCTGCTGTATTTACCTCAGGTTCTGCTATAGTTACTTTAGGTTCTACTGTATTTACCTCAGGTTCTGCTATAGTTACTTTAGGTTCTGTTGTATTTACCTCAGGTTCTGCTATAGTTACTTTAGGTTCTGTTGTATTTACCTCATGTTCTCCTGTATTTACTCCCTATTCTGCTCTTTTTACCTCAGGTTCTCCTGTATTTACTGCATCTTCAGCTGTACTTAGCTCAGGTTCCACCTTATTTACCTCAGGTTCTCCTGTATTTACTCCCTATTCTGCTGTATTTACCTTAGGTTCTCCTGTATTTACTGCATCTTCAGCTGTATTTAGTTCAGGTTCTGACATATTAACCTCGGGTTCTGCGGTATTTCCTCATGTTCTTTCATATTTACCTCAGGTTCTGCTGTACTTACCTCAGGTTCTGTGATACTTGTCTCAGGTTCTGCGGTATTACCTCATGGTCTGTTGTATTAACCTCAGCCTCTGCCATATTTACTTCATGTTCTGCTGTATTTACCTCGGGTTCTGCTGTATTTAGCTCAGGTTCTGCTTTGGTTGTTTCAGTACTCACCCTGGGTTCGGGTGGCTCATGGTGCTGCTCCGCTCTCCGCTCTCCGCTGTTTCGTGGCTCCGTTTCCTCGCGCTGCTCTCAGCTGATGACAAGTCGCGTTACCATGGAGCCACAGAGCGTCACGTGACGATGCATCAGCAAATACTCTTCTCTCTCTCTCTCTCTCTCTCTCTCTCTCTCTCTCTCTCTCTCTCTCTCTCTCTCTCTCTTTTCTTTCTTTTTATTCTCTGATGTACTCTCTTAAACATTGTTCTTCAAGGGTTCTTTAGTGAAGGGAATAGTTCTATTCAGAACCATGTGCTCGATATAGAACCTTCTGCATGCTTGAATAGTTCCTTGCATGGGTGAAACGGTTCTTCAGAGAAAAACAAAAAAAGTGTTCTTCTATTGTTAAAATGTCAAGCATGTATACAACAGCAAAACATTTTTGGGTGCTATATAGAACCACACAACACATTCTCTGTCAATCTGAACAACCCTTTCTCCATGCAAAGAACCATTTAATCATGCAAATGGTTCTTTGAGTGTTCATGGTTCTATACAGAACCATTGCCTTTACTAAAGAACCCTTTAAGTAGTAGCTTCATTACATTAGTACAATAACAACGTTAAATTTTGTCTCTCTCCCTCCTCCAGTTCAGTTAGGAATATTCTCGAGACCTTCTGCTGTCATAATTAAAAACTTTTCCTGCTGCATGAAGACTCATAATTACATGTATTGTGCTTAATATCACATGCAATAATCCATCCAGATGAATTAGAATCACCTTTATTTCATTTACTGTGGTTCTCAGTCTTGGCCTCCTGGGAGCTCCTGCTCCAACACTGACTCAACTCATGAGGGAACGGTGGGTCCCTCTGTGAGCTGAGTCAGGGGTTTTACAGCAGGAATAGCACTAAAGTGTGCAGTACATTGTGTCTCCTGGGCTGAGACTGAGAACCACTTTAACTGGCGGGTCATGAAGCCTGATGAGCATTTTAAGGTGATAAACATTCCTCCTGCAGGGAAACTGCCGGGCATAATGACAGATTTCCCAACTAATAAAGTATTTCTGCTGGATATTTATTTACTCAAATTTAGCATCTTTTATCTTTGGGGTCAATTTGAAACTCCTATCAGTGGTCCTCACACTACTACAGGCGTGGCTATGTCAAGTTAGGGCCCTAAAGCAGAAGGAAGTTTTTTGAAGATTATAAAATTGCATGTTAGTGACCTCAATATCATCCAAAACAATCAAAACAAATGTTTAAAATGCTGATATTTCTCAAGTTTTATACAGCTGAAACAGCCTGGGGTCAAACTGACCCCAAAGAACACAGATGTGTACTAAATGTCAAAAAAGGACATTAAAAACATACCATCATGTTAAATTTATGTTTATTTCCAGTTGATCCCTATTAAATTAGGAAAATCAATTAAATATGAAGCATAAAATGATGTCAGTCATTTATTTAGAGACTTTAAAGACTGAACGGGGTCAAACTGACCTCAAAGATAATGGGACAGTTAAAGGGCCGGATGAAGGAAAACCCAATTTTTCCTGTTCTTTTGAAAGGAAAGAGGTTGATGCAGCTCAGACATGGAAACTAAGCTGCATAAACAGCATGTTTTGAATTCTGTGTTTTTGTGATGTCACACATTTTTATACACCGATCAGGCATAACATTATGACCACCTCTTTGTTTCTACGCTCATTGTCCATTTTATCAGCTCCACTTACTATATAGGTGCACTTTGTAGTTCTACAGTTACAGACTGTAGTCCATCTGTTTCTCTGATACTTTGTTAGCCCCCTTTTACCCTGTTCTTCAGTGGTCAGGACCCCATGGACCCTCACAGAGCAGGTACTATTTGGGTGGTGGATCATTCTTAGCACTGCAGTAACACTGACGTGGTGGTGGTGTGTTAGTGTGTGTTGCGCTGGTCTGAGTGGATCAGACACAGCAGTGCTGCTGGAGTTTTTAAACACTGTGTCCACTCACTGTCCACTCTATTAGACACTCCTACCTTGTCAGTCCACCTTGTAGATGTAAAGTCAGAGACGATAGCTCATCTGCTGCTGCACAGTTTGTGTTGGTCATCCTCTAGTCCTTCATCAGTGGTCACAGGACGCTGCCCACAGGACGCTGTTGGCTGGATATTTTTGGTTGGTGGACTATTCTCAGTCCAGCAGTGACACTGAGGTGTTTAAAAACTCCAGCAGCACTGCTGTGTCTGATCCACTCAGACCAGCACAACACACATTAACACACCATCACCACGTCAGTGTTACTGCAGTGCTGAGAGTGATCCACCACCCAAACAGTACCTGCTCTGTGAGGGTCCATGGGGGTCCTGACCACTGAAGAACAGGGTAAAAGGGGGCTAACAAAATATGCAGAGAAACAGATGGACTACAGTCTGTAACTGTAGAACTACAAAGTGCACCTACATAGTAAGTGGAGCTGATAAAATGGACAATGAGCACAGAAACAAGGAGGTGGTCATAATGTTATGTCTGATTGGTGTATATCCACCTGTTCATCCTACAGCAGTTTAGCCCCACCCATTCCTGCTGAAGTTATGAGTGTTTCAGCCTGGTTTGTTTTTTGAATGAGGTGCAATACAAAGGCAGCCAATCAGAACAGAGCTCATTTACATATAGCATACTCAAAAAGCACAGCCTGTTTAATTCTTAAGGGATAAAGCGAAGTTGGAAAATGGTCATGTGAAGTGTATTACAACTGTTTCTGGCACATAATAGCCACATAAAAGTTTTTATTGGACCTCGGGGCGAATAAAACCTAGAATATGGGCCCTTTAAACTGTTTAAACACTGCTGCATATGATACAGCCTTGGGCAGGGGTGGATAACGCTCTGCATCATTGGCCATTCAATTCCAATTAGACTTGATCTAATAAACAAAAATGCCCAAGATTGAGAGGAGAGGATTTTGTATTCAGTTCTGTTCTATTCAGTTTTATTTGCATAGCAGTGTTTACAGCACAAACTGTCCCAAAGCAGCTTGTTCACAAATGCGACTTGGATTTAAGGATGAGTGGAATCAACAGCTGGAAAATTCTAATGCTGTAAAGCAGCGCCCTCTGGTGGTGCAGTCTGCGTCAGCCACCATACAAAAATATGACACAAAAATATGGCACAAAAAAGGCACTCACAACTGCTTTTTCTCCAGCATTGAATATGAGGGCAACATCTGATTTAATGTAATGTATACAGTCACAGAACAGCACATTTCTGAAAGTACTGTAGTGCTTTGACTGGGCCAGTTGTGCTTAGAAGACAATGCAAAATGACATGAAGCTCCTTTAAAAACTGAAAATGGTCAGATTTTAGATTTATAGTTTAAAACAAATCTATTTAAAATCTATGACCTAAAAATTGACTTATTTTTATAATAAGTGCACGTCTCATATGCCTCCTTTAACTTTGCTATCATTTGTAAAAACAGTTTTTTACTTTAATTTTATATCATTACTGTCAAAGATCACATTTTAAAATCCTTCCGTGTCATTAGCTCTCTGTTTCAGATATTTTGTTATTTTTTACCCTAAAATGGTGTCACTTTTTTCAGCATGATCTGTATGACTCGCCTTTTTGTCAATCCAAATGAATTCTGTAGCCGCCATAAAAATAACAAACAACATAAAAAATTCAAAGGGGTCTTTAGGAATTTATATATGTTTACTAAAAAACATTAAATATTTTTATTGAAAATGATTTGGGATTGATTTAGGGATTCCCAGATATGGAATTTGTGGGCCAGTGCTTATATCTGATAGTTTCATGTACATGTCTGTCAATGCCGATACATAAACAATGATAAAAATGTAGAAATTGGGACTAAATCCACATGGATTAGCATTACGACAAACTTTAAAATAAATTAAATGCATGAATTTAAGGATTTTAGCACAGCATCACCTAAACATTCTAATCAAAAACCTAAGCACATCTGAACATCAGTCTGATTCCAATGAAACGTGATTTGACAATCAGCTGTAGATCCTGATATGATTGCAATATAATCGCGCATTCCTATTAATAATATTAATTATTGAACAGTTGTGAAAAAATGGACATAAAAACACTGGACATAAAAAATCACTGATATTGGAAATTATTTGAAGAGATTAGATAAGAAAATAATATAGAAGTATACAGTCCTGTGTAAAAGTTTGTGTGCCATGTTTTGTTGATGTTCTCAGTGAAAATAAGTGAACAAATCCTCTACAGTGAACACACTTCTGCACATTTTAATGCACAACTACTGTTTATTAGCTCAATTTAAAATGTAGAAAAGTGGTCTGTGCAAACATTATGGTGCTTTTTATGTTTTACCTTTTCCCAATATTTTCACAGTATGTAAAAATATGTGCACTAACATTTGCAGACAAATGCTATATTTTCACTTTCACTGAAACAAAATGAATTTAACCAGGCGTCTTCAAACTTTTGCATATGAATGTATATATACTGTATATATCTCCTTCTATATCTTTATCTATCTATCTATCTATCTATCTATGAAAATAAGTTAACACATCCTCTACACCAGGGGTGCACAACTCTGGTCCTGGAGGGCCGGTGTCCAGCACGCTTTGGTGATTTACCTGCTCGAACACACCTGAATACACTCATCTTTCAATTGCCAGGTTAAGTGGGTGTGTTTGAGCTGGGAAACCTCCAAACTGTGCTGGACACCGGCCCTCCAGGACTGGAGTTGTACACCCCTGCTCTACAGGAAAAAATACATAATACATAAATACATAAATATTCATTTTTTCTCCAAATTGCAGTGCACAATTTCATTAAAAAAAAAAAAACACAAAATGATAAAATAATAAAAGAAAAAATTAAATGTAAAATATAAAATGTGCAACAACTTTTGCACAGACAAAAATGTGTTAAATTTATGTTAAATTTAGCAAATAAATAGTAATTTTGCGTTCAAATGTGCAGCAGTGTGTTCTCTGTAGAGGATGTGTTCATGTATTTTCACTTAGAAAATCAACAAAACATGGAATTTCACTCAAATGTTTGCAAACGGCTGTATATCGCTGCTGTCGGATCAAAACCTCATATCTCCAAAATGCTAACTTTACAGGAGAAGGAAAAAACATGCTGTACTTTTAATGTAAGTCAATGGAACCAGAATTTTTTCCAAGTAATTTTGGGCCATTTCTGTTGGTCTGTTCATCAAAAAAATTAAACACAATGTAAAGAGCAACAGGAATTTGCAACTTATGTCAAAAACTGAAAATCTACAAAAATGGAGATATGAGGTTTTGTTCCAACAACAGCAATGTATTTACATAATTAAGTATTATATTAAGTATTTTATTATAGGCAATTATACTATAATACTGTATATATATTATGGTTAAATTCTTTACCATTTTTGTCTTGTTCTTGTTCTGACAGTAAATGTACATATATTTTATACATATTGCTGTTGTCAGAACAAAACCTCGTATCTCCAAAATGGTAACTTTACAGGAGAAGGAAAAAACATACTTTACTTTTAATGTAAGTCAATGGAACCAGACTTTTTTCCAAGTCATTTTGGGTCGTTTCTTTTGGTCCATTCGTCATGAAAATTACACACAATGTAAAGGCCAACAGGGATTTTCAAATTATGTCAAAAACTGAAAAATGGAGATATGAGGTTTTCTCCCGACAGCAGCGATATATTACCAGTAACTGTCATGACAGATGTCCTAATGTCTGATACCATGACAGCTTATGTGCACTCTTATTAGCCATTATGACATCTATTATGACAATTAGCGATAATGTTAACATGACACTGTTATATTACTGCACATTCTCCGTCATATCAGCATATCACATCTGCCATAACATGTTTAGGCTATGGTCAAATCAATGTTATGTACCGGGATTCAATTAAAGTGCTACCGCTATTCGCTGTCTAGCTATGCCACTCCTGAAAACAGTTCCTGTCCAGAATAACACACAGGGCCACGTTGCATTCCTGACACTTCCAGGGCGTCAGAACTATCCTCTTGTCCTGCTTCCTGCAGCGCACGCAGGACCTGCGTCCATACGTGGCCTTCCTGCTCGCGTGAGCCTGCGGGGCGATGGCCACGGGAACATGAGCACTTCTCTGTTTTTTGGCAGAAACCTCCAAGGTGGTCCCGCACAGCTGGGCCGTCAGCTCCTCCATGAACTGCTTGTGCATCATGGGCCTTTCTTGCTTTGCCCGGCACAGTTCTGTGTGCAAAACGTAGCTGTTGGTGGCGGCGATGTCCACAAAATGGAAGAAGAGTGTCCGGTACCAGCGTGAGGTTTTGTGGTGGGCTGTGTAGTAGTTTGTGTTCAGTATTTGGCTGAACGAGTCAGCAGCTCCCATGTGTTTATTATGGTCTATGATGGGAGCAGGACAGGGGATGTTTATCTGTGTCCAGTGGCCATCTCTGCCCTTCACTTTTCTCTGGACGGTGTCTCCAGAAAAGGCCGGATGAACGGTGGAGCAAACAGAAACCTCCTGTGCGTCCATCCACTTCACAAACACCAGTGGATCCTCTCTAATCCACCTGATTGATCCCAACGGCGACTTTCTGGTTAAACCGTTTGATCTTCCTCGTGGGCACTCTTTTCTGCTCTCTCTGTAAACGCCACAAGCTCCAACGTTCATAGAGAACAAATCTCTAAACAGTTTGGGACTGGTGTAAAAGCTGTCCACAAAAACCGTGTAGCCTGCGCCCAAATATTCAGGTTTGATTAGAGACATTACACTGTCATACGACAGGCCATTTCCAGTGCTGGGCCTAAATTTGCCAGCATATACTGAAAAATCAACATTATATCCATTGCTGCAATCTGTGAGTGCAAAAAGTTTAAAACCCCACCTGCTTTTTGTATATTGGACCCCACTTTTAACTCTGCTGGAAACCGTTCTCTCATCTACGGCCAAATTCCTGTTTGGGTGGTAGCAGAACTGGCAGGCGGTGCGGATGACGTCGAGGAGAGGTTTTACCTGGAATAAACCATCATATTCGGATGTTCCCTTTCTCCTCTCGTTTACAGTATCCTCCTCCGGATCGCTCAAGTGAACGTTCCACGCGATGGCTCTGAATCTGTCCCTGCTCATCATGGTTGCAGGAAAGGAAACAGAGAAGATGTTATTCCTCCTCCAGAAGTCAGAAACGTGGTTCAAGGGCACCAGTGCAGTGAACATTACGAGGCCCAGGAACTTGTAAAACTCTTCTACAACAACATCAGTCCATTTGTATTTTTTACCTTTCGCCACGTTCTTCGCTGCCTGTTTGTTGGTATTCTGGCAAATGGTTTCCGCAGCGTCCGCTGGAAAAAACAGCTGGAACAGGTCCAGTGGGGTATACGAAGCTTTAACGTCCAACTGAACTCCAGGAGCTCGGTGAGGTGTGAAGCATTTCGGTTGTGAGACGACGTCGGGCTCGGCTTCCGTCTTCCACGGCTGCGAGGAGCTTTGGGCTTCCGCTGAACGCCTCGCTGGAGATTTTGATCTGGATCTACTCCTGGGTAACCCACTGTCTCCCCTCAGGGTAAACCTGGGGTGAACCCGCCGCCCATCGCCTCCTCTTTGTAAAACTAAGTCAGCTGAAGTGCTTGTCTCTGCCAGCATCTCCCCAGGTTCATCACTGTAAACACACACATAAGTTGTTACATGGAATGTGTTTCACTGTTCGCATGTTGTTGCAACAGTGATTCTACTGATATATATATATATCAGTCACTCAGGAGGTATTTCTATTCTATTCTACTCTATCAGTTGTCCAGGGGGAGGTGTTTCTTAATGCAGAATTTCTGAATTATCCACATAACATAATTATCCACATATGGGGCAGTCGTGGGCTGGAGGTTAGAACCTCAACATCAACTTCCATGACGACAACAAAGAGATTCTCTTCTTCTCTAATTTATTCTGTTTTCACTCATCCATCCATACTCATAACACAAGGATTTCTGTTAGCCAGATAGCTTGAGCTCAAAATCAAATAATAAAAGGTATTCATTTCAGTTCTATTCTACGTTTTCAGTCATCACTGTAAAGCTAAAAATCAAACTTGTACAATGACAATAAAGGTATTCTATTCTATTCTATTCTATTCAGGGGGAGGCCTTTCACCAAGCAGAATTTTTGAATTATCCAAATAACTTAAGCTAAAAATCAAGCTTGTACAGTATCGATAAAGCTATTCTACTCTATTCTATTCTATTCTATTCTATTCCCCGGGTTCTGTGTTAGCCATATTAAGCTCAACATCCACTTCCATGATGACAGCAAAGAGATTCTTTTCTCCTCTGTTTTATTCTGTTTTTAGTCATCCATTGGCTTTTTTCACAAAGAAGGATTTCTGTGTTAGCCAGATAACTCAAGGTCAAAATCAAGCTTGTGTAATAACAACAAAGGTATTCGTTTCAATTCTGTTCTATTTTACATTTGCAGTCATTCTTGTAAAGCTCAAGATCATTCTATTCTATATTTTCAGTTACTCAGGGGTTTTTTCACAAATAAGGATTTCTGTGTTAGCCAGATAACTTAAGCTTACAATCAAACTTGTACAATGACAAAGTATTCTATTCTATTCTAGTCTAGTCTATTCATTCACTCAGGTGGTATTCCACAAAACAGGATTTCTTACATGCCTTAAGCTTGAATAATAACAACAAAGTAGGCTGAAGGATTAATCATTTTTGTATTGAAATCGCAATTTTCAAATCGTAAGAGCTGCAATGTTTTACTACAGTCTTACAGTCTATTATCAATGCAAGATATGATACAATGTAAGTTTTAAGCCGGGAAATTTTACCTAATAACACTGAGCTTGTGAGCTGCTGTGACATCATAACCACAAATGACTGACACGCCGGTCTCCTTAGCCAAAAACAAAGGCCCATACCTATATTCATACCTCGATAATAAACGATTGTAATATAAATCGTGATCGCAATATTGTACAGAAAAACTGCAATTAGATATTTCGTCAAAATCATTCAGCCCTACAACAACGGTGTTCGTGTCAGTTCTATTCTACGTTAAGGTATTCTATTCGTGGCACAAAGCACAATTTCTGAATTATCCACATAACTTAAGCTCAGGCTTGAACAATGTCGATAAAGATATCCTATCCTATCCTATCCTATCCTGTCCTATCACCTTGGGGGGGTGGTAAGCAGGATTTAGACCAAAGTCAACAGAAGAGGTGAGGACATTCCTCACTCTGGCTCAGCTCAGTGGAGAACTGCTCCTGGAGAGCCACCTTCCTACAGAACCCAGCTCCCAGATCTAACTCACCTGAGGGGCTGATGATGTGGATCAGGGCAGGAGGGGAACTCTTCAGGAAGGTGAAGGACCACAGGCTTCACTAAGCTGATCTGAGGAGTCTCAGACATCCTGCTTTGTGAAACCAGCACTGAGCTCTCAGTATAGCAGGTTCTAGTAAATGTAGTCGTGTGTCTCACCTTTCCTCCACTGGATCGATCCCAGCTTCAAAGTCCAGCTCCTCGTCTGTGTCTACACTCTCCGCAGCTGAGGACACGTTTCCTTCGTCCTCATCCTCTCCTAGCAGGACCTCCAGAGCCCGCTGGATGTCCACACTTTGACGAAAAGCCATTTTGCATGGTAATAATGATGTCGACGGGTTTAAGTCAGCACTTTCCGGTTTTGTTTCGATGTCTATAAACGAAAGCAGTTAAATGGCAAAACTGTAAACGACGGCAAAACAAGAAATAACGCGCAACATCTTTTACCCAAATTCACACCTGGACAAAACATCGCGGATTCCAGTCACACACGCCGATACGGTCTCTTTGGAAAGTTTAGAATCCGCACTTTCGACAGACTCTCTGCGCTGGATTCAGTGATTCACCAGGGAGAATTAATTCATTTAAAATTACAGCTTTCAAAACGCTTCATTTACCAAACACAGCAGTTCTAATAAAATGTTTGGGTACATTTCCAGCTTTAAACAAGGTATAAATAATTTACAGTGACCGATCATTATTCATTTCTTGCACTCTAAAAGTTTATTTACTGTGAATCGTGAAAATTTCCGTAATTTGCCAAATAATTTGGAAATGATTTAATTAATTTGTTACCTAATTATATATGTAAAAAAAAGCAGTGCAAAATGTCCTATAAGTAAGTATAACCGTGACAGCAGTGCAGCCACAGCAACTGCTGCAGCTGCCCTGCTGTGACTCCACTTTTGTAACTGCACTGTTGGGGCTGCACTACTGTAACTGCACTGCTGTAACTGCACTGCTGTAACTCCACTGCTGTAACTGCACTGTTGGGGCTGCACTGCTGTAACTGCACTGTTGGAGCTGCCCTGCTGTAACCCCACTTCTGTAACTGCACTGTTGGGGCTGCACTGCTGTAACTGCACTGCTGTAACTCCACTGCTGTAACTGCACTGTTGGAGCTGCACTGCTGTAACTGCACTGCTGTAACTCCACTGCTGCGACTGCACCACTGTGACTGCACTGTGGTAATTCCACTGCTGTGACTGCACTGCTGGAGAGGCACTGCTGTAACTGCATTGATACGACTCCACTGCTGGAGAGGCACTGCTGTGACTGCACTGCTATGACTGTACTACTGGAGATACATTGCTGTGACTGCACTGCTGTAACTGCACGGCTGTGGCTGCACTGCTGCTTTTGCATTGCTCTCTCTGCTTTACATTTTTAAAGCTATTTACGGTATTTACACAAAACATCAAAAAATCTCTGTGAAACACTGGTTTACTTTAACAACAGATATATTACTTATGACACCAGGACCATTCAGACCCCCCCCACACACTCTACTATTTTCTTCAAAAGCTCTGAGGCTAATTATGAATTCCTCTCAGGAATGGTGAGTGTGTGTCTGGGAATCATTTGGAGGTGCTTGGAGCTCAGTTACCGCAATCAAAGTTAAACTGCGCTTTTGTGCCGCTTTGATTGTGGAGTGCGGCCATTTTACCCACTGATTAGCGTATTTCTCTTTCTGCATTGATCTCTGAGCCCCTTAGTGTTTTATTTTGCTGGACCGCTCAGCAATCACTTTATTGTCCATTTTATCAGCTCCACTTACCACTTTGTAGTTCTACAGTTACAGACTGTAGTCAATCTGTTTTTCTGCATACTTTGTTAGCCCCCTTTTACCCTGTTCTTCAGTGGTCAGGACCCCCATGGACCCTCACAGAGCAGGTACTATTTGGGTGGTGGATCATTCTCAGCACTGCAGTAACACTGACTTGGGTGGTGGTGGTGTGTTAATGTGTGTTGTGCTGGTGCGAGTGGACGAGTTTTTAAACACCTCAGTGTCACTGCTGGACTGAGAATAGTCCACCAACCAAAAATATCCAGCCAACAGCGTCCTGTGACCACTGATGAAGGACTAGAGGATGACCAACACAAACTGTGCAGCAGCAGATGAGCTATCGTCTCTGACTTTACATCTACAAGGTGGACTGACAAGGTAGGAGTGTCTAATAGAGTGGACAGTGAGTGGACACAGTGTTTAAAAACTCCAGCAGCACTGCTGTGTCTGATCCACTCGTACCAGCACAACCCACACTAACACACCATCGGGGCAGCTGATCACCACTTGACCTAATCAAGCATTTGTTAAACTATCACACACAGTTTTTATCATAGAAATACGCCAAAGATTTAATGGATGAATAACAAACCTGTATTTTTCATGCACTCATTTAACAAGAATTCACTATGCAACATGCAACGCTGGTAAATAATGGCCATAGTGAGCGTCAGGTTAAAAGGCTAATAAAAATCGGCCAAAAAAATCGAATATCGGCCAATTTGGCCATAAAGAAACTGGAATTGGAATCAGCCATAAAAAGTCATGATCGGTGCAGCCCTAATATAAACTGAACACAGAATAGACACTAAACAATCGGCCCCAGGTTTGCTTCAGTAAAAAACTGGAATGCATTTCCACCCAACCACCATTCAATACCTGTAATTAATGCAAAACAGGTATTGAAACATTTTCCCCACAGCGATTTTCTGATGATTGATTTTTTTCAGCCAGGCAGCTGAATGTGTCCAACATCTCCACTGCACTGAAAAGAACCCGCAGCAATTAGGCGTCAAGAGGCTAATGAGTCCACTTCACCTTCACGCCGCTCTGCCTGGCCCGAACGTGGCCTTTTAATTGCTGTTATTAAATAAATCACTTCCCTTCTTCCCCAGTGTCTCCGGACAGTTTGACTGGCGTGCGTAATGGATATGTTTGCAGGGCAAGGCTTTGTGTTAAAGCTCTACCAAAACCTTAAGCACATTTCAAGTGGAAAATGCTGCATGCACAGGCAGTGTTACTCCTGCAGGCCTTAATGACACAAATTGTTCTGTCTAAATGTGCTTTTCAGCATTGTGGAGGTTGTCATGGGGAAAAGTGGATGACGTTTTGTGGATGGAGCGCTCAGATTTAAAGCAGGCTTGCCGGGTGAGGAGTGAGGATGAAGATCGAGATGCTTGAGACTGACCACTGCACCATGGACTTCCTCAGCAAACGTGGGGAATTTAACAAACAGCACAGCAGGGTATGTGTTCTGTCTTATTTAAGGAGGAGTACAATGTATAATGTGTGTTGTACTGATTATTTAAAGGCAAACTACACTAATTTTTCACAATGTCTGCATAATTAAAGGGTTAAGATGTAAACAGGTGAACAAGTCATAGGAATCAGGCGTCTAAAGAGCTGCTCCACAGAAAGTTTCACGTGAGATGGATTTGAATACGATGCCTGATGGCTGAAACATTGTATTATGTTTTGACTGTATCTGTGTTGTAGTCATGGTGACCCCTGGTTCCTATCACCACCACTGTAAAGAAATCTGAGTCTCTACAATCAACCATTTCACACTAAACCACTCTGAATGAGTCTGTTTACACCTCTACCACTGAATTATACAGACGTTTTGGATTCTCCTTCAAGTGGTATTGTACTGTTTAATTTAAGAACAAAGGCTAGTCAATACGTGTTATAATACGTAAATATATGTAATATATATACACACATCTGTCTTTTTCAATCAGATACACTGACCAGGCTGATGTAAAACAACTTGACTTTTATAAAAAATAAAAACATACAGTTTACTTAACACAGCTCACTTAATGCTGAGCTCAATCTCTCAGAAGGATGTGGTTTCTAATAATTACTACTATTAATTTCAACAAAAAAAAATATAAAACAGAGCCCACGGGACGATCTCTCTGCCCGGTCTGATCCAAACTCAACCTCCGCGAGCCTCCGGGACACAGCAGTGTGCGCGAGATGCTGCCTCAAAATCACTGATAAATATCTACTCATGGTAAGACAGGCATTATTTTATTTTATTTCAATTAAGGATCATTTGTGATTTGGGGTTTTGCAACTAATTGTTATGCATTTACATTATAAGTATTATTATTGTGTTAAGTTGTATTAGTAACAGTAACAGCAGTTGTGGCAGCAGCGTTTTTTTATTATTGTCTTTCTATTTATCAGTATTATTATTATTATTAGTAGTAGTAGTAGTCATTGTCATAATAGTAGAAGTTTTAGTTATAGAATCAATGCTAACATTATTGTTATTATTGTTATAAGTAGTATTATTAGCAGTAATCGTGGCAGCAATTCTACACTCATGTCCAAATTTTGGGCACCCCTGATCAAATTGAATGCTTTTTTGATGAAATTATGAAAATAAGTTAATACATCCTTGCTGAAAAACCCTAAAATATAAAATGTTAATCATAACATTATTATTATTATTATTATTATTATTATTAATAGTAGTTGTAGTGGTGGTAGCAGTTGTAGTTGTAGCATCAATGTTATTAAGATTGTTTTATTAGTGGTAGTAGTAATGTTATTTGTTATAGTATAAACGATTAATTGTTATTACTGGCAGAATTGGTATTAATTTTTTATTATTATTACTGTCATTTTGTTGTTGTTGTTAAGGCACAGGTCAGTGCAGTGTTCATATTCAATGGTATGACACATATGACCTAGTACTCCTTATTTATTTATTTGTTTATTGATTTATTTACTTATTTATTTATGTTTGTAATCAGGTGAACGGTCTGTGCTGGCACGTGCGCTGTCTGTCCTGCAGCGTGTGCCACGCGACGCTTAGCGAGCACAACAGCTGCTACATCAGAGACAGAGAGGTTTACTGCAAACCCCATTACTACAGGTACAGTACACCTAAAACAACAACGCAACAGCTACCTTACACTTTCATCAGCTATTATTATATAAATATAGAAAAGGAGAAAATGCTCTAGTTGTAGCATCAATGCTGTACTTTTTAAAGTTAAAATAACTTTTTTTTCGTAGTGCAAGAGAAATATAAATGATAAAGTCATTCAGAGTGGTTGGATGTAAAAGGCTCCATTCTAGAGAAACGTGCTGAGTCAGTACTGGGAGGAGCTTTTGTCCAAAAACATATTTTTGTATATATATATACAGTATATTATATTCAATTCACAGTCAAGAGATACATGCAGGGTGTTGTGAGGCAAAACTGGGGGCAGTCAAGGGCTGGAGGTTAGGGAACCAGCCCTGTGACCGGATGTGCCCTTGAGCAAGGCACCTAAACCCCAACTGCTCCCCGGGCGCTGAGGATAGGGCTGCCCACCGCTCCAGGCAAGTGTGCTCACTCCCCCCTTGTGCGTGTGTGTTCACTAGTGTGTTTGTGGTGTTTCATTGCACGGATGGGTCAAAATGTGGAGGTGAAATTTCCCCGTTGTGG